AAAGTATTTATCAAAAACAAAAAAATTTAAATTGTTTTTGTTATTATATAGTAAATTTTTCATATAATTAAATATAAGAAATATTAACTTTGAAAAGAAAAAACTATTATATATTTTTTTATAAAAAAATTTAATATAAAATAATCACAATATAAATAAATTTAAGTAAGTTATATTTATATGACAAAAAAATATTTTATTTTGTTAAAAAAAAGTACATAAGGATAATTTAGTTAGTTTAGAAAATATTCTATGCCATTAAAATTTAATTTAGAGATTTAAGAGGTCTTAAAATGTATTATTAGATTAAAAATAAACTGGAATTAATTATTATTATATTTCAATTAGTAAAACCTATATCAAGTATATGAAGCAAATCAAGATTATTAATTTTCAGTATTTCCAAACCCTTCAAATTTATTAGCTTAATTCAAAGAAAAATTTAAAATTTTATTACAGATAAATAAGTCATAATAAAAGATAATTTAATGATATATAAAAGAATATTTAAAATCAAACTTTAGCAATAACATTTATCAAATATAAATTTAATTATTTTATTAATTGTTTTCTTGTTTTTGTGATAGACCAGTAATGTAAATAGCAAATTCGCAATAATAATTATTAGGAAAATTATAAATGTCCTTCTATAGGCCTTTATGTCGCACAAAAATAAACAATTTCTCTTTAATTGAATTAAATTTTTGATAAATAATAAGATAATATTTATTAAGCAGTGATTTAATAAAGGCGTATTTTGCTTTCCTTTTCAAAAATTCGGGCGGGGTATGAAAAAAAAAATCGTATTAAATTTTAGATTTTCATTTTAATAATACAGGCGAATCTATTAATAATATTATACTGATTTAATTAGAAAAATATATTCTTCAGGAGATAGATTCGGAGTTACTTTTCCTGATTATATTTCAGTTTAGGATATAATTTCTTATAATTCTAGCAAGTATATATTTAGATAATTTATGATAAAAAAATTGATTTATTATTATTAATATTTTATAAAATTATTATTATTTTTATAATAGTATTTATACATAATAATTTTTATGATTTTTGTAAAATATGCATTTTTTTATTTTTGTAAAATATGAATTTTTTATTTTTTTATAAAGTAAAATTAAAAAAGTAAAAACAATAAATACAATTTTTTTTATATTTTATTTTTTGTTGTTTGAATATATTATAAATTTTTAAATTTTTCATTTTAATTTTCAATTTTTTTTTTTATTAATCCATTAAATCTATATTTTATATAAATAAATAAAATAAATTATTTAGATAATGAAAATTTATTACATCACACGGAAATATATAGATTTTATCAGTTTACTTTACTATATATGATTCATCTATATGATCTAAGTCTAAATTAGCATATTAAATTATCTAATATAATATATTTTAAATATCATTTTCGGCCTTTTATAATTATTTTAAAATATATAATTTTTAATTTATTACTTTTTATATATTCAAACTTTCATTTTATTTATTTATTTCAAGAGGAATTAGCCATTTTTCGAAAACTTTAGATTATTTTTTTTCAAAAAAAGGCAATAATTTTTATTTTTCTTCATTTTTAAATGTTATTCTAATTTATCCTACAATATTTTAATCATCACTATTTTCAACATCATTTTAAACTAATTTTATTAATTAATTTACAAGCTCATCAATTTAAGTATCGCCACAATGCATCTATTATTTATATAAGAATATTAATTTATTTATATAATATAATAAAAATAAAAGTAAAATAGAAAGGTTGTTAAAAAAAGTAATATCTATAAATGTGATAATTAATATAATTTCTTTATTTAATACATAAGTTAATTTTTTTAAAATTTCACAAGTTCTAAATTGTATTTATACAGTCCCTAATTCTCTATGATATAATACTGTATGCATAAAACAACTAATGGCATCACTTATCAATTAGTTATTAATATTCTATTAATTTTTAATAATTCAAATTTTTTTATTTATATATTTTTTATTATTAATAAAGTTTTTAAATATATTTGTTATTTTAATATAATATTATTATCTTTGATATAATATTATATTAAATATTTACCAGTTTATTTAATGTGTATGTAATAGGTTCTATTTCCATTATTATTAATAAATATTTTTTATTTTTTAGTAATTAATTATATAATATTTTTTAAAGAAATAATAAATATATTATTTTTTAGTTATTTATAGAAATTTAAGTATTAATTTTCACATATTAAAAAAAATATAATTATTAACATTAAAAAAAAAAAAATAATAAATATATATATATATATTAAAAATGTTAAAATTGATAACATTATTGTTAATTTCCTTTTATGGAGTTTAAAATCTGTAATTGAAAACTTAAGAATAAATTTATGGCAGTAATCTTCCTTAACAAAACAAAATATAATTCTTTTTATCGTAAAATTAAGTTTTATAATAATTAATTGCTTAAAAGAATATGATTTTTATGGTTCAAAAATAAATTAATCTAATGAAAAAAATATATTTTAATTATTATAATAGATTTACTTATCACATAAAAAGTTAATAAGATATTTATTTAATAACATTTTTTAGTCTTTCAATATTTTTTATAATTCTTTAAATAGCATATAAATATAAAAATTATATTTTCTTTTAAAAATTAACTAATTAAAAAATGTAAAACGTATTTAGTAAATAAATTCAAATTAAATAAGATTAAAATCAAGATGAAGAGGAATAATTAAATAGGTTAATAATATAAAAAAAATACTATTTAAATTATATATATATATATATATATATATATATATATATATATATATATATTTATATTATTTTATTTATTTATTAATTTTTAAAGTGATTCTTCTTAAATATATTTTTAAAGTGAATCTAATTTAAGTGAAAGCGATTTAAAATTAAATAAATAGTAACTTGATATATAAATATTTATTAATTGTTAAAATTAAAACTTAAAATTTTGAGTTTTAAATAATATTTACTATTTTATCGATTATTTATTAAATATGGTTTAACTTTTATAGTATTTAAATTTAAAATAACATTTTTATATATTATATAATACAAGATATAGTATATTTTATTTTTATTCATTCTTAATTATACATAAAATTTTAAAATAAACTAAATTTTCAATATTTTTATTTATTTTTAATTATTTTATATTACATTATTATCATTTTAATATAAATAAATTAATTACAAGAATACTATGCCAAAATAAATATTCTATTGTATAAATATATTAAAAAAGTTTATTTAAAGTTTTTATAAAATATATATATTTAAACTAAAAAGCATAATACTTTAAAAAACTTTTTATTTTAATAAGATTTAATTAATAAATAATTAAGTAAAAATTCGATAATTTATATATTATATAAGTAAATAGGTTTTTAATTACATAATTTATAATTAAGATAAAATTAATGATGAATAATATAATATTTAAATAAGATATAAATTTTAATGACAAATAAGACTTTTTTAATAGCTATAAATACTTTAACTAATTTTAAATAAAGTTTTATCAAGAAAAATAATTAAAATTTTAATGAAAGTAATAAAATATTATTAAGATTTAAGTAAAATTATATAATTTGTAAATATTTTTAAAAAAATGAAGATATATATATAATAATTATAAGAAGAAAAATTAACTTTCGTTTATTTAATTTTTATTTGTATATAATTTAAAGTTCTCAAAATTAAAAATTTATAATTAAATAAAATTAAGATTCGATTATAATTTAAAAAAAAAGAAGATTATTAATAAAATCAATGTATTAATTAAAAAAATGATATTTTTAATTATGAATAAAAATTACATTTTTATCAGTTTAAATGTGAATTTTTTGTTATTCTTCTAAGATCACATACATAAAAAGTTAATCCAATAATACTAAAAATAAAAATTTAAATAATTTAAAATAAATTAAAAATAAATATGATTTATATATATGTAAAAATAAGTTAAATAGATATAAATTTTAAAGATTATATATATAACATTCTAAATAAATTTCCTCAAATCAATTTTTATAAAAACTTTAAATTATGATGACATATAAAAAATATTCTTAATTTCTTGATGATAATTAAAAAAAATAAATATAAATTGTAAACTAAGATAAAATAAATAAAAAATATTAATACTGTCTGTGTTAATGAATACTATTTACTAGATTTTTCATAAACTTTTAAAAAAATTAAAGTAACATTTTAAAGCTCATTAATAATAAATAAATGAAATCAAAGTGGAATTATATTTAAACTAAAACATATTTTAAAAAGGCGATAATGCAGATAAAGTTTGTTTGATAAAAAATAAAATAGCTTAAATTTATAATAATATATACTTTGTTTAATCGAAAATATAATAATATTTTTTAATTTTATATAAAATAAAATAAAATAAAATTAAATAAAATAGAAATTTATATAAATAACAAATTACATCAATAGATAATATTCACAATAGTTATATTAAATATTTTGTGTAAAAAAAAAAAAAATATAGAAATATAATAAAATCCAAATTTACAATAATAATATAAAAATCTATCTATTTTTTATTGAAGTGAAACTTTTAATTAAATAAAAGTTAATAATCTATTTAATCTTAAAATAATAATATTAAATATATTAAAATAAATTTATTTATAAAAAATATATTATAACAATCTATTTTGATTTTAATACATAAATTTTTAACAATCTTTTAAAAAGTAAAATATTACTTTTAAATATTTAAGAAAAAAAAATATTCAAACTTAATATAGAAAAATCTAAAATATAGTTTTTTTTTTTAATTTGAAAAAATAAAGATATCAATAATAAAGTTGTCTTTTTAAAATATATTATATTCTAAAGATAAATAAAATTAATAAAAAAAAAAATAATTTAACAAATATATATAATATTTTAATATATAAGATTTATATAAATAATTTATACATAAAATAATTTTATCATTATATTTATTCTGGTTAATATTACTTATATATTTATAAGGTACCATCAGCAGAAGAAGTCATTAACTAATTAGTTCTATTATCATAAATACAGGCAATCATTCTTTCTTTTTATGCTTCTTCAATAGTTTCTATAACTTTAAGATTATTTAAATCTAGTATTTTAAGATTTTTATCCCAACTAGAAGTATATAATATTTATTATTTGATATTTAAATCGATACCAAAGATAGTTGAATTATGATAATTAGGAATTTTAGTATAGGCTGTAAGTTTCCTAATGTTCCATAAACAAAGAGATTTATCATGACTTCCAGTAGCTAAGAAATACTAAGTATTATTTGTAAAACTTTTAATTCTTGTTACATTTTCAGTATGACCTTATAAAATTATAATTTTATGATTTTATCTTTCATCGAATATATGAACCATTTTTGATATTCCTGAAGCTACAAAAACTCGTTATTGAGGATCGAATTCTATTGTACTAAGGCCTTAACTTTCACCATTTATTTTAGGTTCTTGAATTCTTCGTAAAATTTGTTATTTTTCGATATCCCATAAACATATGTGGTCTGTGCCACATGAATATATAATTTATTTGTGATTATCTATAGAAATTCCAAATGAGTCTTTATCCTTCATAGGAGAATATTAATGCACATATTTAAAATTACTAGAATTTATTTCTGGATCTGTGTTTTTTAATATAAATATATTCTTGTTTGAACCACTTACAAATATGCAGTTTGCATTTGGAAAATTTGCTTAATTCATTCTATGGAATTAAATAGAGTGTTCGTAGATTATTTTTGGATTGAAGTTGTTCGGATTATTTACATCAAAAAATAATATCTTTCCGTTTTTTGTACAGGCTATTCCATATGATTATTCATCTAAATTTTAAGAAAAATGCCTTGATTAATGATATTTTATAAACAAACAGTCATAAATTAATCCTTAATTTAATGGAATATTTATATCTTTTACTAATAAGTTATCTTTTATTAAATGAGATTATTGTTCAATATTTATTTCTTTCATTTTTATTTATGGCCTTAATATTTTTTTATTTTTAAAAATAATTTCTATGTGTTTAAGAAAATTAAATAATGTTAATATTTTATTGAAATATTATAAATATTAATAATAGAATAATGAATAAAAAAGAAAACAATATAATAAATATATAAAATAGATAATTAAAATATTTAAATTTTTTTAATAAATAAAAGTAATTAATTGTTTATAAATATAAAATATAATAAAATAAATTTATATTATATTAATTATTAATGTTTTAAATATAATACTATAAAATATACTATATATATTTAATTTATAAGTATTTAAAATTAATATTTTTTCTTAAAAATTAAAATTTTAACAAATTTATATATTTTTATAAATAGTGATATAAATACATATATGATTTATTATTACAAATTACTATATTAATATTTTAAAATAGTAAATTAACGAATATAGACAGTATTAAAAATATTTATGTTTTAATAAATTACAAATCTCTATTATTTTATAAATGTTTACGTTTTTAAAATTAATATTTGTTTTTAAATAAAAATAAATTTAATATATTATTAAAATGAATGAATATATGAGTATATAAATATAAATGTATGAATAATAATTAATTATAATAATAAATAGATATATTTTAATTTTAAACAATATGTTCAATTTTTTTTTTACAATTTAATGCATCTGATCGAATCCCAAACGATTTCTTTTCTAATTTAATCTGTAATTTTTTATGTTTTTAACATAGCAATTATAGTTAAATAACTTTGATATTTAAATTTAACTAATTCTTCCAAGCTTATAATATTGCAATCAGGATTTTCTGTAAAAATTTTTATTTATAAAAGATTAGGCAATTAAGCAAAAGCTGATTTAACAGTTTAAAAATCATCAAAAAGCCTCCAAAGATTCATATTTATTTAAACAGATTTTAAATTAGAAAGATTTTTGAAATATTCAGGCATATCAGAAACACTTTCATTATTAATTTTTTCATTTAAATATCCCCATTTATTCATATCAAGAATTAAACTTTCTAATTTTTCACATTTTCCAATACTTTAAAATATATTTCGAACACTTTAATTATTAATATATTCATTTTCATAAGCCCAACTTCTTAAATTAATGTAAATTTCTTTCAATGTACCAGCCAAAGCTTTAATCATTTTACAAAAACCTTAAATTGTGCTATCGTCGTAAATATTAAGATTTCTATATTATTCACATCCCCATCTTCCCATATCGATTTTGATTACTTCCAAAGAAGATAATTCAGAAATTGCCTATGTTAGCTTTATTATAGATTAAGAAGTGATTCGTACATTAAAATAACCCCATTGGAATAAGTTCAATTCTAGTTCCTTTAGTTTAGGCATGCTTTTAAGCATTTATACAATACATTCTATAGAAGAGAAATCAATATCTTAATTAAGGGCACTCTAAGAAGGTAAACTAAATATTAAACTCTCTATATGTTGATAATTCTTGCTTATTGTTTGCGTCAAGGATTTTAAAAATGTTATATTAAATGCGTTTGGGTTTAAGTCATGTGTTTTTAAGTTTGTGATATTAATTGGAGCTTTTATTATTAGCTTTTTTTTGTTTTTATAATTTTATTCTGTGCTGAGATCTTTTAAAAGCTTTTTGAATTAATTTATAGATATTTCTTTTTCGAAAATACAAGCATATTATTAGGAGTTTGTGGGTTGTTTATGACTTTTTAATTAGATAAAGTTTTCAGAGCTTGCTGAAGACTAATGGTGTTTTTAATTTAAAAAATTTTTTTAGAAATCAAAACTAGAAAGTGCTTCTCCTTTTTCTGTTATATTTTAGGTATTTCCCATTTTTGTTTATTTGTTTTTTAAATTTTTTTTTTTTTTATTTATTTATAATTATAATTTTAATTTATATTTTTATAATAATATTTTAAAAATAATTAAAATATTTTTAAAATAAAAAGACAAGTTAATCTATTTTCGTCGTATAATTTTATTAATTTCATTTTATTTAAAAAAAAAAATTATAAATTTGCCAAAGATAATTAATAAAAAAAATTATTTTTAATTGTTAAAATATAAATTAGTTTTAATATAAAAATTTTTTAAAAAAATAATATATTTTTAAAATAAATGAAATATATAAAAGGTAATTTATGTTATATGAAAAAAAAAAAAAATAACTTATTGCTTAAACTATAATCTTTATATATTAATTAAAAATCTAATAATGAAATGATACATAAAATAATAATTTTTATTTAAAATAAAAATTTAAGTTTTTATTTATTATTTATATGTTTATACAAATTCTATTAACATCAATCAATATTATATTTTAAAAATATATATATATATATCAAAAAAAATAGTTGAAAAATTATATTTTTGGATATTTTATTTTGTTTGAAAATATTTATAATAAAATATTTAGATAAAATATTTAGAAAATATGTAATTAGGAAGATTTAAATAAAAGTAAATATAAATTAAATTTTATGAAAAGAATATTTTTTAAAAAGGTGGAGAATAAATATATTTTAAAATACAATTTTAACGAAGCTTAAATTTTATTTGAAATTTAAATTATTAAACATGAATGAAAAATAAGCTTAATAAATTAAAAAAAATTAATTTTTTTTTAAAAAAAATAAAATAAAAAAGGATATATATAATGTTTAATTTCACGTTTAATAATTATTAATTCAAATTGAAAAAAAATATTCTTTCATATAAATTGTCTTTAGTAATAATATTATAATTTTTATATTTATTAATTTTTATATTAATCAAATGAACTTAAATACACAAAAATATTTTTAATTTAATTCTAATAATTTTATTAAATATTAAAATGTTATTCTTTTTATATTTATAATAATTAAATTGATTATATTATTTTTAAAATTAATTTATTTAAAGTTATATAAATAATTATAATTAATACTTTAGGAATTTTATTAATAATTTTAATATTTCTTATAATTTTATTTACCTTTAAATATTTATCAATTATTTCTTTATTTAAAACTGAATTTTTTAGTGTTATAAAAAATTACATTTTTATTTGCTTATAATAAAGTAAATTATTATTTTACTGAAGGCTTTCATAAATTATTAATTATTATTCTTTAATTTTCAATTAATAGTTATATTTAATAAATATAAAGTTCTATTAATATTTATTTTATTTGTAAATTTTTAAAAGAGTTTTACATTTTATTTTTGCAAATTTTAAATATTTGTTAATTTATTTTTATAACATTCTCTTTTTAATTCGAATGACATCATTCATTTATTTATAATAAAAAAATAATACTTCAATTATATTATTAAAATTAATTATTAAAAACTTAATTATATTCATTTATACATATTTAGTAAACATAATAATAATTCCTTTTTTTAATTAACTAAATATACATTATTTATATGACCAATTTAAATTTTTTAAATTTTTATACTTAAATGATAGATATTCATTTTTACTTTAAACATTTTATCTAATATATTATTTTTTCGAATTAATTTTACTTAATTTACTAAAATTTTTGTTTATATTTTTAACTAGTTAATCGCATTTTTATTATTTATTTATTTTAATAAATTTTATTAAAAATAAAATGTGTTTTTTAATGGCTTTAATAATATTTTTTTTTTTTTAAATAAGACACATAAAATAAAATGAAAAAGAAGATAATATAATAAAAATGATTAAATCAAATATAAATTTATTATAGATGATATATAATTCGAAATTGATTTTGAATCAAAAATATTATTATAATAACTTTAAAAAACTATAAACAAAAATCATTTTAAATTTTAAATTTAAATTTTAAAATATCTTTATTAATTATAATTTTTTTTTAAAAAAAAATGCAATAAATTATATAAAATATATAAATTTTTTAAAAACTTGCTTATTAATAATTTCATTCATGGATAAAATAATACTATATTTGATTAAATAATATTATATTTATAACTTTTACTTATATAATTATTATTAAAAATATATTAAATGATAATGAAAGTATAATTAATTAATAGAAACTTTATAATACAAAAATAATAAACAATAAAATACAAAAAAAAAAATATTTATATATTAATTATGTAATTATAAAAAAAATTACTTAAAAAAAAAAAAAAATCATCTTAGCTCAGTAAATTTAAGCATTGATTAAGAATATTATTATTTAACTTATTAAGAAAATATTTTCCAGAATTTAATTGTTTCATCACCAGATCCACTAACAATTGTAGTATTATCAGGTGATATACTTAAATAAAGTACTCTATTATTATGCCCGTCTAGCTAAGCTATTTTTTACATTGAATTATATTTCCACACCGATATTTTATTATTATCATATCCATGTGCACATACAAATTCATTAACATTTTCAGAAAATAATATTTTACAAATTTAAGAACCAGTTGGAGTATTATTAATAATTTAATTATTATTTACATTCCAAGTTTTTATACATTAATCATTGGAACCTCCTCCACTTAAAAGTATTCCATGTTAATGAGGATTCCATGCCAAAGCTCTAATAGCAGCCTTATGTTCACTATGTGTTTAAAAGGGAATATTCTTAACTGAATAATTCCATATATTTATTTTATTATCGTTTCCTCCAGTTGCTAAATATTATTAATCTGGGGAAAATTTAATAGAACAAACTTCTTATGAATGTCCAAAAAATATTTTGCCTCCGCTTTCTCTCAAATCTTATACGAGAATAGATTTATCTTTACATCCTGCTGCTAAAATATTTCCATTTGAACAAAAGTCCATACATCCTATTCTTTCTTTTTACAAATTTATTTTTCGAACAACTATATTTTTCTAAATATCATGTATATCAATAATTCCTTATGTATTTCCTATTGCCAATAAATTTCCGTTATTGGGATTCCATTTAACACTTGTGTAAAAGGAAGGAAAAGGTCCGTTCTGTACTTAAAAGAGAGAAGAAAAAGATTAATTTTCACATAACTTATTAATATTACCACTTTAAGTATTCAAAGTATAAATACATTATCCTAAAGCTATTCCTATTATACTTTAGCAACTCCAATCTAACACGTCAATGTAAAAATCATCAGCTAAACCAGGAGCATCAAGTATTTTTATTGGATTATGTCCTATTTTTCTTCTTTTTTTAGTTTCGGGAATATTTTCTTATTAATCAAACATAAAAGGGGAAACTGGGGGAATTTTCTTGACTTCAAATTGGAGTATTTTAGGAGTTTCAAATTACTTTCGAAAAAGTTCTGTTTAGATATATTAGTTGTATATTTTTGTATTTTCGTCTTGTACATTTAGATGAACTTATTCATTCGTAAAATCATTAGTATAGATAGATTCTTACTTTAAATCAAAGTTAGTTTTGGAGTCAATTGTTCTTGTAGGTATATATCTATCTGAATATTTATTAGGAGTTTTTAATGCATGAAAAGATTAGGTGGTTTACATTTCTGATTAAGGAGATATAAACTAGGAAGGAGTTTATTAGTCGTAACTTCTTATGTTATTTTTTTATTTAAGGGGAGAAGTGAAATCCATCTTTTTTTATTTTATTTTTAATTTTTTTTTTGTTTTTTTTGTTTTTAATAATTTTTTTTTTTTTTTTTTTTAATTTTTTTTTTTTTTTTTAATAATAACTTTTTTTATTCTTATAATTATTATTTATATATTTATTTTATATGATTTTCCATTTTAATTTTATTATTTTGAAATATAGAAAACAGCTACTTTGATTTTAATTTTTATGTGATTTAATATCCGGTTTTCATAGTAAAAAAATTCTTTTTGAAAAAATAGACTAAATAAATAAATAAAAAATAGAAAATAGAAGTATTTATATGTATTATAGACAAAAATATATTAAATTCTTTTTCAAATGTTTTTTATATATTATGATATATTATTGAAATCTCTTTTATTTTTATAAAAAGATATTTTTTTTGACTTACATTTTATTACATAATTTATTATAGATTATATGTATTTTAGTTTTAATAATAATATCAATAATATTTTAATTCATTGATATTATCTTATATAATATTTTAGTTATTATTATAATCTTTTTCATTATTTTCATCATCATTTGTAACGTTCTATTTTTTTAAAAATTGTTCATTATTATAATTCTCTACTTAATTATCTTCATTTTCTTACTATTATTAGATATTTTCTTATTAAAAACTATTGTTATTTTATTTTTATTTATTATTATTTACTTCTATTATTTATGATTTATAATTTTGATTATTTATTAATTATTAACTTTTATCTTCATTTTAAGGTGAAAATTGTATATTTTAATAGTTTTAGTCTTTATTTTATTCATTCAAATATTATCCATTTATATTTTATTCATTCTAATTATTATGAAAATTGTTTTTTTATATCAATTATAACCTATTATTTACTTATAGTTAGTTTTCATTTTAATATTCTTCTACTTCTATGGTTTCTAATTCATCTTAAATATTTAGATTACTTTACAAGATGCTATATATTTCATTAAAAGTAGGTCTTTCATTCTCTTATTAACTTATCATTCTTAAAATTAATTAAATAAACCATTATTAGTAATGATGTTATTACATTAATAAATCTACCCTTTATTATATTTTATTTTCAGCAGGGATCCCATATAAATCTTTCCCAAATAAAATATATAAACCTAATTTATAAACTCTAATTTTCATTCCTTTTTAAATTTCATCTTATTCATTTTATAAATAGCATTTAAAAAGTTCTTAAGGAAACTATTTCGTTGAATTAATGATGCCTTTTATAACTTAATACTTATTTTAATACTAAAAAAAATATATATAAATAAAGATAAAAAATATACATATATATTTTTATAAATTATATAATAATTAAATAAATACATAATTCTTTTATTTTTTAACCGAAATTTTAAATAAATTTCTCTTTTTTTAATTAATATTACAACTCAACGAAGAAACAATATCATCTTAAGAATAAGTACTAAATTTACGAATTTTTAATTATGGAACTGTAAATTAAGATTTTGGACAATTTGGACTATCATTTTTGGCATTTTCGTTTTATTAAGAATTATCTTCTGAATCTTTTTTTTCAGGTTCTTCAATTTTATCGTTCTCAATATCATGATAGTTTTGATTATTTAATTCTATTTCTTTCATTTTTTCAATAAGTCCTAATCTTTAATATTCATTGCTACTTAAAACACTAGCAGGACTATAAAGATTTTATTTCTAAATTTACATAGGAGAATCAAAATTTTTATCATTTTCAATAATATAATCATTTTTTTATTCAATTTAGCATAATAATTTGGTTAAATTATGCAAGAATTTTACTGTTTCTTATTCACTTTGATTAATTATTTATTATTCGAATTCTTTTTTCTTTAATCTTTTAATTCTTTTAAATTTTTTAATTCTAAATTAACATTTTAAAGAGAATTAGTAAATTACTATTTATTTTTTTGTACTAAATCATTTTATAATAAATTATTGAAATCTCCCTCTGAGAATTTTTTTTCTAATTTAGGCTATTTATCTAAATTCTTAAAAAAATCATGATTTAAAGCTTCAGCTGCAGAAGGTCTTTTTAACGGATCTTTTTCAAGAAGTTTTGTTAAAATATCAATTGTTAATTTATTTCTTTATGATTTTAATTTATCAATTTTAAATTATACATCACAAGCTTTATTTTAATCTAAGATTTATGAAAATTTTTTCCCTTCAAATATGGATTTTCCAGTTAATCTATAAAATAAAAAAAAACAATATTTTTTAAGTTTTTTTTTTAGTTTTTTGTATTTACAATATATACAAGATAACTCCGACTGAAAAAATATCACATTTTTCGTCATATCTATGATCTTCAGACTCGTTTGATAAAATTTCAGGCGCAACAAAACCTGGAGTACCAACGTGAACATAAATATATTTTTAACCATCATTTATTTAAGCAAGACCAAAATCTATTATTTTTAAATTATTTAATTATTAATAGGATGTATTCTTGAACATAATGTTCTAAGGTTTAAGATCTCTATGCATTATTTTTTTCTCGTGAACATAATTTAAACCATTTAAAATTTATTTTATTATAACTCCACACACTTAATCACTAAAATAAGAATTTTAATATTTATAAATTTCTTAATATAAAGATTTATTTTCATCAAGGAGTTCAGTTACAATATAATATCCATATACATCTTCATAGGCAGCTAAAATATTTATGCAATTAGGATGATTTAACATTCTTAAAATCTTAAGTTCATTGAATAAGGAAAGCTTGTTTTAATTTTTATTATATTTAATTTTTAAATCTATTTTTTATAGTTACTTCTCCGTTTTCTAGGCTTATTAGTTTTGATTTATGTAAATATTTTACTGCTAATAATTCCCCAGTATCTTTTTTTCGAGCTTTATAGACCTAATTTTTTAATTAAAAAAAAATATTGTTTATTATGTTTGCTTAAATTTTTAACTTTTGCATATTTTCCTTTGCCTATTTTCTTTAATATTTCATATTCAGATAAAAAACGTTTCTAAAAAACTTATTTTGAAAGATAGTCTTTGATAGACTACATTACAATATTTTATCCAAAAAGCTCTGCTAATTTTTTCTCATCTTAATTATATAATTAGAATCCTATGACCTCTTCTTAATCATTATATATCCATTTAACTGTAGTTTTTATTCTAATTATATTATTTTATTTGGAATTTTTTAATAAGGTTTCTATATTTTAATTTTTAAAAATTTTTTTTTTGTCTAAAATAAATTTTTTTGTACACTACATATTATTAATTGTTGTTATGCTACGTAAACGTACTTTGTTTATGTTATCATGAAATTCTTTTGAAATAATCTTACTTCAAATAAACATTTTGAAAAATCAAAATTATTGATACCAATTAGTTATTTACTCATTTATTTTATTCTTTTATTATTTAATTAGATTTAATTTTTATTTATTTATTAAAATAGAAATATTTTTCTCCACAAAAATAAATTGTACTTTTTTTATTTTTTAAAAAATAAAAAAAGGATTAAAATTAAATACTTTTATTAACCATTTATTAGCTTATAAAAATATTTTTGTTTGAAATGTTAAGTATAAATATATAAAAAATTCTTAAACAAAATTGAAAATATATATATAATTATATTTTTATAATATTAAAATATGTATTTAATAAAAAATATATATATAATAAGCATTTTAAAAAAATCAAAATATTAATTATTAATTAACTTAAAAGATATATAATTTTATTAACTTTTAAATCAATGAATTATAAAGAAAATCTTTTAAGAAAATTATTATGATTATTTTTTACATATTATATATATATATTATTTAAAAAAATAATATAAAATATTATTGGATTTATAATTTATTATTTGTAATATAATATTTAAATATTTTTGTATTTTTATTTAATATATTTATTTTTGTCTTTAATAATTTTTTTAAGAAATTATATAAATAATTTATTTATATTATAAATAATTTATTCTAATATAAAATTATAATTTATAAATTTATATTATTTAGACGTTTTTGTAATTTAAATAAAAATTAATATTTTTTTCAAAAAGAAATTTTTAATAATTAGAAAAATCTATATGTTATTTATTGGTATATATTAATTTAATGTTTAGCCTTATAATTTTAAAGAAATTAATCTTTTGAAAAAAATTATAATACACATGAAAATAATTTTAATGTAAATAATAATATGATCTAAAGAATTAATTTTAATATTAGAGATTAAAAAACATAATTTTTAAATATATTAAAAATATTTTTAACTTTCTCAAAAAAATAAACTAATATTATCTTAAAGCTACTTTTCAAATTAAATATTTAATTTAGAATTAGAAATAAAATTATAATAAAAAAATATCATCAAAAATCTGCTTTTATGCGATGGTTATTTATTGAATTTATGAATTTTATTAAGATTAAAAATATTATATTTTTAAAAATAAAACTAAATAGCTTTTTTATAAATAAAATTTTAGTCTTGCTTTAAAATGTTAGTTTTAATGATAAATAACAAAAAAAGGTTTTTTTTGTACAAATATAAAATAAATATTATATATATATATAAATATTATATATAAAAAAGAATTTATAATAATAATAATAAAAATATTAAATTAATAACAAATAAGATAATAATTATTTTAAGTAAACTTTTAATCCATAAAATAACAAGATATAATTTTTTATATTTAAGAAATTAAAAATAAATCTAGTAGAATATAACTGATTAATAAAATGCAATCTTATAATGACTTTAGTAATGAAATAACAAAAGAATTATATTAATTAATAAAAATATACTTGAAAAAAAGCAGATATTTTATGATATAACATATTAAAAAAAAAAAGTATAATTTATACATTTATAATAGTAAAAATTATAATTTTTGTTGCTTAAGTACTTTAATACTTTGTTGTCTAAATTAATTGAAAGAAAAATATAAAAAATAAAATTATTAAAAAAAGAAATAAAATAAAGAATTACTTAAAATTTAATTAGGACAGAAAAAAATACCTATATATTATTGGAATAAAAGAAAAAAAAAAATAATAGAAAACTCTTTTGTTTTTTTTTCTAAGAAAAAAAAAAAAAAAATATTATCATTTGATATAAATATATTTATAAAAATATGTATAGAAAAATCAACATTAATCATATTTAAAACCACAAATAAGTGAACTTACAATCCAAATTATTATCAATATTAATAAAGTGATAAAAAGGAATATAATTTTATTTCTCCTGCTCATTCTATTTTTAGTTTTTTTAGCTTATTTATACATTTTTGTCGATATTATTTATTAATCTTCACTCTTTTTATATATTACATCTATTTACTAACCTCTTTCCATTAATTTATCAATATTTTCAACCAAAATTTCCTTTAATTCACATGCATTCATTTATAGTGAGGCAAGCTTATCATTTAATTCCATATTAAATTTTATAAATAACCTATTTGTTAATTTTAATTTCTTAAACTATGATTATTATATATATAAATATTTATTTGTATATACTATTTTAGATTCGCTTTTAAAACTTTTAAACTATAAGGAAGGCATTCATCTCTAATCTTTTTATCTATTTTAAAATAAAAAAGGTCTTTCATTTCTTACAATACTTAAAATGCGCTTCTTAAAGGATATTGATTTCTTGTTAAGCTTAAAAATATGAATTATTCATCTGATTCAGATTAAAAATTATATTCTGCTAATTTAAATTATTGTTTTTTTTTCATTTATATTTTTTTTAAAATATTAAGGACTTATTAATTTAAATCATTAGATAAATCATCCTATGAATATTCAACTAATATTTATTAACCTCTACATATGCATATATATAGTAGTTCACCATTAAAAGAGTTATTCATTTAGTTTTATATAATATATATAAAATTATTGTATAATTTTTTAATTATTAATATTTATTTTTTATTCGTATAATTAATATAATAAATTAAATAATAATTTTTAATATTTATTTTAATTCAATATTATTATGTTTATTATATTAATTTATTTTATAAATTATTTTTATTTTATATATATAATTAATTTATTAAATTATAATATATATAAATATATTTATAAAAATATTAGTATAAAATATATTAATATAAAAAATATTCTTTTTTTATTACATTCAATATAAATAATTATTAAAAATTATATATTTTTTTTATGTTTATATTTTTTATTTTATATATATTTAAATTTAAGGATTATATTACGATTTTTTTTATAATAATTTATTGTATTTTTGTTTATTTTTATATTTTATTTTTTTAAATATAAATTTATATTTTATTTATATAATTTTTTTTTTTTATTATTATTTATAATCATTAGTTTTTTCCTAAAGAATTCAAGAATTCATATTCTTTATTTAAATTTTGTAATCTATAAATAAATCTGCTTTGCGGTAAATTAGAATATGCTGGTCCTATTTATTCAATTATATTTTATTATTTACAAAAAAAAAAATTAAATACTATTTGATTTTTTATTAATTGTTTTGAAATCTCCTGCCCAATGATTTTTAATAGTATATTCAAAAGAAGATTACATAACAGAGTTTCTAGCTAATTCAGCCAAATCAACAGTAGATAAATCCCAAATCTTTTTATATTTAAATATTTTATTTGATTTAATAAAATAAAATTTACTTAAGAAGCTATTGAATATTCTTCTAATAAAGGATCATTAGTCATATGAAGAATTAAAGGATCATCAGTAGAAATACTAACGTTTACTCCAATTTAAAAAAATTTATAAAAAGGTTATTTTTCATATTTCATAAATAATCTAATTATTTTTATTTTTTTGACAAATATAATATATAATTATTAATACTTATTATTTGACAAAGGACTCATTGCTAATCCAATTTATTTTAAATAGAACATATAGAGTAAAACTGGTGATTTTTCCAAAAGAATTCCATGATTGATACTATCTGCTAATAAAAAGGCACTAACTAAATGATCTATATTACCTGCCTCTCCACAATGAGGTCTAAAACTATAACAATTTAAATTCCTTTTTCTTCTAAGAATGTTTAAGCTAGTAATATTTGCATAAATATAATAAATCCAATACGCATAATGAGGATTATTTACTTTTTATATTATTTATTTATTTTATTAAAATAAAATAAAAAGGAAATACGTTTTGTCCATTTATTTGGTGGTGTCTATAAATCTTCCAAATAAAATTATTCAAAAGCACTTTCATCATCTACAGTATCAAAACCTCCTATAGTAGCTAAAAATTAGTGCAAAATTGGATCTATTTCAGGATTTATAGTTATCTCAAAGAGTGGTTTAAATATATTATCTATCATATCTTAAAAATTCTAAATGAATCCTGCTTTTTTATAGGCCTTTTTTTATTATTAAAAAATTAAAATAATTTTTAAACTATAAAAAAAATAAAAACCTAATATAATCTAGGTATCTATATCATCCATCTATTATATTTTGACTAAAGTTTATTATTTACAACCCAACAAGCTAATTTATTCCATTCTTGAGTATTTTTTCCATATATTGAAAGTCTCCATTCTGTATATACATATTAATCTTTCTCCATTCTTTCAATTACATTTTAAGTTATTTCAGCTATGTATTTTCCGTTTATAAAATTATCTGTTTTCATAAAAATTTCCCTAAATACAGGTTAACCTAAAGGATTGTATTTATTATTAAAATTATCGAATCTTTAATATAAAGTTCTATCGGCCTTAAATAATAATTATAAATATGAAGTTATATTTTTTAATTATTATTCTTACTTTAACATTTAATGTATCTAAACTAATATGTTCTTCTTTTATTCCATATCTATCAAAAACTTATTTTAAAGTCATTATTTTACCGGTTTCATTATCTTTATATACTTCGGCATCAGGTTCATTCTAAAAATGTTAAGTAAATAAAATAAATTAATATTAGATAAAAAATAAATTAAAAATTTATATATTTATTTATAGTATTTAATAAATATTAATATAAATATTAAAATTTATATATATATATATTACTATTAATTTCCTTTTTATAAATTTTAGTAATTTTAAAGCGTTCATGGATGCTGAATGATGTATATGAGTATCTACTTTTACTGTGTTATAAAAATCTCTGTGATAAATTTTCCTTTAATCTAAAATCTCTTTATAATTATTTAAACTTTTTAATTTTTTATAATTGGATATTTTATCATATTTTTTTTTGTTACGTTTAATGCAAAGTAAACTTTTATCTTAAAAGCTATATTCTTTCTTAACATACAGTTTTATTTATTTTATTATTTATAAGCTTTTTTGTTTGTTTGTTTGTTTATTTGTTTATTCAAATATATATATATATACCTCTAATATATAAAGAACATCTTCTATGTATTCTATCATAGTTGGTATATTTTCAGTATCTTAAATTAATTCTCCATTTTAATAGGCTTTTATGATACCATCATCGCTTTTAAGAATAGTCTTTTGATTTTAATATATATATATATATTATTAGATTAATTTAAAAAAAATATAATATTTAACATTTTCCATAAGAGGTTACATTTCTATTTTATTCTAATTCCAATCAATATAAGGATTTTGCTCTTTATCATATTATATAAACTAACAGTTTAAATTTTCTATTTTTATTTTTTTTACTTTCTAATGAATTAAAATTTAATATAAATTAACCCTTTTAATCTGGTAAAAATTTATATAAATCCCTTTATTATATTGCTTTTAAAACATTTTTAGCTGCTAATTTTTATTCTTGATAAAAAAAACTATATTTTTCATAATCACAATCCTAAATAATAATTTTATCAAATTTAGCTAGCATGTATTAATTCTCTTAATGAATTAGGTTATAATCATTTTTAATTTATTATTATAACATATTTTATTTTTCATCCTGTTATTCATCTTCAAAGCATTCTTATTAATTTCCTTTAAGAATACAAATTGCTCTAGTAATTGCTCTAGTTCTTTATTAATCTTAATTTTTATTTTCTTCGTCTATTTCGTTATTATCAATAAATTAGCTATTCAATAATTAATCTATTTTTGATTTTGTTACATTATCTCCATCCTATATTTAAGTATTCTATTTTTTAATAATAAGTTGCATAAGATCTACTATTTGAGATTATCTTCTTTCTTTGATATATTTGTTACTAATATTTTTATTTATATATATATATATAAAACTCATCTATATTTTTGGAGTTCCGAAATTATTTTTAATTTATGTCAATTCTTACAGGTCTTCATTATCAAAGTCATCATTATTTGGTAAAAATTATTATTATAAATTCTAGTTTTGTTACATTAAAACTTTTATTGATTGTAATATATTTTTAATTAAAAAGTTAATAGTTATAAATAAATTTTAAAAAATTTATAAAAATAATAAAAAAATAAAATTAAAATTATTTAATTAATAAATAAAAATGAAATTATGATTTTATAATAATTTCTTTTTTTGTAAATATAAATTTCATAAAATTAATTAATTTCTGATTTTTTTCTTTTCATAAAATTAATAATTAATTTTATTTACTGTTTTAAATAATAAAATATATTATATTTTAATATTTAATATATATTTCAAAGAATTTATATATTTTTTATTTGATTTATAAAATCTATAAATATTTTATATATTTATAGTCTTTCTAGTATATTCAATATTATTTTAAGAAACAAATAAAAATTTATATAAAAGTAAATGTGAAAAACTTAATTTTTAAAAATAAACTAATAAATAATATCATTTTTTTTTATAAAATTATGTATAAATCCTTTAAAATAAATATGCTAAATCAATAATCTAAGTTTAAAATTTTGTAAATTTTTTTCTATACTTAATATAAACAACTATTTTTTTACAATAAAATCAAATCATTTTTTAGTAAAAAAAGAAGCTTAATATAATATTTGTTTTACCTTTCTTAATTTTATTATTTTAAGCTTCTTTTTTGCTTTACTAAAGCTTCATAAATTTTTTAATGTCAGTAACTTCTTTAGGCTTTTCATTTTTTGAGTTTAATATGAATGCAATTTATATTTTTTACCAGCTTTATTTCTTGAGAATCTTATGTAGATTTAACTTCAATAATAGTAATTATAGATAGTATTAGCAAGGAAATAAATAATGAATTGTTAAGGTCTAATTCTTTTTAATTTATTTTAAAAAATAACGTAGAAAATTTCATTAAAAATAACTGTATTCCATTATCAATTAAAATACCTATAAAATAAACACTATTACCATAATTTCTTGTAACAGAAGCAATTATTTTTTCTATATCTCAACTACCAAATAATAAGATGGAATTTTCCATTTTTTTACAATAGCATTATTTTCATTTATGTTAGGACCTCATATTAACCATCCTATTATTTCTAGTGAATTGATTCTATTACAGCATTTTACTAACCATTCTTATCAAAAATAATAAATCACATATGATTATGTTTATAAATAAACAGCTTAAAATTATTCAAAATTAGTACAATCGATTTTTGTTATGTTCGTTTAATTAATTATTTTTAAAAAGGAATAATAGTTAATGCTTTTATACAGTTGCATAACTTAAATATTTTACTTATTAATAATCTAGAAAATATTATTAATCATGTATAGCTACTTTTTCTATAATTCTAATCAATGAAGTAGTTACTAGTTATGCAAATATATATTTTATTTTATTAAAGAATATTAAAGTTACTAAATTTAAAATAAAGCTAATGTTATTTAGAAATGATTATAAATTTTTTATTAAATTAAGCTATTTTGTAAGAAAAAATTTCTAATTAATGCTAATAATTAAATAATAAAATAAATTAGCATAATTATAATAATTATTTTTTAAAAATAGATTAAGTTAGAATAATTTTAATTTTAAATTAAATTAAAATAAATATATTATAATTAGTTATTTTTAGAAATCTCAAAATGTTATTATATAAATTTTTTGAAATAAAAAATTAGATATTATTAATACTATAATTTTTATTTTAAACATATAGTCAATTTTTTAAAAATAATTCGATAATCTAATAGCTTTATATATAAATAGCTTTAAATATTTGTATTTAAGAATAAATAAATATATTAATAGTAATATTTATAGAAAATAATTATTTAAATATCAAAACTTTATATTACAATAAGATGGATATTATGGAGAAAAAAATTATTTATTTATTATAATTTTATATTTATTATAATAATTTATTTTTATAAATTAACATTAAAAAAAAAATTATAAAGTCTTTAATTTTTATAAAAAGTTAATTAATTAATTTTATTTTATAATTATTTTTATTTAATATAAAATATATAATGTAAATAAAATAAATTATATCTATATATTTTTTTTTTATTTATATAATTTTTTCATAATTATTTTTTATATAATTATAGCTTTTTATACAAATTAATATATATAATATTTATTTATATTATTTAATAATATGAAATAATATTTTTTTCGCCTTTAATAATTAATTTTATTCTTTATATATTTATTTAATTAAAAAATATAAAAAGTGGATAAAAGGAATAAATTATATTTTTAATTTTAAGTATACATATTTTTTAAATTTCTATTTTTTTATTTTTATTTTTTCATAATTAATATTTTATCTATTACCATTATTCTTAAATTATATTTTAACTTAGATATATAATTTCTTCTGATTGGGAAAATACATTTTTTTTTTTTAGTTTATATTAGCTTATATTTTAATATTTATATTTATTGACTCCCTAATAACTAAATTTAGCTGATTATTATTTTAGATGTTATGAATAAAATTCTAAAACTTCTTATTTACTAACTTTTATATTTGCCCAATCTTAATCAAAAGCATTTTATTTTATTTATTAATTTAATAATATTTTATTCCAAATAATATCTAGCTACGTAAAAAGGTTTGAATCATTATTTTTAAATTTTCTAAAGTCTAATACTTTTTATTAAAAATTAAATAAAAAATATATTAATAAATTAAATACATTAATCAAAATCTATTGTATCTTCCAAGTTTTATATTTAAATAAAAACCTTTTATAACATTTTTTCTATTTTAGCATTCATATACTAAACATCGAATCTATATCCTTGAATATAAATGCAAATTCCATATATATTTGGTCCAGGAGATATTAAAAAAGCTTAAGCAATATAACCCAATTAACTAATACTTCTAAGATAATAAAAAGAATTCGCAGATATAATTTTTTAAATTATATTTATAATTTTTAATTCTTTATTTACTTATGTTTATTTTAATTAATAATAGTTAATGATAAAATTATTATTCTGATCAAAGTTTTCTGAAAATTCTCTTAAAACAAATGTTTTTTTATCTTGATTTTGAATATTAAATGTGTGCAAATGTAATTTATTATTTAAAGAAATCTAAAAAATATTAAAAATATAATAATTTAATTTATTTATTTTACACTTTTATATTCTAATTATTATAGTAATTATTAATATTAGTTTATAGCCGTTTGTTAACTCAAACAACCTGCTATTAAAATTTCCAAATTAAAGTTATTGGTTATTTCATTAAACCAAGTTTAAAATTTATTAAAATTAATTTTTTTATTATTATTAAAAATATTTATTTTTTCTTTATATGAATAATTAGAACTCTTTAAAACATTAAAAAGTTTTTATATGTTAAGTAAGGTAGGCTATTCTTCATATTATTAATAATTTTAGCTTATATATTTTTCTTTTAGATATTCAAACTTTTCTTCATTAATATTTATTTAATTTTTTAATATCATATTTAAAAGTAAAGAAGCATATTCTTATATATCATCGAATTTTGTGAATAAAATCAAATTCATTCCAAAAATATTATTTTAAAATAATTCTATAGTTAATAACTAATTCATATGTTGAACAAGCATTCTATAAATAAATATATATTTAATATTTTTATATCATTTATAATTAAATAAATACTCATAAAATATTTGGTTTTCAATTTATTAAGACTATTTAGGATTTTTTAAAAGAATTAGAGAAATGGCATTATTTTTATTTTAAAGTGAACATTCATATACATACCAAAGTTTTTAATTATTTTCATTTTTTAACATTTATATATTATCAACTTAAATAATTTTTTTTAATAATTGTGATTAATTTTAATAAGTTTATTTTAAAAGAATAAAATCATCTTAAACAAAATATTTTTTAAAAAAATTATTTTTTTAACTAAATTTTTAATCTTAAAATATATTTTTTTATAAAAGTTTTTATTTATCTTCTTTATTGAATGTATATACTTAATATTAAATTTACCATAATTCTGAAATAACAAATTTATTTTAGTTTTAATTATTTAATATTAAAAATTTATTTAAATCTTCAAAATGTTCATTAAAATTAAATTAAATTTTCTATTAAAGCTCTTAAAGGTTAGAGCGGTATATAATTATAGTATTATCTAAATTTATTTAATTTAAAATATTTTAAATATTATCTTTATCATAATTATTATAATCATATTAATTAAATAAGGTTTTTCTATAATCATTTTATTCTGCGAACTATAAACTTAAATTAACTAATTGTTCAAATAATGACTGAAATTCTAAACTTTCAAATTTTTATTTTTAATCTTAAGATATGTTTTAATAATTTTTCTTTTTTAAATTTTTGTAAAAATAAAAAATACAATAAAATTGTTTATCTCTAAAATAAAATTTTACTTCTAATAATGAAATATGTGCAACTGTCTAAAAACATTAAAAGAATATATTTATAATTTCAAATTATTTCAATAATCCCTATTATGTTAATTAAACAATTACTCCGAAAAAAACCTCTTATTAACTAATTTCTTAATATGTAAATTAGCAATTAGTTGCATAAAAAATATTTTAAACAAAAGAACAAAAAGGATCTTTCATTTTTTATTAAAAAATATAGAATATATAATCTATTGATTTATTTTCATAAGATTTTAGAGGATCTACAATAACAAAAATTGTTAATTCTTTTAATTCAGTTAGACTTTTTAATTTAATATATTTTCCTTTATTATCTTTAGAAAATGCTTTTTTTGTAATTTGAAATTAAGGAGAATTTCTTTTTTAAATTTATTCAAATAAATTATTCATGCTTTATTTAGTTTATTTATAAGATTCTTAATCAACAATTATAGTTAAAAACATATTTTATGGTACATAATAAGATTATATATATTTTATAACAGAATTATCTAAATCTTAAACAGCTTTTTTTAAACTCTAATTTGATCCAATACTAAACTTACTAAAAAGACTATCTTTATTAGCTAAATCTGTTAAAACAAACATATTTTAATTAATAGCTTTTTATAAATAAAATATATATAAATATATATATATATATATATATATATATATATATATTTATATATACATATATATATAAATATGTGTATTTAATAAATTAAGAATTCTATTTACATGTCGATATAAAATTCATATATTCACTATTAATTGCATATGTTTCTTTTTCTGCTATATTTTTTATTAATTTAGGATTATTTATAAAATTTATTAATTTATCAAAGGAGTTATATAAATCTTTTAAATCTAAATAACAAAAAGGATAAGTAGTAGTATTTTGCATAGTCATTCCATTTATTTATCCATTTTTATATATACCTTTTAAGATAATATCATCAACAATTGGAGGATATTATAAAAATAATAAATGCTTTTTTTAAAAATAAATAAATTAATAAATATGTAGTAATATTATTATATATAAGCGTTTACTTCTGTAAAATGTGATAATCCTAACATATCTTTAGGATCTTAATAACTACCTACACCTTTTATAGTTAATGAAGCACCTATTTATTCAGTTTTATTTGCTACTGCTATCAAAACTTTTATTCCATTTTCGAGATTATAGTATTCATAATTAAATTTGTCATTTTTAGGTTTTATGATATCTGTTTTAGATTAGTATTTTTTTTTAAGATGATTTTTATTTAGTTTGAAATAGCTATGTATATATTAATTTTAATTATCAAGAGCTATAAATAAGAGTGTAATAAAAATTAAATATATTGAATAAATTAATGTTTTTTTTTTGTTGAAATATTTCATTTATATTTATTATTTAGTTTATAAAAATTAAATAAATATAGGATATTCTATAATATAAAAATAAATTAATAATAAAGAATTATATATTCAAATAATATATATTAATGTATTTTATATTGATTTTTTTTAAAAAAATTATTAATATAATTTATATTTAAATCTTCAAATTTTTTAAAAAAAGTTTTATTTATTATTTCAATAATTGAAATTTTTAAGTCTAAAATTATAAAATGTATTATATCCACTTTTTTTATTATTCTACTTAGTTTCAGATTTAAAATTCGTTCTTTAGTTATTTTTAGCATTATAAGTAACAATATTTGGTCCAGTATTAACATAATTATGGAAATAAAATTATGTTTAAAACATATTTTTGTGATTAAATAAATTATTTTTTTAATTTAATCTATTAACTTAAGTAGTATTTTTCACTTCATTTTTTATTTCAGTTTTTTCTTCAATTTTTTTACTTATAATATCATGATTAATTTACATCAATTTCGGATTTTTATTTATTATAAAATTCTTCTAAGTAGTCTTACATTAAATTGATTTAACATCATTTTCTTAGTTATTTTATTATTTTAATTATAATTCGTATTATTTAAGCTATCTTTCGAATCCCCGATTTGGGCAAACAACTCTTCTTTTATTTCTAACAAAATCTAAAGCTGATTAAAAAGACATTTTGTTTTTTTTCATTAAATAAGATAATAAACAAGTTGTGCTCCTACTTATTCCTGCGGCACAATGAATTAATACACTTCCCCTTTTTAATCCATCAGAAATATCCTGGTATACTGAATCAAAAAATTAAATAATATTTTGACTTTCATGATCAAACATATTATATTGCTTATGATATATTTAATCATTTAAATTATAATATACACCTAATCCAGTTGCTGTTGTAATTACTGTTTTTATACCTTTTTCTTTTAATAATTACTTATCTAATGCTGCTGTATAATCACCTAGCCATAATGCACCGTGATTGAGGGTTGAATTTTCGTCTAGAATTTTATTTATGTTTTAATAGATATTATATTAAGTTCTTCTGAACATTTTTTTTATTATTATATATTATTAATTCTGTAAATTTATATAAAAATAATTAAAAATTTATTTATTAAGTTAGCTTTTTTTTAAAAAAAATTGTTGTTAGAATTTAATTTTTTATTTTATGTAAATTAAGAGCTCTAAAAAAGAAAAAAAAAATTAAAAATAATTCAATATAAAATTAAATTAATATATATAAATTATTTAGAATATATATTTATATTTTATATATATATTTTTAAAAAGATATTTATTATCATGTAGAATTTCAAATAAAATAGATTTTTTACTTTTTTTCTCATTTTTTCATTTAAGAATATATACTTTCATATTTATTTTAATAAGATTCTTATATAAAATATTCATGATTATTATTCTAATTTTAAGGACTAATATTATTACTATTTGTTGAAAGTGTATTTTTTTTATTGATATTTATTTAATTATGCTTATAGAACATAATTTAATTATTTTTATAATTAGGAGAGTTAGATAACATTTAAATATTGGCAGAATTAGAGCTTTTTTATAAAAAAAAGTTATTTTTATTATATATATCTATATCATTATTATTTTCATTGTAATTATTTTTTAAGTATTCTGGTTTTTTAATTTCATTTCTATCCGATTAAATTTTAATTGGCTTATTATAATTAAAATGATTTACATTATCAATATTTTTATAAGATTTATAGTTTTTATCTTTAGTTAAATTTAATTTATTTTCTTATTTGATTTAAATTATATTATTTGGTTATTATTATGAGTTAGTAATATCATTAAATTTGAAAGTACACTATTTTAAACTACTCAATAAATTATTTTAAGAATTGCTATAAAAATAGTGATTATTTCTAGATTTAATATAAGAAGTTGGTGTATAAGATTTTATTTTTACTTCATTATTTTTATTAATTAAATTATTGTTAATAGAATTTGTTCTACCTAAAGGACTTAAACTATTATATTTTTTATTTGAAGTTAAAATATTAGAAGCTTAATTTTATTTTTATTATTTTTCTATTTTTTGTCTTCAATATTATATTAATTATTATTATAATCACCACTATCAATACAAATAGTTAACATTGGTTTTGAAATATTATTTTTTAGGGAATATTATTTTTTTAAGAAATATTATTTTTTATATTTTTTAAATTTTATAAACTTGATAGGTTTTATGAACTTATTTATTATTATATTTATTAATATACTAATGCTTGTTAATTTTAATTAGTTATTTCTTTTAAGGCCAAATTTTCGGAACTTTTATTATTATTTAAAATTTTACGAAAATAATCACTTTATTCATTAAAATTTTATTGATTTAATGATTATGAATTAGAAGATAAATTTTAATCTGAATTCTTTTAATATTGAATAGTATTTTATTAATTATTAAGATTATTTTAATAATTTATAAATGGTAAATTTATTTAATAATTATTATTTTTCTAAACTTCAACTACTTTTTATTCATTTAATTGCTTATTTTAATCTATAGATTCATTATCAATTAAACAAAAAATAGAACTCCAATCATCTTATTATTATTATTCTTTTATAATGCTTTGATTATGAATATTATCCTCATTTTCTATATGTTTATTATTTTATTATTATTATTGATTTTGAAGCGAAGCGTATTTCTGAAGTTCTTATTTAAGTACATTTATTAGTTCTTCTTTTATTTCTAAATTATGTTTAGATATTTTTTCTTTTTCTAATAATATATAATATTATTTAATCCAATGATCTAAAGAATCTTTTAATTTTTTTGTTCTTATTTAAATTTTTCAATTTCTTTTTTAGTTAAATATTTTAATTATCGATTTCATTAAATTGAATTTAAAGTTATTTATTTTCTTCAATTATATTATTATTATCGTAAATATCTTCTTGTTTAATTTTTTATTTTAGTTAATTAACAAATTATTTAGTTATATAATTATTTATTCTTTTTCATTGATTATTTAATTCTTTTATTCTAATTATTGCTTTAGTAACTAATTTTCAGATTCTTATTAAGATTTTTAATTTTAAATAATTAAATTAAGTTAATTATTATCTTATTAAAGTACTTAATTTATATTCTAAACTTACTTAAGCTTTAAATTAGTTTCGTTTAATATTTTATTAATTTAATTTAATTAATTTTATGAATTTTCTTATTCTTATTTCATATTAATTTTTAATGAAATACAATTTTACTCAAATTAAATACATTTTTCATTTTATTATTATATTTAATTAAATAACTCTTTAACTTAGTTTTCTAATTTGATTTTTTCATCACTTTTTGATGATTCCTTTATTTGATTAATTTTAGCTTCTTCATTATTATTTAAATCTAATTAAATTTATAATTATTAAAGATATTATTCAGATGCTTTACTTATATTATTATTATTATTATACGTATTTGTAATATAGTTTTTCATATTATTATAATTTTATTAAGAGTTAAATTCAGAAAAGCTTTTTAAAGATTATTCAGATGTACCAAACAATGTACAATATTAATTTTCATTATATTTTATTTGTTATATATTATTTAATTCATTTTAGCAATTTTAATTATTGGATTATTATTATTAATTTTAAAAAATTTAATTTTAATTTTTTAATATATTATATTAATCGAATAGTTAAGGAATTAAGTTACAATAATTATCAATACTTTAATATTAAAAATTATCTTGATTTAATTAATTATTAATTTATGAATTCTAGATTTATTTTTTAGGATTTTCGAAACTAAGATTTATATATTATTTTATGTTATTATTTTATATTTATTAAATATTTATTTGCAAATCAGATTATTATATTTGTTATTTTTAAATTGCTTATTGTTAATACTATTATAATAATTATTACTATAAATATTAATTTTATAATTATTACTATTATTATTTTTAATTCAATTATTGCTATATTTATTACTATTGTTATTTTTAATATTATTATTACAAATCGTTTTATTATATATATAATTACTATTATTCTAAAATAAATTATTTAATATTTTATTATTATTATTATTATTATTATTATTATTATTATTATTATTAATATTTAGTATATTATTATATAATAATATCTTAACATCCTTATTTCATATTTTATTAAATGTTTTTTATACCATTACTTTTTTAATTATCATTTGTTATATTTTGAGTTTAGCTTATATTTTTTTGTATATTCTAATATTGATTTTGTTCTATTTTATTATCTTTTTAGGCTATAATTTCATTTTATTTTATATTACTTTTAATTTACTATTTATTTTCTTAATTATTTATATTTTCTGATTATATTTATGAATATGATGTATTTAATTCAGTACATTATAATATCATATTTAAGTTGTTATCATATTTGCTAAAAATTTCTTAACTTTCAAACTACCAAAGTCTTATTTATCCTTTAAAATCTGAAGTTATAAAAAAATTTTCATCAAGATTTATAATATTAGAAATTTCACTTTTATGCTTACTACTAAATTAAGAAATAATAAAATTTTTTAGGTTTATTACTGAATAGTCATTTTGATTATTTACAACAATAAATTCTTTATTTAAATAAGAAATCTATTTAATAATATTATTTTATAATTCTATTTTTTTAACCATTTATTCTTTTTTTATACTCCAAAATGTTAAAATTCCCTCATTTCCACCTAATATTAGCTAGTCTGAATCTTAAGGATTAAAAATAAAAGAATTAGTTTAAGTATAAGTCAATACTTATTATTCTGTTACTTATTTTTTTAGGTTGTATATATTTATATTTCCATCTTTTGTACAAATTATTATTTAATCTTTATTTTTTTAGCCTGGAAAAAATAAAGATTAGACGACTTTATCATTTTTATCAAGATTTATATTCATTAATTAATTTTTGATTTTAAAAGTTTTATCTTATTCCAAAAATTAATATTAGAAGAATTTATTTTTTTCATCAACCAAAAATACACTTTATTTATTATATTTAAGAACTTCTACATAATCAATATTATTGTTATGGGTGGAAATGTTTTCTACTTTTTTATTTTTCCAATCAATAATAATCATTATATTTCCTTCTACTCCTATTAAATATTCAACAATTCCAAATAAAATTTTACAAACCCTATCTATTTTGAATATTTTTTTAATTCTTCCTGTTCTCCAATTCCAAACTTTTATTTATTAATCTTCTGAATAACTTGCTGAATAAAACTTTTCTAATTTTTATAAATATAATACTTTTCCATTGTGAGCATTCGTTCCTTTACAATCTTATAGTTCTTTGGATTTAAGACCGTTTGTATTATCAATAGCTATTTCTTTTTTTTAATTTATATAAAGTTAATAAAAAAAATTAAACCGTAATCTGCTTCAAAACTTTAATTATTTCCATTTAGCCAAGAATGAATATCAAAAACATTATCAATAGTTAATAGCCAAGTCTAATATTTATTTAAATTCTATTATAAATAAGCAAATCCAATTAATGATATTCCTCCGAGTAAAGATTCATCATTTACAAATAAAGGCATTTAATTGTAAAGTTTTATTTGAGAACTAGCAACATCTAAAGGGTTGTATTTATCGAATATAAGGAAGTTTTTATTGATTTAATAAGTATTTATTTTGTGGATTTGCTTTTTTTTATTTATTTCTATTGGCATTAGTATATTTTATTCTATATTTGAGTTTAAAAATTCATCGAAATTCTTTATATGGACTATACCGCAACTTTCAATATCATAAATAGGTTATTCTAACTACATTATGGAATACGGACAATATTATTATTCTATTATTGAATCTTAATTCCATTCGTCATATGTGAAACTTTTTTCAAAATAAATTTCTTTTATTCCTATATACTAGCCTTATGATGTTTGAAAAACAAAAGAATCCCTTTAACTTTATTATTTGGTTTTTAAAGAAATTACATTCACTATTGGAGTTATTATATGCTAGTTTGAAACTAAAACTCCTGTTCCTTCCTTTTTTTGATTTTCTTGGAAATATAATAATCTGCCTATACTTTTGTGCATATCTAGCTTGTTTTGTGATTAAATTCCACATAAATTACGGTTTTATTGTACACCTATTATTCTAGTTGAATCCATAATTAATTTATAAAAAATATTTATCTAATAATAAATATTATTACTATTTTTATTTAATACAGTTAATATTTTTTTTTTATTTAAATTAATATTCTTTTAAATATAAATGAAATTATATATATACAAAATAATTAAAATAAAAATAAACACATATTTATTAAATAGATTAATCTTTTATCTAATTTTAGGTCGAATTACTTAAAATAAAAATTTAAATAATTTAATAAAGAGAATAAATATAATAGTAATATATCTCAACAACAAAAATTGGGTAAAAAATATAAATATACCAAGGTTGGCAATATATAAAGATTATTGGGGATTATATAACTAATTAGTGAAAGTTATAAGCAAAAAATTTTTTTGTAAATAATTTGATTTCAAATAAGATAAATTTTGAGTGTTACTATTTTGATTTTTAATTAAAGTAAGTAGTTAAATGTATTGAATATTATTGTTGTTATTATTTATTTACAAAATTAGCAAGAGGAAGTTTTTGAGTTTTCATTTATAGAAGCTTTTATTTAGGAAGATTATTTGGTTGATTATATTAATATTAAAGTTATTTTAGCTATCAAGATATAATTTTTAATATATATATATATAAGTTGTATTTATAATGTTTTATTAAATTTTTTAATTTAATTTTTTTTTTATTAATATATATATGATTTATTATTTAAGAAAAAAAAAAAAAAGCTTAATATTTAATATTGAAAATACATATACTTTCGTTAATTTATTAAATAATATTTTTAAAATAAAAGTTTATCAATTTATAGTATTTAAATATTTATTTTTTTATTTAATAATTTTAAAATTAATTACTATTTATACTATATGTAGATATTATTATATTGCTAATCATAAATTATATATTCATAAAACATTAAAACTTTAAATAATTAACATTATATAATTATAATATTTAAATATATGCAATATCTCTATTTTTTAAAATATATTTATTCTTAAGATTTTAATTTTATTTCTATTTCAATATTTTAAATCTTATTATTCTTATTAATTTGCATTTTTTAATTATTTTTCTAAATATTTTAAAGTATTTTATCCAAAATCTATAGCCTCTTTGTATTTTATTGAACACCTATGTAAACAACTTAATTAACCAACTGATAAATTGGGTTTAGAAACATCTTCAATACATTTATTTAAACATGTTTTTTACATTATTTTGTAGGTTAATGCTTAATTTATATTGTTTTCATTTTATGTGTTTGTATTAATACTCATTTAAATAAAATGTATTTTTAAAAAATTTAATTTTTTATTTTTTTGTATTTCTATGTAATTAAAAATTTCTTATTTAAAAGTAACTTTGTAATAAAAGATATAAAAATTAATTTAGTATAAAATAAATATTTTAAAAATGATAATAAGTATTATATTTAATATTATTTAGATCACAATATTATTTGTCTTTTAAATATTTACATATCAAATTGAAATAATAATAATATTTATAAAACAAAAAAAATATATATTATAGATTGTTAATATTATAATAAAGAAAAAATAAATTTTTTTAACTAAAAAAATAAAATAAAGTTTATTTATATATATAATGAAGTATTTTATTTACAAAAAAATAAAAAAAGTATTATTAATAATATATTAAAATTGGTTTATTAATTATATAATTTTTTATATATTTATTTATTCTAGTTATAATTAGTAAAAAAATAAAATAAAAACACATTCATATTTATATTTATATTTATATTTTTTATTCGATTATATATAAAAAGCAGCCTATTTATTATTTTCAGTTATTAACATTATTTTCTTCATAAAAATCTTCTGTAGATAATTTGTTTCTTTCCTATTCCTATATTCTTTCTGCATTAGTTCTATTAAGAGTTTATTTCATTAAAAATACACTGAATAATCCTACAGTAAATACACATCCAAAAGTACATATGCACCAAAAAGCTCCTGATTTTTTATCACTTCCGCTTTCAATAATTAAACTAAAACCGCTCCCTAATACAAACCCAATCACATGAGAAATACTATATAAAAATCCCGAAACAATAGCTTCTCCTACAGGGAAGCATACTTCATTTGCCAATTCGAGCATTATAGGAATTATTGGAATTATAAAGAATCCTAAAACTATGCAAGGAATCAATACTAGAGCAAATAATTCAGTTTGAAGCATAAAAGCGAATAAAATAATACTCAGAGTACTGGATATAATACATAGAATTGCAAGTCTTTTATATTAAAATGTTTTTTTGAGAAGCCTTAAAAGTACTACTGAACCCAAGATACCTGATGCGACGCATATTATACTAGATATAGTCGTTTCAGTAGTTCCGAATCCATATGGACTTATTACTTAACCAAGAATGACTGCAAAGTCAATAAAGGAGCCATATATTAAGGAAAAACAGAGGGTTATAAGTAAATAGGTTTTATTTTTAATTAAGAATTTTAATGAGTCGCCAAATTCCTCACGTTAAACTTTAGATGAATAACTAGGAGGAGTCAAAGGCTTATCTTTATAAAAAATTAAATTAACAATTGCAAAAAGAGAGACTATAATAGCTTAGAAAAGTAATAAATCAAAAGTTAGTTTTTTTCCTTTAGTATATTATGGGTCGTCATTATTTGTAGTGTATGAAGAAAAGTAAATTCCAGGAATCAATAAGCCTATTATACCAGAAACTGTAGAAAAAAAACTCAAAATACCAGTTATAAATGCTCTTTGGGCTGGATAGAACCAATTTGATGAAACTTTTTTATTATATTTTTATTAATATTAATTTTTTTTTATTTACTTTTGCTAATTGCATTAATAATAAATGGATTTGCACAACCTACAAAAAATTAACCTAAAATTGCATAATTAAAACTATAATTAACAAAGCATTTAATCCAACAGGCTATTAATGCAAATATACAGCCTATTGTGTTTCCTACTTTAGTTCCATACTTTTCAACTATATAGTTAGCTGGAAAAGACATTGGGACATGAACTATCATATGGATTAAGCTTGTGAAATTATATATAAGGGTAGATTTTTTATATACTTAGATTAATTCAGCTGCTTATGGGGAAAAAGAAGTTTACATAATGGATATTTGAATCATTCCGAGAACATATATGAATAAGTTAAAATATCTGTATCTATAAACCCTGAAATTTTTTTCGGCATTTTCTTCGATTCTTTCGAGGTCACTTTCATTTATGTTTTCTTCTTTTTGGAAAAAACTTTATTCTAATTCTTGTTTGGGTTCTGCCATTTTTTTTTATTTTTTTGATGGGATTGTTTTTCTTTAATTTATTTTATTTATTTTAATATATATATGTTTAATTATTTTTTTTTATTTATATAATTATGATATTTTATAGTAAAATTTATATCATTTTATATTTTTTTAATAATAATTTGAATATGATAAATTTAAAAATAAATGAATTTAAAGTTTGATTATTAATTTTATAATTTTAAATAAAGAGTAATAAATAAATTACTATATATTGGTTTTTAAAAATAATAATTAAAAGTATCATATATGTAATATTATGATTATATATTTAAAAATGTATTTATGTCTTAATTAATAATAAATATTTTTTTATAAATCTATCTATTATAATTTAAAAAAATAAAATATCAAAATATATATTATAATTAAAATGGCTTTTTTTTTTAAAAAAAAAATAATTAAATAAAACTCAATTTAATTTTAAAATCTAATAATTTTTATTTTTTTTTAATTTAAAAAAAATAATAATTTAAATAGTATAATAAAAATTTAATTTTATTGCATTTAAGAATTAAAAATTATTAAAATATTAAATAATATTATTACTATTTTTAATCAGTAATAAAATTAATTTATATTTTATTATTTTCATGCATAATCTTATTTTTTTAAAAATTATTCTTCTAATTATTATTCATCCTAAACTATACTTGTATCTATATTCTCTTTTTTATTTTTCATTAATTTATATAAAGAACAAATAAATCCTAATAAACATATTCCAGAAAATATAAATCCTAAATATAATATCAATTCTCTTATTAAAAGTCCTGTTTTTAGTTCACCAAACAAAGATATTACCTTAAGTAAACAAAAAATTAAGAAATTCAAATAAATTTTAAAAAAAAAATTACTGCATCTTCGGTTAAGTTTCCGGACCTATGTACATAAAAGAAGGGTATCATTACTCTATCATTTTATAATTTATTAAATAAAATATCTTTTTCTAATAAGACTACACCTTATAAATTAAGTACGATACTGAGTGAGGTTCCTCTTTTTTTATTTTGGAAAAAAAAGTTATTTATATTAATAAAAATATTAAGTTTTTTTAATTATTTATACGTTATTGGTTCCACCAAAATAAATGTTTAATCCCAATTACTTGGATATTATGGATTTCCGTCTGTATTATAAACATCTATAAATTAAGTCATATCAGGATCTATATTTAACATATGAGTTTTAGTATTAAAAATTGGTCCAGATAAAATTGAAGTTAAATTAAGAGTATTATTATAATCGTAATTGTACAACTTTTATATTAAAAATATAAATAAAAGTATATTTTTTTTAAAATACTTTTGCGTTTTCTTAGCAAACTTTTTAACTTTATAAAAAACATCCGCTTACTTCAAAACGATTAGAATTCAATCCAAAATAATTCTAATTTTATTAAGTATTTTTTACTTATCCTCCTTAATAAAGGGTATTTATAAAAATATTTAAATTAGAATCTTCATCTAAATCGGGCTTAAAGATAATATTATTAAAAATAAAAATATATAATAAATTTGTATAAAAAAAAAAATTATATATATAAATATTAATAATATATTTATTTATATAAATATATAATATATATATATAATTATATATATATATTTTTTATTTTACTTCATTAGCTCCTGCATCTGTACCTTATATTTATATATTTTCATCCCATGGGCTGACTAATTAATTACTAACTTAAAATCCATCAAATATTTACTTATTTATTGTAACATAAGGAAATTAGTTTATTTAATAATATTATCTGACTTATTTTATATTTTCTTTTCCAGTGTACATTCCTTATTTTTAAGCTTGAGTCGGATCTGACATATTCAAATCATTATAATTAACTATTAAAGATATTGACGGATCTCCTCCTTATTAAGGATTTTAATATTTTAAATTTATTAAAAACGGATCTTCATATCCAAATAGGTAATTATATGCTGTGTTTTTTATTGTCAAACCTCCAAAGCCTGTAAAAATAACCATATATCTTTATATTTATTTTAAATAATAAATAATATTTTTAAAAAATATACCTTATATAATCTAAAACTTATGCTGGTTCTTAAAACATATAAAAATCCTTAAACTATGAAATATTTTCATCCAAGAAAATTTGCTAAATTTTAGTTCCTGAAAATAGCATATTAAAGCTTAGTAATTAAGATGCCTCTTCATATGTAAAATTTTAAAATTTTAGTTTAAAAGTATCTTAAAATGTATTATAAAAATAATTATATTCAAAAGGAGATGGAAATAATTTTTCACCAAACCAATCTTTTACAGTTAATGAAGGTTTGAAAATATCTTAAATTTCTTTAGGAATATTTAAAGTAATTAATGATTCTTTCCATTACTTTACTGCTATTTCATATTTCGAACATCTATTTCCATATTCGGAACAATTATATAGTTTTTGTAATTAAAGATCTGTTTAATATATTGATTATCCCTTTTTTATTTAATTTTTTTTAATATATATATATATATATATATATATATATATATATATATTTATATATATTTATATATATATATATTTTATTATACTAAAAATTAATTATTATGTTCGTACATCTAATAAATAATTTAATTTGAAATATTAAAGTCTTTTTAGAATTAAATGCACATATTTAAATTTTGAAAATGTTTACATTCATATAAAAATTCAATAGATTTAGGTGAATAATTAGGTTAAAAGTGTATTGAATTTGTACATATATTATCTATTTATAAACTATTATTAATATATTTTTAGAATAATTTTTAGCAACTATCTATTCCTTGCTATTATAGTTTTTTATAAATAACTTATCCTAAAACTGTATTTAATAATATTTATTAAGTATTATTAAAAGATGAATATATTGCCTAACTTCCTATTCCTCCTAAGCCTGCATAAGCTTAATTACCGCCTTTAGATCTCATTTCTGCAAATTCATTTACTATATAAATACAATATTTCCAAAAAACAAAGGCTCTGTCAATAATTTAATCTTAATAGTATTCTGAAATTAAAAATCTATCAGCAATTAATTACAAGTAAGTCTCATTTTATGTCTATTCGAATTATTTTCCCCAAGAATATAAAATTTTTAAATTACCTTAATTAAGTAATGAGTAGTTAGTTTTTATAAAAATAGTATAGTTTACTGGATTTTCAATATATTCCATTATTTTTTCAGCCCATTCATTAGTAAATTTTAAATTTTGATATTTTGTATCATTTGAGATATGATTAGGTAAATATTTTTAAAGAAAAAATGATATTTCAGGAAAACCGATTGTTGTAGTATTTGTAGATGTAATCGATTCTATTTTATCACCTATTGGTGGATTATTAGATATTCCTTATTAAGACCATTGTAATGCCTTTTTTTTTATAAATATTCGCTTTTTTAATAAAAAAAATTAACTGCATAATATGAATTGTTATCTAATGTATCATTTCCTAATGCATAATAGTCTTTTAATATATTCACACCAAGTGAATATGTTTCACTTATATAATGATAAATACTTTAAATTTATTATAAGGATAATTTAAAATAGTCCATTAGGAATATTTAAGAACCATTTTTTTAATTATTATTTAAATCCTCTTCATATGCTAATATCCATGTTTAAATTGTACTTGAATTTCCTAAACCATAACTTTTGTCATATAGTAGTTATTATTTTTAATCTTTTGTAAATTTTTAGTCTAAGAAATATTTACTATCTAAAGATTAACTTGTATTGAATAATGTTGATTATACTGTACTACCTATTACAGATGGTTTTATTTATTATTTTAAACCAGAAAATAAACTATAAAATGCTTTGTTTTTATATTATTAATGTAAAGAAAATTATATTTTAATACCTTATATTCCTATTTAGGTTTCTGATGCTAATTTTAGTTAGTACCAAAAGCTTAAAGGTCCTAAATTAACACAATTTTGTATTTCTTTTTTTATTTTTTTATTTTTAAAGTTTAAAAAATATATAAAAAAGGAAAATTATAATATAAATTAATATAATTTATAAATTTAAAAAAATAAAAAGAAATCATAAACAAAATTAAATAATTCTTTCATAAATATATATTTTTTTTTTAATATATTTCTATTTAATATTTAATTCTATAATTTACCTTATGCGTTTGTTTATTTAATTGCATGAAAATATTAATAATAATCAAAATCAACTTTAGTTTAATCTTCAGAAAACTAAGGATTGTTAAACTCTTAGAATTCTTAAAAATAAAATTTTTTTGATTCTTAAAGATGTGGCTTCTTTCCCCTAAAAACAAAATCTTCAGGATTTTCAAAGTTATAAAAAGTGAATTATCTTTCAATTTCCATCTTTGTATCTCCAGGAATCATTCCCCATTAACTATGTGTTTTACTTGTCATTATTATTTATTCTTTCGCTTAGCTTTTAATAAAATTTAATAATATGATTGGTAAAGAAATAGCCATAGTTAATAGTAATAAACCGCATATTCCAAAAAACCAAGTAAAACGTCTATACCTATTAAGATTTTTTTACTTTAATAATTGTGTATCTAAATTTTAATCCATTTTAAAAATTAAATGATTTTTTTTTTTAATATATTAGTATTATACAATAAAAAAGAATTGTGTGTTGTTTATATATAAAATAAATTAATTGTAAAAATTACTAAGAAATATATATTTAATATAATTATATTTTACATTTAATTTTGTATAAAAATTAGTCTTTTATAAATCAAATTAATATTTATAATATTTAAAATTGATAATAATTTAATTATTTTTTTCAAATGTAAATAAATTTTGAATAATTATTAAATATAAATTTATATATAATTTAATTTTTATAACAAAATTATATTTAAATATATAAATTTTTTCTTTAATAAATATAATAGTTTAAATTATATAATAATATATATAAGTTCATATATTATTTGAAAATTCTTAATATATATTAACTTTGTAATCTATAAATCCCAAATCGAAAATTCCTTCCGATATACCACAACCATAATACCTATACGAAAAAAAAAAAAAAAAAATTAGAATAAAAATTAATTTTTATTTTTTTTATTAAAAACCAATGTAAAATGCTCTTTTTTAATACAATCTAAAAAAACTATTTTTTATTTCTTTTAATGGTTATATAATTGAAGTATGATTTTATATTTTGAATATATTTTTATCTTATTAATAGAAATTATCATTAAAATAATACTAAGCTTTCTAAACTTATTATATTTAAGAAAATTTATATGGAAAATCATATATTTATTGTTACTCTGATTACTTTATGTATTAAAAAATTAATTATTAATGTTATAAAAATTATATTATTTACATTTATAATTTATTGTTTACTTTAATTAATATATTTAATTTCATAATTATTAATATTTCCCATTTATAAAATACAACTTGAAATAGGTTTACCTTTTTATAAATTCAAATTAATACCTTACTAGATATTTTAATTTAAATTTTAAAATATTTAATCTTTTTTTAAAATATTTTTATTAAAAAAATATTATATTATATATTATTTTCATTAATTAATATAATTATTAAAATATATAAACAAAATAATAATAAAATAGATAAAAATATTCATTTTATAAACTAAATAAAAACTAGTTTTTCTTTATTGAAAACATTGTTTATATATTTATAATTTATATAAATTACTAATAAATAAAAACTTAGGAATTTTAATAAATTAATATATTAAAAATAAATATTAACCTTAATTTATTTTTATATAATTCTAAATATTTTGATTACCAATAGAAGAAAATCTATAATTCATCTCTTTAAAAGGTAATATGCATTTAAATAACTTCGGAATATCTTGATACATTGTTAAAAATATACAATTAGCTATATATTAGTTTACATTTTTATAATTAGATTAACTATAGTCTAAATTATTCTTTAATTAAATTAATTATATTTTTTTTGAAAAAAAATTAAATTTTACTTAAAGTATTTAATATATTTATCTATTTTAAAATAATTAATTTAAAGTATTATCAAATTCATTTTATAAATACAATAAAGCATTATATACCCCAACAACATTATTATTACAATTGTTTTTCTCTGGCCAAACATCAAAACATATCTTATACTTTTTATCATATTCTGATTTTATATTTTCTTATAACAAAGTGCTAAACCCACTCCCTGTACCACCTGTTATACTTTAAATAAAATAAAAGCCTCCAAAATTACCACATTTTTCTATTTCTTTATTTATTATATTATATGATTCTTCATACAATTTTGATTAAAAATAATAACCATTTACAAATTAATGACCACAGTCTTAATTTTTTTATATAATTTTGTTTTAAATAAAATTATTATTAAGCAAGGCATTTTATTTAAGAATTTGTTAAATTTCCATTTTATCAGTATCGATTATTACGCTTCAAGGGATTAAAGTATTATATTAATTATCAGAAAAAAATTTGGAAATATTATTTTTATCTATTAATTATTAATTTTAAAATGATTTTATCATCATTTCCCAATAATCAGCACATATTTTTGAGCCAGCTCCTCCTATAGATATTCCTATAAATTATTAATTCATAATTTGTATAATTATTAGTATAAAAAAAAAAATTCGAAAAAAGTATGCAATAAATAAAATGTTAATATATTAATATAAAAAATAGTAAATTAATCAAATAAAAAAAAAAAATATATAAAGAATAAACAGGAATGAATTATAATGAAAGAATATATTTATATTTTGAAAATTAAAAATTATAAAAAGAGGATAATTAAATATAAATAAAATATATATATATATATATATATATATATAGAAAAGAATAATTATAATAAAAATATGTATTATAAAAAAAAAAATATGAAAAAATAAAAATATATTTAATAAAAAATAAGAAAAATTATAAATAAAAAATATAATATATTTATTTTAAATAAAAAATATAATATATTTATTTTAAATAAAAAATATAATAAAAAGATATAAAAATTAAAATTAAAATTAAAAAAAAATATAAAAAAAAATATAATATAATAATAAAAATTAGTTTAAAAATAAATATTATTATAAGAAACATAACAATAATAAAAACAATAATAATAATAATAAATATAATAATAATAATAATAATAATAATAATAATAATAATAATAATAATAAAAAAAAAAACTAATTATATAATCAAATAATTTTTTTAAAAAATAATAAATATATTAAAAAACATTAAATTATTATAAAATGTTATTTAATATTTTTATTTTATATATATTTATTTATTATTCTTCAAAAAGAAATACAAAAAAACTACTTTTCAATAAGTTCCTATATCGAATTAAGGTAAATTTTCCCATAGAATATTTAAAGCCATCTTTTGTAAATTCTCCATAATTTCAACACTTTCAAATAATAAAAATTATTCCCTTCCTTCAACATTTGTTAAACATATCTTCAGTATCTATTATCTAATAAATTATTCAGCCACACAATGCTAAACAAACACTTCCAAATCTTCTTCTTTCTATACAAAAACACTTGCCTTATTTTCAAGTACACTATCAGCTAAATTAATCGGTATTATTGATTACTCTTCCTATTTTTCCTCAATTCTACTTGATAAAGGATTTAATTATAAATTTTCTAAATTGGGTTTTATTTTCAACAAAGCAACTTATTTAATATTTTCTTAGCTTTTTACAAAGCAAAACTTTATTTTTTGTTACAAAGCTTCTTCTTTAAAAATTCCGTTAATAAGATATTAATTAATTTATTCGATTGTACTTTCTTATAATCCAAAAATATTTTCATTAGCTTATATTATATTTAAAATAACCGATTAAACATTACTTTACAAAATAGGAATTAGTTCTTATTATTTTTACTGATTAGCTGTGAAAATATTATTCAAATTTAATTCCCTTTATGCCAAAATATCTTCTACTTAAATATTCAAAGGAAAATCAATTGAACCTTCTATTGATTAAAGCAATATTTTAAAATTTTCAATAAATTTTTCAGAATTTAATAAAATTTCAGACGCTTATATTACCACTTCTTAAACAGAAGATTATGTTAATGCTTATAAAAAAAGTAAATATTCACCAATTAGTCCACCAATTAATCCAACTTTTTATAATATATTAATTATATTTTTTACAAATTTAATTTAATTTTTTTTTATTTAATTATATATTTATTTACTGAATGGCCTATTTTGTTAAGATCCATCGATATCTGAAATAATTTAATGCAAAACGTTGTTTTTAAGTTCAGCTTTTGATAATATTTTTTATTAAATTTATTCAAGTAATTAATTTAGTCTTTCTAATTCTATTTTTTATAACTTTTCTTCACGTGCTTTTTTTTTAAATCTAACAACTCTTATTCTTATCTAAGCTTATCATCTAATTACTATTATCTTTATATTAATTAATTGTCATAATGATATTAATGAATTTTTTTATTTTCATTAATTAATTAAATACAGATATCTAAAATAAATAATAAAATATAGTATTTTTAAATATAAATATAATATAAAATAAATATTAATATATATATATATATAAATATATATATATATATATATATATTTTGTAAATATTAACCTTCCAATTAATTTTCTATTTTTTCAACTCTTATTAATTCTTTAATAATATTTTAATAAAGCCATGGTTCAAACTAATCATATAAAGCCATTTCTAAAGGTTTTCTGAATACACCTTAATCTTCTAACATATTAATTGTATTATTTTTTAAATAATATAAATGATTTTTGCTTATATTTCTAGCAACAAGTTTTTTATGTGATAATATATTTATTTCTTTTTTCTTATCATATTATATTTTTCTCCTTTCATTTTCATCTTAAATTCTCTTTTCTTTTGCTTCAAGTCTTTAAACTTCTGCTAATTCAACATTTCTAATTTATTCAAATTATTTTTATTATTCTTTCATCGTCTTAAGTTCTTCCTCTTCTAATACTTCCATTCTACTATTTTCTAATATTTTTTTTATCAACACTTATAATATAGTCTCTACTTCTTAATCAAAATCAAATAAATCTCCCTCCCATATTTATGTTTCACGATCAATACCATCTTTTTAAGGAAAAAATAATCTTGCGTTCGGTCTATCTATGAAAACTTCCGTTTATGTATCTTTCTCGTACTCTGGGGGTTTATCAGTTAATGTTTCTATGTATTCATCAGTTTATACTCCGAAATTTTATCTTCCTGCTAGAGCTTTTGGAGTACCAGGTTCAAAATAATTTTGCTTTTAATCTTTTTAAGTTTTAATCTATTTTTTTTAAAGAATAATATATATAAAGTTATATACATACATATAGAAATAATGAAAATAAAAATTATTTATAAATTAAACTATTTAAATATAATTTTATTTTAGAATAATTAATAATAATAATATTAAGTTGATATATATTTATTATTTTTATATTTATAAAATGTTACAATTTAAACTTGTTATTTTTTTTATATGCTAGTTTATTATTTTGTATTCATTATTTCATCATCTCTAGAAGATACAACCCTTGCATATGTATTACCTCTTACAACTCTTTTTTCAAACATTAAATTTTGAAATTGACTATCATTTCTTTTTTTATTTTTTAATCTAAAAATAATTATTTTTAGAAATTTTTTTTTTACTCATTATCGTTTAAATTTTCTCTATATTTTTAATGAGGTTAGATTAATTTTGGTTTTGCAGAAAAATCGTATGTTTCGCTTTATATCGCTTACATTGTAACTGTTTTTAATTATTTTTTGATAATTTATATTATTTTCAAAATATTTAAATTAAATGAATAAATATTTTTTATTTTATATTTTAAATCAATATATATAAATATCATTAATTATAATCAAAAGTTATCTTTATTTATATTAAAAAAAAATAATGATATAATGACAAAAAAAAAAAAATTTAAATAAAATTAAAATAAAAAAAATAATTATTACTAAAAAAAATAAACATAAGAAAAATCAAATGTTTTATATATTATATATATATATATATATATATATATATATATATATATATATATATATATATATATATTATGACAAATAAAAAAAAATAAGACTAAACAAATAAAATATAAATTCAATACATAATAATAAATATATTTTTATTTATTTTAATAAAAAAAAAACAAAATTTTCTTTTTAAAAAAAAAAAAAATATTAATAAAAAAAATGATAAGCTCAATAGTATTTATAAACTAAAAAGGAGAAATATTAATATATAGAGTATACAAAGATGATATTGGGAGGGCTGAAACAATGCAATTTTGTTCCAATATTATAGCTCGAAAAGAAAACAAAGAATCTCCAATAGTAATAATTGACGGAACTTCATTTATTCATATATGTAATAAAGACATAATATTATTAGCAACAACTAAATGTAATGTAAATGCAGCAATGACAATATAATTTCTTTATTAAATGATTAATGTATGTAAATCTTATTTCGGAGATTTTGATGAAAATCACATTCGTAAGCATTTTGTTTTAATATATGAATTATTAGATGAAGTAAAGAAAAAAAAGAAAAAAATATTTTATATTTTCTTTTGTTTATTTTTTTTTTAATTAAAGGTTATGGATTATGGAATGCCTTAAATGCTTGACCATGATTTATTAAAATAGTTTATCTAAGAAGGTGGATAAAAACAAGAAATGATGAATGATATAGAAAAACTTAAATAATTAACGTCTTAAGCCACTAATGCAAAATCTTGGAGAAAAGAGGGCATTTTTTACAAAAAAAATGAAGTTTTTATTGATATTATTGAAAATGTTAATGTTAGTATGTCTGTTAAAGGTACTATTCTACGAGCAGATGTTTCCGGGTAAGTTAAAGTTAAAGCACTTTTAAGTGGAATGCCTGATTGTAAATTCGGGATGAACGATAAAGTGTTAATGTAAAGAGAACCTTAAGCCCCTGGAGCAGCAAATAAATAATCAACAACAGGAGCTACTACTACAGATTAAAAAGGTATTACTATAGATGATTTAAAATTTCATCCTTGTGTATTATTACCTAAATTTGATAAAGGTAAAATAAAATTAATTTTTTTTTTATAAATAAAAGCTAAAATATATAATATTTATTTGTGAAATAATACATTTATTTTTTTATATAAAATTCTTATAAATTCTAATTTATATATATCTATAATTTTTTAGTATTAATATTATATCTATATATAATAATAATAAAATAAAAAAAATAGAAAGAGCAATAACATTTACACCCCCTGATGGTGAATTTACATTAATGACATATAGAATAACTGAAAATGTAACACTACCATTTAAAATAATGCCTGTAATAAACGAAAACGGTAACAACATAGAAGTTCGTGTAAAAATAAAATCCATTTTCGACAGAACAATGTTTGCCACAAACGTATGTTTAAAAATTCCTTGCCCTAAAAATACAGCTTAAGCAAATTCATCTCATAGTATTGGAAAAGCAAAATATGAACCCGATTAAGGAGCAATAGTTTGGAGAGTAAAAAAATTTTAAGGAGATACTGAAGCTATTTTAAGATGTGAAATTGTTTTAAGTAGTTCTTCTGCAAATTAAACTTGGATTAGACCTCCTATTAGTATGGAATTTCAAGTTTCTATGTTTACTGCTAGTGGATTAAGGGTTAGATTTTTAAGAGTTGTAGAAAAAAGTGGATATCATCCTTTAAAATGGATTAGATATTTGACAAAAGGTGGTGAATATATACATCGTATTTGATATTTTTTATTATATTATTTATTTTCTTATGTTATTTTTTTTTACACATATATAAATATATATTTAAGTTATAAATTCTTAAATATTTTTCTTTTCATTTTTAAAATAAATAAAGAAGATTAAATAAGTTGAAAATTTTTATTTTAAGATTGATTAAAATAAACTTTTTTAGTTTATATTTATACTCCTCATTTTTTATTTTCAAATAAAAATTATAATCTTTATTTTTAAATACTTTTTTTTATATTTTACTTAGAATATCTATTATTGGTAAAAAATTATTTTAAATTTAAAAAAAATTGACATATATATATATATATATATATGTATATATTTTTAACTCAACAATAAGAAATTAATTAAAAACTTTAAACTTATTTGAATAAAAAATAATTATTGAAATAAATAAAGAAAATCGAAAAAATCAAATATTAAATAATTAAATATATATATTTACCTTAAAACTTTCTAAATAAAGTTTATAATTTTTAAATAAAATAACAATAATTAGTTTTAGATTAACTTTATAAAATCTAAATAATATATATATTTAGATAATAGGAAATTAAATACAATCTGAAAAAATTGATTTAAACGAAATCAATTAACTAATTTCAAAATCAGGTTAAGTACACATTAATTGTAAAAAAAGGCCATAAAATTAATAAATAAATATAATCTTTAGATGAGAAAAACATATTATATTTTTAGGATTATCAAAAAATGTGTATCACCAGAAGATTATTTAAATAAATAATAAAAAGTTTAAATAGATAATAAAAACATTTAAAATGAAAAAAATAAAAAATAATTGATATTAATAGAATCAAATAAAATAAGATTAAAATATATAAAAAATATAGACATTTAAAAACAATATTAATAATTTAAAATCTAAAAAATTTAAATAATATTAAGCTTTAATATTTATTATATGATTTTTAAATATTAAACTTAAAATTAAAAAATGAATAAAATTAAGAAAAAAATCATTTAATAAAAAAATGAATTATTTTATAAATAATATTAATTATATTGAAAAACAAATAACATATCTAATTTATAAAAATGTATAATTAAACCAAAAAAAATGTATATTTAAATAATTAAAAGATATAATTACATTAAAATTTCTATTAATAATAATCTCAAATAGAAAATTATAATTTTAAAAATGGATGATGTAACAATTTAATAATTAAAAATTGAAAAAATATGGCTTTTAATTTAAATTTTGAAGTAAAAAATTCTAAAATAAAAGTATTAAGTAAGTTAAAATATAACTATCAATTAAAATCACAAAAATTCTTATAAAATTAAATATCTTTGCAAAAATAAAATTTATTATAAAAAAAAACATTTAAATGATAATACAAACATATAGGCAAAATATTATAAAAAAGTAGGAAAAAAAAATTATTATATTTAAGAAAAATAAATAAATTTATAAAGATTAATTAATTATAAAAATATAATATTATTTTATAATATTAAAATAAATTAAAAATTAAAATATATGAATATAATTATTAAAAAAAATTAAAATGTAAAAATTAAATTCTAGATGACTAATATATTTAATTATTAAATAAAAAGAGCAAAATATTAAAATTGGAGTAATTATCAATTAAAAAATAAGTAAATCAAACATTAATTAGAATATTAATAAAATAATGACTTTTTAATAAAAAAATAAAGAAAATAAATAAATAGTAAATAAATTATTAATTTTTTTTATTTATTTAGAAATAAATAAATTAATTTTTATATCTTTATTGAAAATTTTTATAATTATTATTTATTGTTTTTTTTTAATATATATGTTTTAATCTTAAAATATAAAAAATGTACAAAATTAATATTAAATATGTATGAAATTTGATTTTTATAAAGTTAAGAATATAATAAATTATTATAAAAATTACATGACACAATATATAAATATTTAGTTTATTAAATTTGATAAAGAAAAATTATTAATAATATTTTTTTTTGTTAATAATTTTCTTTGTGTTATTAATATTATTTATGTTTTATAATCAAATATAAGAATTATCTAAAAAGTAAGATCTAAATAAAAATTAAATAAATATATACTAAAAAATAAGAAATAAGGAAAAAATAATAAAGTAATAGATCTTATTAGTTAGAATTATAGAAGAATATACATTAATGTGAAAATATTTAAAATTAAATTATATTTTTATGTTAATTTAAATATTTTCATATTTATATTAAACAAAATTTTTAAATCAAGCTTAATATTTATCTGAAAATAAATATTTAAATTGAAAATAATTTTTTAATAAATTCTTTTTATACATATTTTTAGTTTTCTATTCAAAATATAATATTTAATACATATTTATTTCAAATGAGATATTAATTCATATATATATATATATATATATATATATATATATATATATATATATATATATATATATATAAGTATATATTTTTATAATAAAGGTACAATAAACAAAAATTTTATAATTAATATATTTATAAACCAAAATTTTTATAATTATAATTCTATATTAAAAATATAAACAGTTATAATCAAAATTCATCTTAATTTTTTATTCCTTTTGGATAAGGAATTAACATTGGTTCATTATCTAAGTTATTTAAAGATTTCGGATCTCTTAATTTATTTAAACTTTTCAAATTTAAGTCTCTTTCAGATGACTAAAAAGGAATATATTAATTTAGTTCGTAACCTGTAGTTTTAGTAGGTATAAAAGGTCTAAAATGTTATTTTTTTCCATTTAGTTTAATATCAAAATTATCTATTTCTAATTTACTAAAAACTTCTTTTTAATGATACGCATTATACCATTTTTAATTAATAGAATTCAGATTATTTACAGAGCCAAAATTACCTAAAGTATTTTTTGATTTAATTTTTTAACTGGAACTTAATTAACCTGATTATATTCTTGATATCTTTTATTCGTTTTTTCTTAAAGTAATTTTAAATTATATGAAGAAGTCGGTTTTATTTAGTTTTATTTAGATTAATTTTCCTTTTCATATTTTAAGTTACATGAGCTTTAAATTTGACTTCGATTTTTCACATTTTTTGATGTTTTTGAGTAAATTTTTGAGTTATTAATAGAATCTTTTTTCATTAAATGTAATTAATCAAAATAATCTGGAACATATTTTGCAATACACCAATATCTATTTTTATAAACTAATTTTTATTATTTTTAATTGTTTTTTATTTGTTCTTCTTATTTTTTATATTATAGGCTTTCTTCTAAACTTGGTATATTAAATATAGGTTATTTAAATAATTCTACTTATTTAGTTGCTTTTTTAAAATCATGTGGATGTTTAGCTTAAGAATTATCCTTTTTTTTTAAATTAATTTTTTTTTTTTTTTTAAAAAGCAAATTACCATCATAGATTTTTTTATAATATTTTTTTCATTAAATTTTTAGGCAATTAATATTTTTCTTTATTTTTTTTTATCTTCCATTATCTAATTTTTATTTACTTAAAGTTACTAATTAAAATCATTCATTAAAATTTGGTGATTATTTAATCCGTTCTCTATTTCTGCTTATTATTAATACTCATAATATTGTTCTAATAAATTGCTTAATTATTAATCAGACTATTTTACATTATAAACATTTTTTATTAATTTACTATCTTTATAATAATAATTCATTAAAAAATGTTTTTTTAATATTTTTAAATTGTTAATTAAAATACAAAGAAAATAAAAAATAAATATTAAAAAATAATTATTTATTAAATTTAAATTTAAAAATAAAATTATAAATGTAAAATTATATTCTTTATAATTTTAATCAATAATATTTTTATTTTAAAATAAATTTATATTTAGTCAAAATTATAAAGTATTCAATAAAATTTATTATATTCATAAATTAATAACTTAAAATGTATATTAAATATAAGTAATTACCATATCCTTTAAATAAAAAAATATTATTTAAAATAATTATTATATTAATTCTGATATTTCTAAAATTTATAATTAATATGCTTTGTACTTAATATTTTTTTTTAATATTCACATATCCATATTATGGTATTTTCATTTAAAATTTTAAAGAGATATTTAAAAAAAAATTAATTATTAAAAAAGGATTTATTATTTATCATAATTAACTATCTTTTAAAATTAAGATAATATAAAATAAAAATAAAAAAGCAATAGTAAGACTTAAAAAGAATTTAGTTATAAATACAAAATCAATATATATATTTATAATACTAAAATTTACAAAAAACAATATAAAAGATATACTTAGAAATTTTCTATAATATTTTAATAATAATAAATAATTAAATTATATATTTAGTTTTATTTCATTTATTATAAAAAAATTATCTTTTTCATATAATATATAATAAATAAATACATTTAATTTATTAATAAATTATTATTTAAATAAAATATTAATCTATTTTATTATATATTATATTAAATACCAGGATTTTTTTTTTTCACGTATTATATCTTTTGTATTATGAATATATTATCTTAGTTATTTAAATATTTAATTCAAAATAAAATTTTATAAATAATATCTTAATAATATAAATTTTTAATTATTATTATTTTTTTTCTATATAAAATATAAATTTAATGTTATTATTTTGTTTTACTAATAAAAATTATATAAAGCATTTTTTTGTATTTTTAATCATTATAATAATAATAATAAAGATTTTTTTTTTTCAAAAATAAAAAAAGCTATAATTAAAAATAAATTGATAAATTATTTAATTTAATAATTAAAAAAATATTATTAATTATATACAATATTTTTTTCAAAAAAGCCTATAATGAAATAATACGACTATTTTCTCTTTAAAACTGAAAATATTATATAATAAAAAATTATATATGATATAAAATATTTAATAAATAATACGAATTTATTAAAAATATAGAAATAAATTATTATTAAATATTAATAATTTTTTTTATTTGTTATTTAATTTATTATACAATATATTAAATATAAAACCAAAATTTTAAATAGAATTAATTAATTTTGAATTTCAGGGCATACTTTTTAACAAATTATATAAAATAAAATATTAGGTTAATAACATTATATTAATATAAAACTTAAATAAAATGAGCATAATAAAATAAATATGTGTATTTTTTTTTATATTAATCTGTATAATTTATTCTGAATAAACTACTTGTCATAATAACTGCAAATATTGTTTAGGTGATAAAATAGACTAATGTGTTTAATGCCAGCATGGATTTTTTTCATTAAATAATGTTAATAATCAATATTTAAAATAATGTTTTTAGTGTCACATTGATTATTGTCAACAGTATTACTCTATTATAAAAATAATTATATATGTATAATAAAAAGTTATTTTAAACTATATAAATATATGATAAATAAAAATATAGATGTGATTAATTTGGAAATTGCTTTAAATGTTAAGAATCATATTTTTTATCTTCTAATTTATGTTATAAATGTTAAATTTAAAATTGTTTATAATGTCAAAACAAATAAAAATGTTTAAAATGTTAAGAAGGTTATACACTATTTTAAGATAATAGTACATGTAAATCTATTGAAATTTATTGTTAAATTGGTTATTATTTGAACAATTAAAGTATTTGTTAAGTATGCACATAGAATTGTAATAAAATTATTATTCTATATAAAATAATATTATAATAAATTATAAACTTATTTTTTATTATTTATAGGTTAATATTGTAATTCTTAATATTAATGTTTTTAATGTTCTAATAAATATTATTTTGATACATTTGAATTAAAATGCTTAAAATGTTAAGTTAATTGTATATAATGTAAGCCAAATGAGAACTATTGTTTAGAATGCGAAAAAGAATACACTTTAATTAATGGAAAATGTATAAAAATTTAAACATAAGAATGCTAATTAGGAGAATTTTTTGATAAAAAACAAGGTAAATGCTAAATATGTTCATAAAATTGTTTAATATGTGATTCATAAACTAATTGTTTAGAATGTTTTGATGAAGTCAGTTTTTAAATAATTTTAAAAAAATAAAAAAACGATAATTGTAATTTCTTATTTATTTAAAAAATAAATTTTATATTTATTTTAATAAATAAATAAAAGAAATTAAAAATGGTTTATATAAAAATAATTGATGTCATAATATTTTAAAAATTAGGGAAATTAATTTACAGATAATTTAAATAAAAATAATAGTTTTATTTTAAAATAAATTCATGATTAATATAAATATCTTAAGATAAATGAAAAATCAGAAAAAAATTATAATTATTTAAATACCCATAAATAACGTAATTTATAAGACGAAAAGGACATATCAACAACCGAAATTTCAAAAGATAAATATACCGATGAAAATGACGTAAATGATGAAAAAGATGAATTAGATTAAACTAATAATTAAGATAATAAATAAGATAGATAAATAGATAATATTGTAATTAAAATTTGTGCTCCTAGATGTCCTATAAATATGTATATTTTATATACTAATTAAGAATTTTAAAATTATTTGCAAAAACAACCAGTAAAATTAGAATTTAAAAGACAATTAACATGTAGTTATTGTTCTGCTGTTATAGGATGCTTATAATGTGTAGGTATTGATTCTTTTTGTACAAAATGTAAAGAAAACTACTATCTATATATGGGATAATGCTTTTAAAGTTAATGTCCATCTTTAACATATTAGGTTTTTAATTAACTTACTTAGTAAAAAGATTGCTAATAATTATAGATGTAATTAATATATATATATATATATATATATATATATAAGTTATTAATTTTTTAAATAAAATAATTAAGTGCTTATATACCTGAAAACATTGAATAAGGTTTATTATATATTTTATCTAAATAATAAGTATTATAAAATTCTCAAAATAATGATTTTACTAATAGTGAGATTTGCTAATAAATGTATGGATAAAATTATGTTATTTTAAATTCCTTTTGTTTAAAATAATGTCCAAAAGAAACATAATAAGTAGGAAACTAATGTTTACCTTTATAAGGTTGTTTGAGTATTTTTTATTTAAAAACTTTGGACGAAGTTTGGTGTACTCAATGTGAAAATTCACTATATTTAGCTTTTAAAGGAAAGTGCTTTAAATAATGTCCTGATTATTCTATATAACAAGGCAAAAATTGTGTATAAAATGAATAGAAAAATTATAATATGATTGCATATTAAAATTATAGAATTTATAGTTTTCTTTTTTAATTTTAAGTTATTAAAATTGTAAATTTTTCATAAGCGAAAATCGTAGCATCATAATTAAAAAATTATCTTGGAAATTTTATAGTTAATTTTGAAATATAAAATGATATTAATTTAGATAAATAAAAATTAAACTTAGAATAAAAAATTCTATAATATAATAGTGATCATTAAGAAATAATATCTTAGCTTTGTAATAATAATGGTTTTTTTTAACCATAATCTTATAATCATTATTAATTGTGTTAATGCTTTCCTGGATGGAAAGGCAAATAATTATTATTTTATAAAATATTTTTTTTTAAAACAAATATCTTTTTTTTAACTTTAGGAGAATTTTGTTAAATTAAATAAGAATATTATGATGATTTTTAAAAAATTTCTAATTTTTATATTCAATAAGTTTCTATAAGTGTAAATTCTTTAATTTTAAACTAAGATTTATCAGTTAAAATGTTAAATAAGTTATAGTAAATAGTTTTTATACTTATAAAAAAAATAATTTCTTTAATTATTAAAAAAAGATTTGATGAAGCAATATACTTATTGTATGGATTAGTTAATATTAGGGATATTTATAATTCTGATAATATCAAATCTTTTAAAGAAATTATAGATATAATCAATTAAATACCTTACAATAAATTAAATTAAGATTAATTAAATATAGCTTTAAACATAATTGACAGAATATTTGATATAATGAGGATAATTGATATATAGTAAATAGATAAATAACTTACATTAGATACATTACTTAAATAAGTTTCTTTTATTTTAAATTAGATAATAATATTGAAAAAAACATAATATATATTAAATTTGTCAAATTTAAAAGGATATTCAGGATTAATAAGTCCAAATAAAAATTTTATAAATTTATTTGATCTATATGAAGTAAGTTTTTTTCAAAATACAAGCTAAGATTAAAATTAAAATTATTTAGAAATTATTATATTTCCTTTAGATATGCATTTAACTAATAATTGGATAGAAGGAAATTAATATTTATATTAAATAAATTCAAATATTCTTTAAGTTAATGTTCGAAATATAGATATTTAATAAAATAATAATGAAGATGAATCCTATTTGTTTGAAATTTAAATGAAGACATTAACAAATACTGATTAAAAAGCTTAAAATAAGGGCTTTTAATGGGATTAATTAAAAAAAGAATGGATACATATGAAAAATAATAAAAAATTAAATAATCTCAGAGGTGGCTAAATTGGATTTTAAAGTAGTTAATTTGGTTAATTTTCAATTGGAAGTGTATAAAATTTATATCATTCATATGATTTTTAATCTTAATAAAAATTGAATTATATTTTGAAATATACAATTATTAATTCGTTAATTTTGATATTAATTATAATAGTAGTAGTATGCGTTGTATATTAAAATCAAGTAATTATAAAATTTAATATATAATAAGATGTGGATAAAGACTTTGCTTCTTAAAATGATTGTATTTAATAAAATCAACCAAAACCCTATCAAACAAACTAAAATAATGAACAAAAAAATAATTTATAATAATTATAAACACAAAATAAAGTTTATAGTTAAATAAAATAGGCCTTAGCATTCAAATAAAATAGATTTTAATTTAGATTTAATAAAAATAATAAATAATAAATTTAGGCTTTGAAAGTCTTGAATTTTATGAAATTTTTGAAAGAAAAAAAATAAAGGACTTTTAAATTGAACTTATCAGAAGAATATGTGAGAAATTAAAAATGTTATATTTAAAATCAAAATAAAATAAAAAGCTTTTCAATTACAAAAGACGCTGTTTCTTATATTTTACAGGAAAGAATAATAATTAAATACGGAAGATAATATAAAACATAATAAACACAATTAAATTAATAAATATAATAACATACTGAAAAATAAAAAAGTTTATTCTAAAACTAAGTAAGTATACAGAAAAAGATTGGTAAAATATTAAATATTATTCTTCTATATATTCTTATAAATATGGGGTTTTTAAAATATCCTAATTGGCTTAGAATAGTTACTCTTTTTTCGAGTATATTCTTCATAACTTTTTTCGCAAATGTTCATTTAAATAAATTATTTGAATAAGCAGAAAAGGTTTATAAAATAGATAGAAGTTTAACTAAATAATAAGCTTATCAATAGGCATTAGCAAAATTTTAAGATTAATTATAAAATGTTAAATTTATTATTCTTAGTTCATTAATAACCTTTGGATATTAATAACCATATTTTTTTGTTTTTTTTCTTGTAGTTAATATTATATTAAACAAACTAATAACAAATATAAAAGGAGTGTAAATTATAAATTTTATTCTAAATTTAATAATTATTCTATTTTCAAGTTTATATTTATTTATAAATGAAAATATATTCTTTCTTACTAGTCTATATATACTTCTTATTTGTATTTTCATTGATTTTTTAATTGAAACTATATTAATAATTATAGCGTTAAAAACAAAAATTAATATTTTATACTTCATAGTAAGATGTAAAAAATATGATTTTTGAAATAATTAAATTAATTAATTTATGAATTGAATAGTATAATTAATAAACTTAATACTTATTAAATAATATTACTATTATGATTAAATTCGATTATCTAAATTGTATTAATTTATCTTACTTTACCAAAAAAAAAAATCTATAAGTACATATTTTTAAAATTAATATGAGACAGAATTATAAGCTTAACGATTTTCAATAAAAATATATATAATCTATAAATACTGTAATTATTATATATTTGCTTTTATTTTTTTATTATATTTATTTCAAGTAATATTTAATATTTATCTATTATTTACAAAATAAAAGTCTTGTTATAATAAATAATTATAAAAACATTAACTTTTTATATTAATTTTGTATTTAATGTGTAAAAAAAAACAATAATTTTTTATAAAAAATATAACTAATTAAGATTACTAATTAATATATGTACACATAAATTAAAAAAATATTTAAAATAATTTAAATATATATATATATATATATATTTTAAAAATTTAACATGAGAAGAAATAAACCCGGAACAAGGCAAGCTGATTTGTGGTCTTGGTAAATTTATACAATAAAAAGAGATTTATTAAATTAAAATTTAAATAATTAGGGATATAGAAAATGTCTCTGAAATGAATGGCCCATTAGCTGTATAAGAATATATTCAAGAATTAATAAGTATTTTTTTAATTATCCAAAAATTTAATAATATTTTAACTTGAAAAAAATAAATATATATATATATATTTAAATAGGAAACGATCCTTCAGATATAGAAAAAATATGCACACCACCATCTGATATAGATATTAACATATGGCAATATGAACATTTAAGATAATTTATTTTGGAATTAAATTTATTAGTAACACAATTAAAAGGAGTGTGTACATGTCAAACTTGCCCTAAAATGAAGGCGGCAGATGATTGGTTATATTTATGTGCAGCTCATAAAAATGCTTAAGAAGTAAAAAATTATAATATAAATAATTTTATTATTTTATCATATAAAGTGTTCTGCTATTGATTATATGATACATAATTTAGATTAATCAACTTCAATACTTTAAAATATAAAAAATTATGATAGCAGGTATATATAAAATATTATTATTTATAAAATATCATAATTTAAATAAGAGTTAAAATTTCTTAAAGTGGAGTTAAAAATTTAGCACCTATTGTTAGAAGATTATATAGATTATTTGCACATACATATTTTAATCATAGAGAGGCTTTTATTGATTTCGAAGTAATATTAATTACTTATTATATAAATATTTTGCTTTTATTTTTATAGAATTAAATGCATTTATGCAGCAGATTTACTGAATATTCATTAAAGTTTGATATGATGGCTGCTAAGTTATTAACTATACCAAGAGAAGAATTAGATATTCGTGATGCTGATTGATTTTAATTAAAATTATTAAATAAAATTCTTTTAATTTTTTTTTTTTTTAATAATAAAGTTGAATACATGAACACTTTTTAGTTTAAGTTATTATATTTTTTTAAACTAATAAATGATTTAATATTGCAAATTTTAAATAGATTAATTTAATATTTTCTTTTTTTATAAATTTCTAAAGAAATAATTATTAAATAATTATAAAAAAAAATATTTTAAAAACGGATTATTTTTGTAGATTCTTATTTTTTTTTTAAAAAGCATTTTTATTTTTACTAAAATAATATTTACTATCATAAAAAAATAAATTAAATAAAATATAAATTATGGGTTGTACTGAAAGTAGAAAGACAAATAATCAATCATTTACAGTAGATGAAATATAAAGACTTAAAAGATTTCATACTACATATGCAAATTAATATAATTTGTAAATTGAATTTAAATAAATTATAAGTTTAATACATTTATTATAATAAAAAATTAAAGTATTTAGAACGTTGACAATTTAAGCTTAGAAGCATTTTAATAAATATTTAAAGAAAATAAATTATTAGGTCAATGCTTTTATAAATTTATTATTGACTCATCTAAAAATGGTAAAGCAAATGGAGAAACATTTATTGATGCACGTAAACAAACAAACAAAAATATTAATTTTAATGAAAATAAAAAAGTCGAATTAATATGTAAAAAACCAACTAATCAAATGATGATTGAAAAATATTCTAGTTTTGATAGAATAGAGTTATTAACAATAATACTTAATAAAAGATTAAGAAAGAAACTTGATAAAATTAGATTCGCCACAATAACTTACTCTGAAGCCTATGATTTTATATAAGTGACTTTATAAATGTTTAATGAAAATTATGAAAATCAAATAAATTAAGATATTATAAGAAATATAACTGATAATACATTATCTTTTAATTAGGGTAAAAAATACATATATAAATATTACTTTTTAGCATGTTTTTTTTTTTAATTTTTTATTAAAAAACTCAATTAAAAAAAATAATAATTCATTTGTAGTCTTTTTTTTTTTTTCGATTGAGTTTTGAAAAAAAAAATACAGAAAAAAAAAAAATAATACTAAAAAGTAGTATATGAAAATTAAACTAAAAATCTTTAATAAATTAAAAATATAGGAAACATAGATTGGTGGTCTTTTTGCATAATGATTAGGGAACAATTAGTTTTATTAACCTAAATAATATAATAATATTTTTACAGTAAATTTTTAGAAAAACAAGTTTCGTTTCATTTACCAAAGTTACCATAAGGAAATTAATTATTATAAAACAATGAACATCTTTCTTTATTATTTTTAAATAATATTTATTTGTCAAATTTTCCCAAATTAAAATTAGTATATAGTTCAAACGAATATTCATATAAATTTGAAGACTTCGTAAAAGAATTAACTGCTTTTAAAGGCCCTACATTTGTATTAGTTTAGTTTATAGACGATGATTAATAAAAATATGTAATTGGAGGTTTTAATTAAAATTAATGGATTAACAATTCTGTTCAAGGAGATAGAGAATCTTATGTATTTTCTCTATATCCTAGATATAGAAATTTCTTCCCGTTAGAAGAACAAACTAAAGGATTTTTAGTTAATAATACCCAAATCGAATATTGTAGTATAAATAATTAAGGATTATCTTTTGGAGGAAGCAGACGTGATAATAGCAGAATTTGGATTGATGCCAAAAATTTAAAAGATTCCAGTTGCAAAAACAATAGTGATTTTAATTATAGAAGAGGTTATTTAATTAATTTAAAAGCAAAAAATCTTATAGCCAATCATGTGGAGGTTTATGGATTATACGTCGATTAAGAAAAACTCCGTTATTCAAAATAATCAGATTAAAAAAATAATTTCTATAACCATAAGTATTATATTTGTTTATATTAAAAAATTATTTTTTATATTAAATAATATTTATTTTAGCTTTTTTTAATCAAATATATAGTGAAATAAAAGAAATTCTAAACAGAGCATCACATATAAAAACAGAAGTTTTAAAAGGAATAGATGTAGAAAAACAGAGTACTTTAAGATCAGTATTTAATTAAAAGTAATAATATTTTTTTATATTCTTTTCAAAAAAATATATTTTAATAAATAAAAGTAATCCTGTGATTAATTAAAGAATATCTGTAATCTAGTAATCACCTAATGTTAATATAACTTAGAAGGATGAAATTACTTTTATAGAGTACGACAAAGTTGTAAAAGCAACCAAATATAAAACTCTTACTGAAGAAAGTGAAGTTATTGATAGTAAAAGTTATAATGAACAAATTATATAAAGAAGATCTTTTGGGTATTAATATAATTAAAATATTAACTTTTAAAATAAAAATAATTATGGCATTTATGAAGCAAAAGTATAATTTATTAATATTTATATAATATAATAAAAATTATAGAAAATTGAACGCAAAGGTGTTAATGATTAAATTAGTTTTAATGATTTAAGATAAACATTAGGTATTATAATATTATATATAATAATATAAATTATAAATAAAATTAATAAAAAAATAGAAATTAATTGATAAGATATTAATTAAAGATTTAATTAAGTAATAAATATTCAAAAACAATATTAAATATTTATTTTTTAAATAAAAAAATTTTTAATATAAATATATAAATAATTTTTATATTTCAAAATAAATAATTTTAATAATTAACAAATTTAAATATCTATGAAATGTACAATAATTTTTTTTTAAGTTTATATACAATAATATTAATTAATTTTTTATTTTAATATAAATTTAAATAAAAAATATTTATTAAGATTAAAATATATACATATATACATAATAATTTAATTAAAAAAGTTATAATGTTTATTTATCTTTTCTTTATATAAAATTTTTAAAAACCAATTAGATACTATACTATGTTATTTATAATAATTTAAATTAAAATTTTATTATATTTTTTTTATTAATTAATTATTTGATATAAATCATAATAAATAATACAAAAAGAATTAAAGCTATTATATAATAATCGTATTTTTAATTATTTATTTTCTTTATAACATAACTATCTTAATATTAATATTTTTTAGATATATAGACATTACTGAAATTACTTCATCGATTTAATATTAATAAGCTGATTAAATAGTAAATTTATAAACTTAAAGTTTAATAACTTAAAGCCTTTGAAATCAATGAAAATTCAACGAAAATAAAATGCGTTAAATGAATTATGTTAACATTTGGGAACGCATTTTCTTCCTAATTATGCCTAATTTACTCTTGACAATAACAAAATCAAATCCAAAATTTTAAGCTATATTACTTATAAATCTTAAACAATTTTTTAAAATTTTTTATTTAAAAAAAATTAAAAAGATAATACATATGCTCTAAATGAAAGTTAATTAATATTAATCTTCTATATAAAATTATTTTTATTCTAAAAAAACTATTATTTCTATTCAAAATAAATATATAAAATTAGACGAAATATATAAAATCGTAACTAAAGCTTATCTAAGTGTAAAAATTATTATAATTTTAAATGCTTTAAAGGAAGCATCTATTAAAAAGATCATTTTATGACGGTAGAAATTGAAAAAAAAGAACGATATTGCAAGATTCAAGACATAAAGAACACAACAAATAAAATTTGTCTTAGTGTAAATACCAATAGTGAAATTTACAAAAAATAAAAAGAATAAAATGTAATAATTTTAAAACCAGAAAAAAAATTAAACAATAAATATTGATTTTAAAAATAAAAAAATATCTAATAAAAAAAAGCCAAAATATAATTATTTTTAGATTATAATTTCTCTAAATCAATATATCATATTTTATATATAATTCAATTAATATTATGAAATTTTTAATGAAAATTATTTGTAAAAATATATAAAATTTATATAATAATTAATTTTAATTCAAATTTTTTAAAAAGAACATAATAAATATATATATATATATATATATATATATATATATATATATATATATTTATATAATTTATATATATTTATATTTAAAATTAATATTTATGTATAATTATTTTTTTTCTATAATTTTTAAAAATTAATTTATAAATATTTATATTTTTTAAGACTATTTTATATAAGTTTATTAAATTTTTTTAAATTTAATATTTAATTTAATGTTGTTATAGTTAAATAAATAAAATATAAATCTTATAATTTTTAACAATATAAAATTCTCTATATTTTTTTTTATCAACTTATTAGTTTGTATCCTTATTATTAAAAAATACTACTTTAATTTTTCATTGCGCTATTTTTGTTTTCTTCCATTTTCTATTCTGATTTACTATTATAATTATATCTAGGATTTTAGTAGATTTTAATATTTTAAGGTGTACATATTTTGTTTTGATATCCTAAACAATTATTTACCATTTAAAGTTATTTTTTCCTCTAATGATCTTAGAACATCCCAGGTATAGAAGGTGTAATTCCATTTGTCTTTAGAATAAAAAAAATAATTTTATTTTATTTATTTTTTTCTTACTTCAAATACATTTTTGTTTAATTATAATTCGTTTAGATTCATATAATCATTATTTCCTTTGTGTTTTTACTACATCTTTTTTTAAATTTTTATATTAGTATATATTTATTAAAATAATAATAGTATTTTATATATACTTAATTTAATAAGTTAATAGTATATTCTTTTTTCTAATCATATTAATATTTTTTTATTTAATTATCATGTTCTAAACCTTCTTGGTCTTTTTAATTTAAAAATTATTAATAATTATGTTTTTCTTGTTCTTATTAATGTTAAATATCTTGTTTAATTGCTATTTAAAGTTTAAGAGTATCATTAATATCTTTTTTAGCCTTATTGTATAATATATATGTTATTTATAATATTTTTAACAAAAAAAATATATATACTTTTTAATTCTAATAAAACTGATTTTCTAGCATTTCCTATTATTTTTTTAATTTTTATTATTAAGGTTCATCTACAAACTTTCTCTCGAAATTCTATCTATTCTCAATATTTTATTTATAGAGTTCCTCAAATACATTTTAAACAGGATTTTAATATCTTAATGAACATTTTTGTTTTAAATTATCTAAAAATTATTTTCTTTTTTCATCTTGTTAGACTATTTTTTGATATTCTTATTATCCTAATAATTTGTTTCTTTCATTCATACTTATTTATTACATTTTTTTAATATCTTCTTATGTTTGATTTTTTAATAATAATTCATTTTTTACAAACTCCTTTTCTTATTTTTAAATATTCCTCATTTTCTCTTCCTCCAATTAAGCTTTTTTTTAATTTTACTCAAATAAAATTTTATCGTATTCTTTTTCTTTTATCTTTTTTTTTTTTATATTATTTTAATGATTTATTTATTAAATTTAAATAAAAAAAAAAAAAAACTTACTTAATTTTCTCTTTTTTATTCAATTAAATTATGATTAAAACTAAGACAGTTTTTATTTTAAATTTCATTTTATTATTATCTTTTATTATGATAATCTTACATTAACTTTTTTTTTTTTTTTTTTTTTAGAAAAACTATAATATTTTAATTTTACTTTCTAATGTAATTATTATTATATTCCTAATCCTTTATCTAATTCTTAATTTTAATGTATAACTTATTGATGCTATTGTATTGAATTTATAAGATCTTACCTGTATCTATTTTTAATGTCGAATTCTAGCTGTTATTAATCTTAAATATATTAGTTTTATTTTTTAATTATAAATCTTAAAGATAGGACCACTCGTTTTTATATTAATTAACTATTTTTTTTTATTATAAAAAAATATATAGTACATACTAAGAGTTGGCTATTATAAAAGAGGAGATTATGGGTACATATAAGTATTATTTTTAAAAATTATTTTATATTTTTATTAAATAAAAAAAGTTTTATAATTTATTAATTTTATATATAAAAAATAAAAAATACATATTTAACTTGGTATTAAAAAAAAATTAATATTTTTTTATCATTACTTTAAAATTTTATAATAAAAATTATATGTTTTATTATTATTTTATTTTATATACCACTTAATTTAATATTTTGAACACAAATAAAAGTATTAAGATTGTTATTATTAATATATATTTTTTTAATTAATTTTTTTTATTTTCTATATGTTTATAAAAAAATATATATAATAGATATTATTGTTAATAATTTAATTAAAAATAAAAAAATAAAGACTTATAAAATATATATTAAATAAAATTAAATTATATAATATATCAATATAGTTTTTATTTATTTTTGATATATATTAATTTATTTTTATGGTTTATCAATATAAACTAATTATTATAATAAAATAATACTAAAATAAATTAATTATGATTGAAAAAACATCAAATTATAATAATTTTTAAAAAAATAAAAAAAAATTTCATTGGCGGATTTAAGCAAAGCTTTTTAAGAGAAAATTTAAAATCCAATTTAAAATATAAAAGTTATTGCAACAAATGTAATAATTTATTATTCTTAAAAAAATAAATATCTATATATATAAATATTTATACACATATATTTATAATTATTAAATTAAAAATAAATTAACTTTAATTTTTAATCTTTGTATGTTTATTATAGTTTACTAAAGTTTCTAAAGTTATAAAAACATCAAAAGGAAGAGATAAAATTTGCTAAATAGTCTAATATACATCAGATTTTTACCATTCATGTTGTCAAAACAGCAATATAAAATATATTTAATAAACATATTTGTAATAAATATATAAAAATTTAAATACTTATAAATTATTGCTTTTTAATATAGAAATAATGACTTAAAAAGTTCTATTGTAGCTAATAATGTTAAAAATTCAATTAAAAATGGGAGAAAAATATTCAAGCTTTTAAATTTTATATTAGAGTTTAAAAGAATCTAAATGATTCTTTTAAAAAATAAACCTTCATTATATAAATTTTTATTAATAATAACTAGAATAACTAACTTCTTCTATTTTGTATGTGATAATTTATTATGGGCAGCTAAAATAGGAAAATTTAAGTATAATATTTGATATTTATATATATTTTTTTTATAAAATTATATTTCTTTGTAAATATATAAAAGAGTTAATATTTTAGATGACAATAAGCTTACTTTAAAATAGCGAATAATGTTTCTAGGTTTATCAGGAAGTTTTATAAAATAAATTGATTCAAAATAAATAAGAAAAATAAAAGATATTTTTTGCTTTTGTAAAGTTATTATTAAAATAATTAATGTATTATATAAAAAATACAAAAGAACAAGGTAAAATATCAAAAATATAATACTTATAAATAAAAAAACAACATAAAATTATTTAAAAATAAATAAATAAAATTAGCTTTGCCAAAATAAATAATATTTAGAAAAAAATTTAAAAAAAAATGTTTAAAAAATTATTTTTAATATACAAAAAAAGTAAGATTAAAATACTAATATAGAAAACAATAATGAAAGAAAATTATAAAATAGAGGCAAATGATAAATATTTTTATATATGTAAATATTTTCTCAGTTAAAGAAGTAAAATAAGAGAAGACTATGTTAAATTATTAATAAAAATATTATAATTTTTAATGCTTTGTAAAAGACTTTAAATATATCCTATGTATTAATAAAATATATAAAATACTTTTTATTTATTTAATAATCTAGAAACAAATATATAGGTAATATTTCTTATGCGGGCTTAGGCTTATTAGCAACAATTTTAGGTACAATTAAAAATTTATTTGAAAATTAAAAGTTAGTAAAAACTTAATATACTAATAACTAACTAATTTAAGAAAAATAAAAATAATATGTTTAAAAATTGAATGATAAATATGAATCTAAAAAAAATTATTTGTCTAATTTAGATATTTATAATAGTTATAATTAAAAAGATTAAAAACAAAGTAATTAAAAGTTTGTTAAATATAAGTCTTATGATTTATATAATAATTGAATTAATATTTAATCCTATATTTGGATATAATTTACCAATTTTAATCTTTAGCTTAAATAAGGAAAATAATTTAGTAAAACAAACAAAAATACTTTTTAAAAATATAAACTTATATATCCTTGTTTTTATATGTTTATAAAAATAATTTTTTTATTTAATTAATAATTATAGTTTTTTTAGAATAAAATAAAAATATTAAAAAATAAGTTTATTTATAAAGTTTAAATTAAATATATTATTTCCATAAATTTAATTAGTAAAAATGATAATTTAATTTAATTTTTGTTAAGGCTAAAATTTAAAAGAACATATTTTTCAAAAATATAGTAAACTTTAGAGAATTATTTACTATATCCTTTTTATAATATTGAATTATAATAATATTTTAGATCAATCTAATTTAATCTTTAATTCAATTTATATTTTTAAACATTTTTATTTTATAATATATATAGAAAATTAAATAAAATTTATGATAAATAATTTATTTATTCTAATAAATTAAAAAAATTAAAATGTTTTATTATATTTAAATTTTTTAATAAAATAAAAAATGTGATTAATAAAAATATTATCATAAATTTATGATATTGGATAATCATATATATTTAAATTTTTATATATATATTTCTGTCAAATTTTTAATCATTTTAATACTAAGTTTATGGCTGTAGTGGGAATATTATAAACCTTTTATTACTAAGGATTAATATTATTATTTATCTTATTATTTTGTAAATAATTATTAAAGCTAGGATTAGTTAGCTAAGAAGGTAATTATTATTGTTATTAAATATGATTTACCAATTAACTGATTATTCAATCTATTATTCTTCAATAGGATAAATATTTTAATTGGGATTATAATTTGAATAAGCATAATTATTATTTGTATTTTCATCATTACTATTAATAGTATTATATAATTAATTTTTAGAAGATGTTGTTTTAACTTAAGAAGACTAAGGAGTGATTTATGCAGTATTATTTTTAAATTTCGAAATAGGCCTATTAGGAGATTAAAATTAAGCATTTTTATTAGGCGAACTAATTCTATTATTATCTTATTATTCATAGTTATTATTACTATTTTCATAAGTGTTTTTTTTAATAATTCCACTATTATTATTACTTTCATTTTCTAAATAAGAATTTTTATAAGTATTTTTGTTCATAGATGTCCTATTATTATTTGTTGTTATAGGAGAATTATTATTCTAAAAGCCATTTTCGAAAGGAGTTTTTTCTACTTTAAGCTATGATTCCAAAATGAAAGATTTCCTTTAGTATTCTTCATATTCCCTTTATGTAGGAGAACAGTTAATATCACTTTCTCTATTTGCGATTTTCGAGTTTCTATTTTAATTTCCTTAAATAAAGCTATTTCTAATTGTCTAAACGGATATTTAAGTAGAAGGTACATAAGTTTAGAATTATAAATAGTTTTTTTATTATTATTAGTTTAATGTTTTTGGAGTAATACCTCTTGCTCCATCTCTTAAACTACTACTTGATTTGATGCTAACTTGACATTTAGATTATCTGTTTTGTCTTCTTTTTTAAGATATACGAAGTTAATTAAGCTCTTCTTATAATTTTTGGATTTAATAAACTTTAATTTTGTCATTTTGTTTGTATTATATTTAACTTTCTTATAAGTTTATAATTTTTTCTTCTAGTTTTTATTTTTCTTACTCAAATGTATTATATAGATGATAATTTGTTAATTATTAACAGTCTTCAATAAATTTAGTTTCAAATAAATCGTGCAATTTTTTTTTGATTATTTTTTTCTGTTAATTATTTTCTATCATTTCTTTATTCAATTTAGATATTATTTCATCTAATTATGACACACTCTATTATAAATTATCAACTTTATCGAGTCTAAACTTTACTTCTTTTTAAGGCATTCCGACTGGGTTTATTGAATCCATGGTTTCATGCAAAGTACGCTCGTTTTATTCTTTTTATTAGGTATTTTCTTTAAAGTTAAATTCAAGTTCTTTTCCTCTATAGAGGATTTCTTCAAATTATTAACTTAGTTTTATAAATTCATTTTGAAATGAATATTTTTCAATTTCCTCTTGTTGCTTTTAAAGAATAAGTTATTATTGAATCTCCTCTTCTTATAGTCTTCTTCTTTCTTCTTCTTATTGCATTTACATTTAGAGTAATAATAATGCCTCTTATTCTCTTCTTTATTATTCTTATAAAAGTTTCATTTATTCAGCTTCATAATGCATTCTTTAAATAACTTCTTGTTAGTCGTTATGATATATTTCTTTTATGTTTTCGTATACTTCCTTTTTAATAGTTTTAGCTCTTTAGGCATATTTTAAAGTATTTATTGTTTCTTCAACAAATTTAAATGCAGGGGTAACACAAGCTATAAATAATGTCTTTGCATTTCCTCCTAAACTTTCTTTCAACAATCTTGTTAATTTAGAATCTCTATAAGGAACGTGTTTTTTAGATTTATCTTTATTTAAATTTATATTTATATTTATATTTATATTTATATTTATATTTATTTATATTTATATATAAATACCAGTCTATTATGAAAGTATATTTATACAATTTCCTAAGGAAAGTAAAGATTTATTTATATTGGAACCTTCTTTTTGTCTTACACTTTTACTATCTTAAGTAGCCGCTGCTTTTTCACTTCCAGCTAAATCAACCATGTATAGTTTCGGTGTAATTAAAGTTGTTTAATATCCACTACAAGCAACATTTATTTCTAAATTTAAAATAATAATTGCGTGTGAACGTGAAGAGAATTGATTCATTTTAGTACTTGCCATTATTCTTCTTTTATTACCATATTTTATTAATTATTATATTTAATCTAGATTTTATATTTGTTTTTCGATTAAAAGTGGACAATATACACCTTTTTCAGGATCTTCTAATAAAACTAAATTTTCAGAATTCAGATTATCTGTAGCAAGTAGATCTCTGATTTACTCATTATATATTTCTAGATAACTTATTTTTATTTTAGTTCGGTTTTATCCTTAATTTAGAACATATTTTATTGTTTCAGATACTATTCCTGTTTTGCATATTTCTTAATCATTTATAGGAACTTATTGTTATTATTTTAATACATCTAAATCTTCTTCGTAACCTATTTCTTTTTGTCCATCGAATTTTTTCTAACTATTACTTATTTCTCCGTTTAAAGTGCAAGCCTCGAAATTGTCACCAAACATAGTATATGTTTTACCTGAACCTGTCATTCCATAGACTAGTATTGTATGACTGAAACCTTATTTTTTATTTATTTAAATGATTTTTTTTTTTATATAGAAAGAAAAAAAAACCTTTAAATAATGAGCCTTCTAAACATTAACGGACTGTTGTGTCGAATATTGCTTAAGTTTAGGTTTTTGAATCAAATACTTTATCATAAATGAATACTGTGTCTCCTTATGTCGAGTGTGGTTATACTAATAATATTGAATTGCCTACACCACTACGAATATATTTTTAACTTTCTACATGCCCTGAGTTTTCAAACGATTAGTTGTTTGTAGGCTTCATACGGACACATACGTGAAAATTGACTGTTAATACTGCGTTATTTGCATCGCTTTAGTCTTGTTATTACATTTTGTATTTTATATTTTTTTATCTTTCTTTCTTTTCTTTTTTAATTAATTGTTTTTTTTATTGGTATTTTTTTTATTTTTGCTGATATAATATATTTTTATTATTAATTTTATTTTAATAAAGTTTTTTTCACATTTTTTTTATTTTATTTTTTTCTATATTATATTTTTATTATTATTTAATATTTTTTAATTTATTAAAAATTACCAAAAATATAAAACTTTATTATTTTATTGATTTATTATTTTTATGTATATTATTAAAAATTAGTTAAATTTATTAGAATTAAAATTATTATTTTTTTAAATTATTTATTGATTTTTTTTTTTATGTACAATATTAAAATCTAGTTAAATTTATTAGAATTAGAATTCTTATGTTTTTAAATTAATTTATAAATGTAGATAAATAATTAAATATATTTAAAAAAAAAAAAAAATATTTAATTCATTTAATAATTATTTTAATTTTTTTTTTTAAATAAAAAAACAAAACAAAAAACAAAAAAAAATGAATATAAAATATTAAGAAAATCTTTTTAAATCTTCATTAGGATTTTCAACAAATAAAATAAGAATACCATCACAAAATATTATTCGTCCAATGTCACAAGAATAGAATACTAGCGAAAATATATATAATTTAAACATGTTTTAATTAAATATAGACGAAAGTATATTTGCATCCTCAATAAAGCCAGATATAATTTAAATTTAATAATAAATAAATGAGCTAAATCAAGATTTTAAATTAAGAAATTAGAATGACTAATTAAGTAATAATTATTAGAAAACATTAAAAAATTGGTTAATTTAAAATTAGGAAAATAATTTAGAAAAAAAACTTAAATATAAAATCGATTCTAATAAATTATCTGAAAATTTAGGTTGTAAAGGAAATTATGAAGAAGCTTTGAAGAAATTATTTAGATTATGCTTAATTTTTGATACTATGTTAGTAAAATTAACTGAATTTGAAATTTTAACTTTATTAAGATATGATGAAATGTATATTTATTATTATTAAAAAATAAATATGCATATAAATATATATATATATATATTTATATTTATATTTACATATCACTTATTTATTAATATTTTTTTTTTAACATAAATATTATAGGTATTGTAATATTGTTAAAAATGAATTAGAAGTTACTAATTTAAAAATTATTGGGGGATAGAAATAATATACAGCCAATAGATTTTTAATTTGTCTTTCTAATTTGGAAAGATTCTAGTATTTAATATAAAATACAAAAAAAAATTGTTCAAAATAAGTTTATATGACTTAAAATGAAGAAATAGAAGAGATATAAAAAAAATAAGATATAAAAGAAGAAAAATATATTTAGTAATAAATGCCAGAAAATAATAATAGTTTTTAAGATTAAAAAGATTCTTTGTATTATTGTGAAATTATTGAAAATATGAAACTTTTTTATGAATAATAATTTAAAAAGATAGAAAAAAATAATATATAATTATAATAAAATAATGGTGAAATATAAAATTAGTTAGAGTTCTTTTAATAAAATTTTGATTAAAATAAAGAAGAATTAATCTAACTAAAGAAATAAAATTAAGATTTATTTGAAAAATTTCAATCTAAATATACTAATAAAGAAGATGCTATGAGTATTTATGAAGAAGCTTTAAGACAAGAAGTATTTTTTTTTTTCTATTATTTTTCTAATTTAATAAAAATAGTTTGAAATTATGAAAAGCGCTTATTTGAAATAAATAGAAAATTTATAAAAAGAAAACGAATAAATAAAAAAATCTAAAATAAATTAAATTATTGAATTAAAATAAAAATTAGACAAAGAAATTGAAACAAAAAATATAATTTTAAATAAACTAAATTGTTTTTTGAAATGATTTTTTTTTTTTTTTTCTATTTTTAATATAAATTTTTTATTTTTAGTTTTACTAAAAATTTTTTTTTGTGGTAATTGAAATAATTATATTTGCAATTAATGTATGTATATATAAGTACTCTATTAGAAGAAAAAAAAAAAATAACTCAAAATATATTTTATATATAATAAAATAATTCATATATATAAAATAAATAATAATAATAATATATTTATTATTTATGAAAAATAAAAAAAAAACTTTGAAAAATAAAAATAAATATTTTGTATAGTTTCCTTAAAATTTTGATTTAAATCATAAAAAATTAAGTATATTTAGTTTTATGAATTTATTTACAAAAAAATAAAATATAAATTTTAATTTTTTATTTTCAAAAGACCTTATATTATTCTATCTATTTAGAAATTTATTTTAATATCATAATAATTAAGTTTTTAATTAATGGACTTACTACTTTAATTGATGACCACTAATTTTTTCTATAACAATATATTAATTTAATTTTTTTATAGTTTTACTGATTTTATATAATAATAGAAATATTTTTAAATTATGAGATTATTTTTCAATCAAAAAATAAGCTCAAGATCTTTTATATATAATAAAACAGTTTATATTTCTAGTATAAATTTATTAATACATATATTACTAATTAAGTTAATTCATTTTATATTGATAAACTTTTTAATTTACATAAAAAAAAAAACTTAGTAATTAAAAAATAAAAATATATTATTCTTAATTAGATGCTCTATTTTTTTAACTATTTAGTTTTTTAGATATTTAAGAAAAGTTTAAAAATAAAATATGTTCAAAATATATTCAATAATCTTTAAAATAATAGTAATTAATATTTTAACATTGATACTTTTTAAAGTAATTTTATATTATTAATCATCATTTTGTTTTTTTTTTTTAAAAAAAATTTACTATATTATTAAAATATAAAAAAAGAAAGTAATTAATTAAAAAAATAAAAATTAAAAAACTATAAATTCAGAAAAAGAAAAAAATGGGTATGTGTGTAAATAAATCAAATATAAGACTCTCGAAATTTGAAAAACAAAGACTAGAGTTAACCGCATCAACTACCAATATAAGATAAATTTATGATTTTCAATCTATTATAGGCCAAGGTTCATTTGGAACTGTAAAATTGGCAACTTAAAAAAACTTCCAAAAAAAAAAGTAGCTATAAAGATTGTTAATAAGGATATTTTATAAGATAAATGTTACATTATGTTACGAGAATTATAAATTATAAGAACTTAGATCATCCTAATATTGTAAAATTTTACGAAGTTTACCAAAATAATCTTTTTTATTATATATGTATGGAATATTGCGAAGGAGGGGAACTTTTAGATAGGATTATTGAGAGTAAATATTTTAATGAGTAAAAGGCGAGTATTATTATGCAAAAATTATTATCAGCAGTCAACCATATGCATTCTAAAGGGATAGTTCATAGAGATTTAAAACCAGAAAATATCCTTTTTACAACCCTAAATACAGAAGTTAAAATTTGTGACTTTGGGCTTTCCAGTTTTTATGAAAAAAAAAAAGATTTAAAAACTGTTGTTGGATCTCCTTTATATGTAGCTCCGGGTGTTTTATAGGGATAATATGATGAAAAATGTGATAATTGGAGTCTAGGAGTTATTTTATATTTAATGTTGGTTGGATATCCACCTTTTTATGATGATAATAAGTAGTTAATTTATCAGAAAATTAAAAACGGGGACTATGAGATGAAAGGATATGAATGGAGCCTTATTTCCGATAGTGCTAAGGATTTAATTAGAAAACTAATAATAGTTAATAGAAAGGAAAGGATATCGGTAGAAGAAGCTTTAAATCATCCTTGGATTAAAAAATATTAGTAAAATGAAGAGATTTAAGGAGTTTTTACTTTGTAGAATTTAGATAAAAATGGTGAATGTAATTAAGTTTTGTCGAATTTAATAATTAATTATTCGAATATTTCAAAATTAAAAAAGGAGTTTATGAAGATTTTAATTAATTAATTTAATGAATATGAAATTGAAGGACTTAAAAATATTTTTAAGAAAATCGATAAAGATTAGACTGGAGTTATTACTTTAAAAGAACTTAAAGCTATTATGTAATAGGAAGGATTTAAGTAAACTAGTATGAAGAATTTATAAAATTTAATTAAGAATATTTCAGGAGATAGTAACAATAAAGTAATTAAATATTCAGAATTCATTGCTGCGGCTTTAAATTAAATTAAATATTTAAAAGAAGAGAAATTATGTTCGCTTTTTAAATATTTTGATCCGTCAGATACTAATTATATTTCTGTTTTGGATTTAAAAGAGATCTTTTTAAGAAACGGAAGAGATGTTTCTATTGAAGATATTAAAAGCATGCTTAAAGAAATTAAGTTAAAAAATTAAGATTAGATTTCTTTTACTGAATTTAAAAAATTTATGATTGGATAAGATTTAGATTATTAAAAATGAGTTTTTTTTTTTTTAATTTTTCCTCTTTTTCTTATTTATTCATGACTGTCTATTATTTTCTACTATATATATTTATTTATCAGAGAAATTGTAAAATTATTAATTTACATTTTTAGAATAAATTTTTTCAATTATTTAATATTTTTTTTTATTTAAAATATTGAAAATAAAAAATAATTTTAAATTTAAATCGTTAAATTTTATAAATGTTTTAATAAAAAGTTAATAAATAAGATATTATTAAATTATATTTTTTTTTTTATATTATACATTATTATTAATAAATTAATGTATTTTTTGTTAATATGATATTAATAATTTTTATATTTATTAATGTCTAAAATATTAATAAAATTATAATATTAAAACTTCTTTTCTTTTTTTTTGAAAAAAAAAAAAGAAAATTTAAACAATATTTATTTATTTAAAAAAATAAAATTAACAATAAATTTTTTAAAGCAAAAAATTAAGAAAAAAATAATTAAACAAAGGAAAGGAAAAAAAATTAGTTATAAAAAAATATATATATATATAAGAAAAATAAAAAAAAGAATGAATATAAAAATGAAATTATAATAGTCTTCAAGATTATCTTTTTATTAAAATAATCAATAAAATTAAAGAAGTTAATTAAATATTTAAAAGCCTTACTAAACTGAATTAAGTCAAGAAAAGGAAAATACAATTAGTTATTTATAATATAAAAAGCAGAAATAAAAAATTACTCCTAGAACTATAAACTAGCAAGCAATTAATAAAAATAATAATAATTCTTCTAATAAAAATATAAATATAAACAATAATATAAGCATAACTTCAGAAAATAAAAAAATAACAAGTATTAACTTAAATTAAAATTTGAAAATAATAAATTAATAAAAATAACCTATTCTAAACAATTAATCCGAAATATAGTTTCAACATGAAACAAATCAAAATTATTCTCGATTAAATGATTATAATGTAAATAAATAAATTTTAATGTCTAAATATTCTTCTTAATCATCTTCTAATTCGTCTTCTCTTCGCAAAAATTCATCTAAAAAAGAAATTAATAAAAATAAATTTAAATTAGATTAATAAGATTATGAGAGATTATAATAATAGCATTTATATTAAGCCTTTAATAATAATGATATTAATGATTAGCTTAATTTAACTGAAAGATAATATGAATAAAGAATGTAATATTAATAATATATTTAAAGAAATAAAACTTAAAAAAATATTTCTTAAGCTAATTTTTAAAATTAATAAAAATACTTTTGTAAAAATCATCAAAATATTTAAGTAATTATATATATATACTATTTATATATATAGTATTATTTATTTATAAAAAAAGGCATAGTGTTATTCAATAGAAAATTAAATTGCAAATTATTATTGTTAAAATTGTTCAAAAATATAAATATAAAAAGGATTAATATTATATTAAATGTATTAATAATAAAATAAAATTCCGTAAACTGAATATTAATACTAAAATAAAAGTCCTTAAACTGATGAAAAATTAAATCAATAATCTTATTTAAAAGAAGAATTAAATCAAATAATACTGAAAATATAAAATTTAATATTAAAATCTAGTGATAAAATAAATAGCCTATAAGAAAAAAAGAAAGAAATTAATTTGTTTCATACCAATTAAAAACTATAAATATAATAAAAAATGGAAACTTATTTAAATATGATATAATAATAAAGCCAAATATTAAATTAATAAATACAAAGTTGGAACTAAACCATATTAGAAAATATTTAGAATGAAGAATAATTAATTTAATAGAAAATTAATGATATGACTAACATAAAAAATGATATAACACATAATATAAACAATATTTTAAGCAATTTTGATATAAAACCCTTTATGGTTATAATGGGGAAATATAATTAATAGTTAAATAATATATAGTCATTTGTAGATAATTTTAATAATTAATTTTAACTTATTTCTTTCAAAAATAATGATATTATATAATAAAAATTGAATGAAGTAATTTAAAATGACTTAAAAAACATCTTCTTATAATAAAATTAAGAAATTAGTCTCAAATAATTAAATAATATTAATTTAAATTTAAAAGATGTTTTAAAAAAAGAAGAAAAAAATTAAATTTTATATGTTTCTTTTAATAATAAAAATATTTTCCAAAATTAAGAATATGAAGATCTTTAGTAAATAAAAAAAAATAACGAACACAATAAACCAAAATCTCCTTAATGCACTAAATATATTTAACTTATTGATAAAATTAATGCTAATCAATAAAATACAAATCAGTTTTATTAAAAACTTATTAGTGAAAAGAAAAACAAAACCTATTCAGAACATTAATAACCTTAATATTTTTAAAATAATGATGACTATTTTAATTCAAAATAGTTAAAAAATAATTTTAAAACTGATAATTCATTTTTTTGAACTTTTTTTATTTATTTATTTATATGTATATATATATATATATTTTTATTTATTTGATTTCTATATTTTAAAATATTAATTTTCTATATAAAAAAAATGATTCAAGAAAACTAATAATATTTATAAAAAATAAAAAGTCCATAATATAGACATGTAATTAAATAAGTAGAAGGAAAAAAAAAATATTATTATTAACTTTAACCAGGCTCGTCATTTATAAAATCAATTAATAACAAACCAAATTCAAATTTAGTGAAAGTCATCATGAAAACTGGTTCTACATATGAAGGAGAAGTAAATAGTAGAAACGAAAGACATGGATACGGAGTATATAAAGGTATTTTTAGTTTTTTTTTTTTTGAATTTTATTTAAATATACATTTATAGTTATTTATGGTGGAATGTATGAAGGGTAGTGGAAAAATGGATTTAAAGATGGAGAAGGTACATTTTATTATAAAGGTGGAGTTATTTAATATAAAGGATAATGGTAATGTGGAGAACCACATGGTATATAAAAATTAATTTATTTAAAATATATATATCTATATATGTAATATTTTTAAATAAAATAATATATTTTATTTTTTTTGAAAAAAAAAGGAGAAGGAGTTGTATATAATTAAAATAGCGAGGAAAAATACAGAGGAACATTTATTAACGGCAAATCATTATAAGGAATAAATTGGATGGATTATAAAAATAAATGAAAAAAAAAAAAATATTTTTATAATTACTTTTTATTTAATTAAAAAAGAAAATTCTGAGTTTATATATATATAAATAAAAAAAATATACGATTAAGTAAATATATAAATAAGTTTATTATATAAAATTTTAAAATAAATTATTGTTTAATTTAATAAATACTAATTTATATTTGAATAAAATAAAATAAATGAAATATATTCAAAAATAATATAAAATAAAAGTAAAATCTTCTATTATTTACTCGTTTTATAGTTAAATATTTTTGATTCTTTTTAGTAAAGTATCACTAGCTTATTTAACAGTTTTTTAATTAAATGAATTAAGTATAGAATATAATTCAGGTTATTCAATAAGATCAAAGAAATTTCTAGTGGCAATTATTATAAAAAGATCATTTTGTTTATTTATATCATAACTAAAAACTTCTGGTTCAGAAATAACACCAATTTTTTTAGCAACCTAATTTCCTATACATCTAAAAAAATTGAAAATAAAATTTATATGAAATATATAAATAATTATAATAATTTATAGACATATATAAATAGATATAAATTATATTTATTTATATTTATATATTTATATATTTATATATTTATATATTTATATATTTATATATTTATTTACCTTGTTATTTCTATTCCTGGATAATTTCTTCCTCTAACAAAAACTTTTTCAAAAAAATCATTTTTTTATTTTCTTATTTCTCCAGCATTTTTCTGTACTCTTAATCTTTCATCATTATTAATAGGTTCGTGAATTTCACATAATTAAACACATATATTTTTATTATTGTTTTTATTCAAGTTAGGTTATTTATAAACATAAGCTAAGTTATTACCTACTGAAGATACTATAATTTTATTTTATTCGCAAATTAATATACTACTTGAGCATCCACTCATTATACAATTAAATTAACTTTACTTTTTATTTTCGTATAAATTAAAATTAATTATTTACTTTATGATTATAAGCTATATACTGAGATACAAACTTATCCACTTTTTCAAATATATTAACAAAAGCTATTTATGGATTTATACTTAATAAACCTTCTTTAAATAGGTGTTTAAAAAGCAATTTATTAGCTAAATTTGCTATTTCTTATCCATAAGCTCCATGTCCGTTTGAAACACAAAAAACTCTATAATTAACATCAATATAAATGAAATAATCTGTCAGATTACTGATAACTATCTGATGTGTTTCCTTTTTTAGAAGAAACTGAGATTCCAAGTTCATATAGTCTATCTTTATTATAATGTACTCTTTTTTATTTTTTTTCTTAATCATTATCTTAGTAGTAAATTTCTTCTATTTTATAAGGTTTTTCATCCCCTGGATTTTCACAAAAATTATAAGATTGAGGAAAAGATCGTAAAAATAGTTTTCTAAATTCATAAGATTTACTATTTGATAATTATATAGCAAAGACAGAATTATCATTATTACTTAAATAACTATTATCTTTATATTCTTAAATTATACTATTATTATTTAAAAATTTAATAGGAGATTTAACTTCAGGCTCATAGTAATTTAAATATTATTTTTTATCTTTTAATTATTATAATATTTAATTATTTTATTATGTTTTTAACTTAAATTTAGTGGCGGCAAAAATTTTTCAACAAATAAATGAGAATCTGTTTCTATATTTGTATAGAATGAATTTTCAATGTCTATATCATCTTTATTAATTAACATTTCATGCGCTTTATTAATAAATAAAAGAAAAAAATGTAAATAATGTAATAATATATATATATATAATATATAGATATATAATTAAAATTTAATATACAATCGTTATAATTATTATTATTATTATTATTATTATTATTATTATTATTATTATTATTATTATATTTATTTTATTAGTCTATATCTGATTATTCACTATTATCATTATCTTCACTATCATTATCATTTAAATTACAAAAATTATGATCTACATTAATAAAATATTATTTCTTTTGATTTAATTATATAGAAAGTTTTTTTTCCAATTTATCTTAATTATATTATATGCAATTTTATTTTAAACTATTTTATTCTACTTCATATTTTTAACATGAAGAACTATCTATGTTACTAATACTGCTTTCACTTTTTTTTTAACTGCCAGAACTATCACTTATATCTACATATTTTTTTTTTTTTCTGATTACACTTTTATTAATTTTTGAATTTATATCATTTGAATGTTCTTCTGTTTTATGTCTTTTAGTTTTATTTTTACTTTTTTTTTAATGTTTTTTTTTTATTTCATAGCTATTATTTTTTATTGAATACCTTTGTATAATTTACGAATGATTTGGATAATCTTAAAATATATAATTTGTTTGCATTACATTTTTTACACTTAATCTTTTTTGAAATTTTTTTTAATTTGTCAAATTTTCTATTTATTTATTGTTATTTTTATTGTATATTTAATTTAATTTACCTATATCTATTAGTGGTTATGAAGTTATTTTAATGGAATCGTGTTATTTTGTTTATTCAATTTATTATATTTTGATTATCTATTTTTCTATATTATTATATTTTTTTTATATATTTATATTTAAGATATTAGTTTGAACCTTTTCCTTTATGGGCTGATGATCCCATTTTAAATTTTGAAAATTTTTGATGTAAAAAATGTTAAATATATTTTATTATTATTATATTTAAATTTTTAATAATTAATTTTTTTTTTTTTTAAATAAAGTTGATTTTTTTTTATTTATAATAATATATAATGAATAATTCATCAATATATTAAATTATTAATGATAAAAGTTAAAAATAATATAGTATGAAAGATAGCATTATTAATAATTCTTAATTATCTAATTTTTAATAAAAGCTAAAATATGATTCAGGATATTTAGATAAATTTTTATTAGAAATAGAACTAGCAATAAAATAAAGTCAAGAATATTAAATTTTATCTTCATAATTTAAAAAAGCAGTTTCAAGATTTGCTAAGGATTCTGAGTAAAAAAGCTTTTTCATAATTTTATATTAATTCTTGAAAAATATATAGAGGAAATCTTCTTAAAGATTTAAAATAACCTCAATTAGAATCTGTATATAGAGATGTATTATTATTATTTTAATTAAAAACTTAAATAATTATTTAATAAAAGATTTCAAGAATATTTGATAAAGAGGAAGAAGGAGTAATCCTTAAAGATAAAATAAGATAATTAATGAATTTAAGATTAGAAGATATGAGAAGATAAATAGTAACAAAAATAAAAAAATAAAAAATTAAATAAAATAAAAATAAAAAAAGAAAGATAATAAATGGAATGTAGTAACTAGTTTACTTTAAAATTTGATATTAAAAAATAGAGGAAATATAGATTGCTTTGATTTATTAGCTTATAGATAAATTCCATAGGATTTAAGATAGATAATATGGAAATTTTGTTTAGTAAAAAAATAAAAAATAAATATGAAATAATAAAAATAAAGGATAATCAAGAAGAAGCATAATAATATGCAGAAAAAATAAGAGAAAATAGATTAAAAACATTATCTAAATTTGATATTTAAATAATAAAAGATACTGAAGAATTTGTAATGTAAATGTGTGATCCTGAAACTTTTGACGGAAGTATGATTTTTTGTGCAAAAACTATTCTTTCATATTATGAGGTTAGAAAAGATAGAATTTTATCAGATTATTTATACATGTTAGTTATTCCATTAATGGTTTAAATATATAAAAATAAATAATCATAAAAATATATATATATAGATATAAATATATATTTTTATATATATATACATATTTATATATATTTATTTTTAATATTAAAAAAATAGAGTGTTTTTGCTGAAGCAAAGCATTTGCATAAAATTCCAGTTGATTTAGTAGGATATTTTTTTAGTATTTAAAAAGTTGTTTCTTATTTTGATCCACTTGTTGATTTGCTTGTTATTCAAGATGAATATTACGAATAAGAAATGACAGATTTTATTATGAGTTCACTAGCACTTGTTGATTAGGAGGTTTTAGATAAAATACAGGAAGTTCTTAATTTAGATATTCCTTCATAAAGAACTTTAATCGTACTTATAGTAAAAAGATTTGTTCATTCTTTAGGATTTGCATTTCTTCCAATGAGTATTAGCTTATATATATAAGATTAGATTTATATGAAAATTATTAAGAATAAACTTGAAATATTTATTGATTTAGCCATTATGCTTAAATGTTTAAAATAAAACATTTTGTAAGAAAATAATTGGGATAAAATTGTTGATGTTATTTATTAAAAATCGAAATAAATTCCATTTGAAATTTATTATAATTTTCATAAGTTTTATATATAATTTTTATTTTATTTTATTATTTTAAAATAAAACATAAAAAAAAAATAGGCAAATAATGAAAAATTCAAGATTTTACCAATCTCCATATAATATAGATCCTTAAATAGTAAATAGAGGAAATTAAATATTTGATAATCCTTTATAAAAATTAATTGATAATTAAATACAAAAAGATAAAAAAGCCTATAAAAAAAAATGGTTGGAAGGTGAAGAAGAAAATAAATATTAAAAAAATACTCAATATGATTATAATTCGAAATTAAAAAGTTAGTTTGATGAAGATGAAAGTGAATATAATGAAGAAAGTGGACTTCATGGAAGAAAAGTTGAATTATAAAAAATTAATGCAGAAGATATTATGAAATAACTAAAAATAAAGTAATAAATTCCAGAAAATATGGGTATAGTACCTATCATTAATGATGATGAAAGTGAAAATTCTAATCATAATGTAAATAATTATAATATTTAATAAGGAAGTGTAGATGGAAGTGAGGAAGAATAAAATTAAGATTATGAATTCGATATTTTAAATGGAATGAATTGAATATTGATGTTTAATTAAATATTATATTTTTTTTTTAAATTAGGTTTTATGTAAAATAATATAAAATTAATTATTTAATATTAATGTTAAAATTTATATTAAAATATATTTAAAATATATATATATATATATATATATAAATATTAAAAAAAATAAAATATTATATTTACTTTACATTAATATATTAATTGTATTTACTAAAATTAAAATCATAATATTATTTTATTTATATTTAATATACTCCATTTTTTTTTTAAATAAGAAAATTTAACTATTTTCTTTCTTTTATATTTTAATATATGTTATAAAAATTACTTTTTAGGAAAATATTCAATTATATAAAATGAATTAAATATAATTTTTTTTTAAAATAAATATTATATGTATTTTTTTTTTTTCTCAATATTTTATAATAATTCTTTTTATTTAATATAGAAAACAAATAATAAAAATATATATAAATGAATTTATTTTTTTTATTTAAATACTAATAAATTTTATAGACTGAAATACAAATAAATATATATGTAATTATATAAAATGAATTTAAAATAAATTATGTACTAAATTTTTAATAATATATAAATTTAATACATTTATAATTTTAATTTTATTTTAAATGTTAATATATTTAATAATTTATATATTACTAATACATTATGAATTATTTATATAATTTTTATTAAAAATTTATATAAAGCTTTTCTTTAAATTTTCATTTAATAAATAAAAATATAAATATTAATTTAAATAGATAATATATCTTAAAAATATAAATACTAAATTTTTATAATGTAATAATTAATTATTTAATTATAAATATAATTTTGGATATAAATATATATATTATATATATTTAATAAAAATAATACATAATAAAAATTGATCTTAATATTTATAAATTAAATTTAATAATAAAAAAAATTTAATATTAAATATTATATACAAAATCATTTATTATTATTATTAAAAAAAAAAAATTAGCATAAATGGAAGATTTATCCTTATAAATCTTAAAATCCTTAAAAAATCAAATAATTAAATAATCATTATAACCTTAATTTTAATGGATAAAATATAAAAATCCAAAATATAATGATATAAAAGTAAACTTTTAAGAAGATAATAGGTTCTTTGAAAATAAAGTACACAAGTGGATTTGGTATAAAAACCTAAATATACCACTCTACTCTTTTACTTTAAACAGTTTATATGATGAAATTTTTTATATGTAAGTTCTTGCATTTAAATGGTGCTCTGACTAGATAAATGAAAACGTGTTTATTCACTCATAATTATCTGGTGTTACTGTCCTTAAAATTTAAAATTAATAATAATAGTCTTTAAACGGAGTTAGATTTATTGATACTTCTTTCAAATATAGAGTATTTATTAATTATGTTTTAATTTTAATAATATTATGTTAAATAATTTAGGGTGAGAAATTTATATTGATGTTTATTATAAAAAATTCGAATAATGAAATTATTTAGGCAAGAATTTCTTCTTTTATATTTGTAGAATCTAGAAAAAAAAGCCATAAAGAAAGAGTAAAATAAAATTAATATATTTTTGTTTTTCATATTTAATAATATATTAATAAATTCACTTTTAAAAAATTTTAAATAAGTAAACAGTATAAAGTATATTTAATCCCTTTCTACCAGAATAACTTAAGAAAAAAATTGTTTAAAAAAAAAAAAATATATAATCATAATTAAAACAAGAAAATGATTTCGAATCATTATTAAATTATTTTAAAGATTATTCAATTAGACAAAAAGTATAATAAAAAAAAAAATTAAAAATATTTAAGAATAGATAATATTATTTTTAAAAATATTAAAAAATTTATAGATTATTCATCCATTTTTCTTATTATTAAAATTTCCTAAAGCTATAAAATTATATTATAATACCAACTATGTTAAAGCTAATGAAAATGTAAAAATATTAAATATATATATATATATATATATATATATATATATATATACAATAATATATTTTTTTATATAATTAGCATTCTCATTTATTTGTATCTTTATAAAAAGAGATTTTAAAAATCCTTCTTTTTCCAAATAAAAATGAAAAAGAATAATATAAAAATAAAATTTTTATTATGTGTTTGAATATTAATTGCAACTCATTAATTTACTACTAAGATTATCAAATAAAAGAAGTAATTTTTTTTTTTTGATTTAATAATTTTTTTTTTAATTAATATTTTATTTTTTAAAAAGATTATTAAACATTTAAAGCCTTTATAAGGATAAATATTAAGCTTTAGTGAATGTCTTTTAGATACTATACCTGCTTAATTTTAAGAATTTGAATATCATGTATAAAAATTATATTAACCAGATTTATTTTTATATTAAAAAGCCAAATCTAAATAATATCTATACGCAAGCTTATTCTAATTTAGCTAATTAAAAAATATACATGGATATTTAAAAAGAAAAAAGTAGAGTAAAAGTAGAAGAATATGAAGAAGAAGTAGAAGAGAACGTTAGTGATTTTATTAAAGCAAATCTTATGATTAAAAAATATATAGTACAAATATTAAAAAAACTAAATGAAATAATATTTATCTGAGATTTATTAAAATTAAGAAAAATAATAATTTAAAATTAAGTAATTAAAATATAAAGGATTATTAAGAACAGTTATATAATTGAATAAAGTCGACTCAAAATAGAAACACAAATTAATAAAAGTACGAACTTATTATAATCAATAAAATAATATCTAAAGCTGCTAAGAAATATCTGATATGAACGTTAACCCTATAAAAAAAAAGAAAAATGAAAATATAAACAATAACATCAACCATCTAAATAATATTATTATTAATAATAATTATTAATGTCAAAAAAAAAGTTAAGAACCTAATGAAAGCATTAATGTTAAGAAAAATATTATAAGTACAGTTTAAATTCAAGGCTTATAAACTTAAAATAATTAAATTTTCGACTTGTTCACTAATAATAAGAAAGAGTAGGAATAAAAAAGTATTTAGTAATTATTATAAGCAATAAACAACTAATAAAATTATATTAAATAATTATAAGAGAAAAATGAAATTTTAAGCTATAATAATAATAAAGAATAGTTTAAAAATATATATAATATTTGAATTAGTATTAAAATAGTTTAAAATATATGATAATATATTTTAATATAAAAATAAAATAATTTAAAATTATTTTATTTTTATAATAAATTGAAAAAAAATAACTCAAAATAATTTCATTAAAATTATATATTACTTTAAAATAAAAATATACTTAATAATATTAATATATAAAATTAATTACTAAAAAAAAATATATTATATAATATAATATATTTAATTATAATAAATTATTATATAAATTATTATCTTTACAACTAATAATAATATAAATAAATATTTAAATTATATATTTAAAAAAAATTATTATTTAATATCAATATAAATATCTTAATGATTTATTATAATTTTTCTAAATAATAATAAAAAGAAAAAATTAATACAAAATATCATTTTTACTTTATAATTTTTGTTTTGCTTTAATAATAAATTATGAATAATTTATAAATTAAATTTTTTTATTTATTATATAAAAATATTATTAATTTCTTTTTTTTTTATAAAAAAAATAAAATAAAAACAATTTATTATATATATAGTATAATTTCAAGATTTTAAATTAATTGAAAAATTAAATAATATAAAATTATATTAAATAAAAATATAATAAATAAAATATAGTTAAAATATATATAAACAATAATTTTAAATATTATTTTAAAATCAAATATCATTTTTACAAATTTCCCATAAATCTTTATTAATATTCCATCAGGTAATTTTCTATAGCAACTTCAAGTATATTATTAAATTCTATCTATTCATTACCTTTTTCTTATTATTCATTTTTTAATTTTTCGATTTCATTTATTTTATCATTAAAAAGACTATCTACTAATTCTATATCATACTTTTTTACTTAAATAATTCGTTCTTTATAGCTTTTTTCATATATCTTATTTTAAACAAAAACACCATAAATAGGATCATTTAAAAACAAAGATTTTAATTTATTTAATTCTTCATATAGTGTTTCCAATTAATTAGATATAAAAGCAATTTAGTATCCTTGGGCACAAATAATAATCGATGATCCGGATTTTAATTATTAAATTTAAAAACTCTTAATTTAAATCCATGGAATACTTAAATTATAATTTTAATTATTTAAATCAAACCAAACGATTCTAATATTTGTTTAAATAAGTATACCTTTAATCTAATTATTTTTATTAATATTATATACATTTTCTTGTTAACTAATTATTTTTTCATTATTTAATACAATAAGCTATTTATCTTATATTATAGCACTTTTTGATATTTCTCTATACATTTTTGTTTTCATATATTCCTTATATATATTTTATAAAGTATCAAATATATTCGATTAATTTTTTTAAATATTTAAATTTAAAAAAATTAATTCAGATTTGATTTAACTGCATTTTTTAACTTAAATATATATTTATTATGTATTATATTAACTAAATGATTTTATGTCTATTTTGTTATTGTATTTAATCCTACTGATACATTTATAGAATCTTAATTTTTACAATACCAGATAATTCTCAAATTTGTAACTATAAGAATTCCTGGGTCGTCTATTTAATTATTACAAAATTCGATTTATTCTTCATGCTGAATTACTCTTTCATTTATACACAAACTATTTTAAACATTTAATGAGTAAAATTTGATTTCATTATCTATAAAACTTTCATATTGTATTTACATTTAAAAATAATTATTATTTTTAATTATATTAAATGATAATATATTTGTATATATTTTTTATTATAATAAAAAAAAAATATATATATATATAACAAATTTAATTTATATCTAATAAAAATATATTAAAAGCATGAAAAATATATATGTCCTAATAAATATATTATAAAATATAAATATTTCTTAAAATAATAATTTTAAAACAAAATATATATAAATATATTTATATATATAAATATATATATATATTTTATAATTATTATTATATTAATTAATTTCTTTTTTCATTTTATAAAATTAAATACAAAAAACAATTTAAAAACTACAAAACTATAAAAGCATTTTATTATGAATTTTGAATAATAATTTTTTATAAATTAAGAATAATAATAAAACTTAATTCAGCAATAAAAAACTTAGAATAATACTAGCAATAATAATATTTAACTTTATGAAATAAATATATAATAAGATGTAAAAATATAACTTTCTTAATTATCCTTTTGTGATTTTGCATAAAATAACAATTAAAATTTAATTATTTAAATTGATTTTAATATACCAAAACAAGCAATAATAACAGTAAAATTAGTAATAATTTATATTTTTAATTTTATTTAATTTAGGGCATTGTTTTATCATCATTTTGCAATTTTAATTTAGGAAAATATTTTTTTAATTTAAAAAGTGCTGAAAGTTATTTATAGGATAATTAAACAACCTAGAGTATGCTAAAAATAAGTATTAATAACTAAAATGATGACGAAAGGTATTAAATAGAAATAAATAAATATTTTTAATTAATTAAAAATATAAAAAGTTTAAAAATAGATGCAATTTGTTTATCAAAAAGATTTAAATTATAATTTTATTGTTTGTTTAATACAATAAATGAAATAACAGAAATAAAATAAAGTTTATCACAAGAAGCATAAGAATTTTTAACCAAATTAGAATCAGATGAGAATAAAAATAATTCACATTAAGAAATAAAAACATTATCATAAAATTTATTTAAATAATGCTTTTAAAAAATAAAAATAAATGGAATTTCATTAATAACAACACCTTCAGTAACATAAGTAATTTTTTTAAATAAATAAATAATTTATATATATATAATATATACTAAGACAATGCAATTATTAAATATATCTCATGTTTTTCGAAAAAATAAAGAATTGGAAAACACTGTAGAATGTGAAATTTTATTAGGGATAAGTATGATTAGTTAAAGAAAATATATTTAAGCATCTGAAATATTAAAAAAATGTTCTTAGTATTTTATTCAAAGAAATAACCAAGAAAAAAAACAAGAATTCAAATGTTTCCTTTCGTCTTGTATTTCTTCATAAATAGATTAAAATTTTGTAGGTACTAATAATAAGCTTTTATTAAAAGCTGCTAAAATAGAACTTTTAGTAGCCGAAGCTATAAATCATCCTTCAATGATAATCGAAAAATTACAAGCTTTTAGAAGAGCTACAGCATATTTTATGAATAATTAATAACTAATGTTAGAAAATGGGAATGAGTTTGATATATAATATGATGTTTATTCAGGATTACTTTAACTATAACCTTATTTATGTAAGTTTTATTAAAAACACTTTCTGATACCTTTGAACCTATAAGGTTGGCGGCTATTAAAGGATTAGAAGCTTTAATTGAATATTTAGGGTGTACTTTAGGCAGTTTATTACCTTAGATTGTAGAGAACATACTACTTTCTTATTCTGAATTTAAGAAATAAAATAAAAATAGTAAATTGGTTATTGATATGTATCATCACTTATTGGAAACTTTTTTGAATGTCTTAGCTAGTTGTTCTTCATAAATTTTAAGAGTTATTTTTACAGGAATTATGGGTTAAAATATGTTCAAAAAAGGAGAAAATAATGTCGAATTGTAAATATATTGTATTAGAATAGTTTGAAAAAATTTTACTTATATGTTAAGGAGATTTAGAAGTATATTTAAATATATATAAATAAAAAAACATATATATATATATATATATATATTTTATTTATATATTTAATTATATATATATTATTTTTTTTTATTATATTATATTTTAGATTGATAAAAATTTTCTTAATGAAATAATTAACTTAGTTGACGAATCTAATTCTAATGTAAAGTTTCATGTCAATATTTTATGGGAAACTATGAAATAAAAATTTATATACAATATGTCATATAATTAATTAAATAAAACTATTGTTTGGTTAGGAGATACCCTTATTAACCTTTCTGAAATTGAAAACTTTAATAACTTTTAATAATTATTCCATATTTTAGACATAATTACTGTAATTTATTAAAGACTAAATATTAAAAATAGTCTATATAAAGAATATATCCAAAAAGTAAATAAGAATTAATAAATATTAACCATAAACTAAAACGAACTTGTAAATATTAAATACTTATTAAAGCCTCTAATGTTATGGATTGATAATTCTTTATAATACCATAATAAATTGGAACTTTTTAAAAATTTATGGTTAGTCCTGGTCGAAGTTTTGAATTTACTTTAAAATAATAGTAAATGTGAAATGCGTATTTTAGATGTTTCGATTCCTTTATTATCTTAAGTAAATGCATATATATAAAGTCATCAACCACATGAAAAAATGCTTTAATTTTTATTAATAATAAGCAATTCTTTAGTGTAGGAAAAAATTAAAATGGAGGTAAACCAAGTGTGCTTTTTAAAGAAATTTTTCGAGTCTTTTTTAAGGACTATTCCTCATTCTTTACACGATGAAACCTTTGAAATTTTCAATAATTTATGTGAAATTATAAGTCCTTAGAATTTCTCGGATGAATTAGTTAAAAAAAGTATTAATATTTTAATAGATTAATATACAGTGAAGGGAAAAGCGCATAAAAAATCAAAAGAAAAATTCATTTAGTGTATTTTGGGAAATCCTGAAAATCTCAAAACGGCACTTTTGGTACTTTTTTTAGAAAGAGAAGAATCAGAAATGCAGTTCAAAAAAGACTCGAAAATGTATAATTAGAAATAGGAATTTTATGCAGAAAAGTTATGTCTTTTAAGTGAAATTTTCTCTATGCTTTCTTCCGAAAACTTCCTTTTGATAGATAAACTTATATAATAAGGATTATTTAATAAACCTTTTTTTACACTTTTAACAAGTAGGAATTCTAAAAATAGATTAAAGGGTTTGAATATATTAAAGGTCTTGTTTGAATAATATAAGGAAGTTTTACTGTTAAAAAGGGAAGATTTTTTTAATGAAAAATAGTGTATTTAAATTGTTTAGTTGATTATAGTTTCACTTAAGACTGGGCTGGAGTATGAGGATGATTCTAAGTTATAATTTAATGCATTGATTATTTTAGATTAGCTTTTTTAACACATTTTTAATAGTAATTAGAAGATTTTATATGCGACCTTTCCTATATAGTTGATGTGTGAATTGTGGCCAGTTTTTAAGAAGTTAGCAGATTCGCCTTGGAGCAATATTAAGGTATTAGTTTATACAATTATTAGTTACTGGGTAAGAGATTAAAGGGCAATTTAGGATGAAGTATTTGGAGGTTTTCTTATAGAAACTTTAAAATAATTAGTTTATGGGAAGGAAAATGAATCTAGATGTGGTGGGTTAAATATTTTGGGAAATTTATGCGGAATTTATAAATTGGAGAGTAATTAAGAAAATTGTTTAAGGTTTTTGAGAAAAAATAGTGGTTTTGTGCCAAAGTGTATTTGGTATTAAGTTTATAATTTGTAGTTTGATTGGGATTAGGTTAATTAAAATATTTCTAGTATTTTAATTTAGGTTTGTGCGCCTAAAAATTATATATTTGAATTTGTAAAGGAGGATAAAAGATATTGTAGTTTTTAGGAAAAAAGTAATCTCTTTTAAGATGAATCAAATATTTTTTGGATTGAAAAATTAGAAGAAAAAGAACTAAAAGAACTAATTTTAAATTATAAAGGTTAATTAAAAACTCCATAAACACTTTGGATTGAAAGAATTAATTATAATAATGAAGAACCGAAAACACAAGAAGAAAACTTACATGAGTAATATTGTTAGGCATAGTGGGCAGTAGATGAAAATATTTTAAAAAAAGAAGAAGAAACACTCGATTTGTAAGAATTAGGAATAATAGAAATTGATGACGAGGAGTGGAATGAATATGATGTGGTTGAAGCAGATAATTTAAAGAGGAAATTTCCAAATTTAAAATAGAAAATTAATAATATAAGTCCTTAAATGTAAATTAGAGATAAAAGTCCAAGTTTTAAATATGATTTGGAACAAAAAAAATAAATAATAGAGATAATTTAAAATGTTTAGAAAATAATATAAATAATGATTAATATAATAATATAATTGAAATAGAAAATAAAAATGATAATAATAATACAAATGATAATAATGATATAGATAATAATAATAATAATAATAATAATAATAATAATAATAATAATAATAATAATAATAATAATAATAGATTTTTGTAATAATATTAATATGAGGGATTTAGTTAGTTTTTAAATAAAGAAAATATTAAATAAGGTTAAGAAGAATTCATTTATTCAGATAGTGCTGAAAGTGATGATTATTAAGATACTTTTATTAAATAATAGGAAATATTATTTAGATAATAGAAATAATAAAAGTTTGAGCATAATATAATTAGAGATATTCCTAATAGACCTCTGTCTGCAAAAATAAAAAAATAAAGTAATAATCTATAATAAGAAATAAATAATTTAAACGTAAATAATAAATGTAATCTATAAAAAATAACCAAAAGTAATAATAAATGTAATTTTATTGATGAAAATTCGCAAATCGAGTAAATTAATGAATAGAACTGGATTTAAGATAAAAATAAAATTTAATAAAGTAAATATGTAAGTCCTCCAAGACCAAAAAGTTCGTAGATATATTGTGATAATATTTAAAATAATAATAATAATAGCAATTTATTATATAATAACAATTAAAAAAAATAAAAAAATAATAATAATAATATTATAAACAATTCATTTACCAATAACATTAATAATAAAAATAATAATTATATAAACAGCAACAATAATAAATAAAATATAATTAATAAAGATAATTAAATAATAAATAATAATTAAAACATATAATATATTAATAATAAAAGTAGTAATAATAGTAATAGTAATAATAATAATAATAATAATAATAATAATAATAATAATAATATTAATAATAATAGTAATAATAATATTATAAGTAACAATAACTCAAATAATAAAATAATTTTAAAATTATATTAATTAATCCAAAAAATAAACTCTATAAAATAATTTTATGAATAATGAGAAAAAAGTTAATAATTCATCTTAACAAATTTTGAAAACTATAAACAATAATTAAATTATTTTAGGAAATAAAAAAAATTAGGAAAGTCCGAAAATTCCAGAAAAAAGAAATTCTTCTTCAAATTAAAAAAATAATAAAGAACATTTTATGGAAAAATTGTTTTATAAAAAAATAAATTTTAATGATTTAAAAAATATTTGGAAAATGAATAATAATTAAGTTTCAAGTAAATCAGCTAATACAGAAAAAGAAGAAATTATTAAATAAAAAATATAAAAAAAGAAAAAAACTATTGCTACTATGCCTTAAACTACATAAAATAACCCAATAATAAATTCTTTAATAAATTCACCTTCATAATTTAATAGTTTTTATAATATAAGTATAGTTGAAAAAGATAAAATAACCAAATAAAAAAAAGTATAAAATAATAATAAATGAATAAAATACAATATTGAAAAAAAAATATAATAAAATAAAGATATAATATATATTAATTATATAAAATTCATAAATAATTATTTTTTATTATAAATAAATATATTTATATATATATATATATATATATTTATATATTTATATATTTATACATTTATATATATTAATAATATTTGTTGAATATTTATTTTTTACATAAATATAAAACAATTTAATAATATTAAAATAAAAAAAACCATTTTTATCCTTACTTAATAAATTTTAAATTATTTTTTATATGTTTTTTGGCTATGAGAAAAACAAAAATAACTTCCTTTTAAATTGAAATTTTTTAATTAATTTTTTCATATTTTGTTTAATTAAAATTAAATAATAATTTAAATGGAATATTTTTAAAAATGTATTCATTTAAAATTAAAAAAAAAATATTACAATTTATAATCATTTTTTAAATGAACTATGTATTTATAAGAATACTAATTTAATGTATTTAATAAATGATTATTTTAAATAATTTCAAAAATAAAAAATATTAATAAAAACAATATTTAATTTTTGTATATTATTTTTTGTTTTATATTTTTTTCTAAAAATTTATATGCATCTAATATTTTATTTAAAAAAGAAATAAACTATACGCAATAAATATACTTATTTTTTTATTATGTAATATATAAAAAAAAATATATACTTTTTATTTAATATTTTTGTTTTGATTTTTTTTTTTAGTAATTTGTATATTTTTTAAAATCATTTTATATTTTAAAAATTATATAGATCAATAATATACTAAAAAATTATCTATATACATTTGCTTTATTTTTATTTATATATATATATTTTTTTTTCTATTATAGTTACTTAAAACTATAAATAATAATTAAAAAAAATAAAAATGAGTTTAAAACTAAATAAAAATATTCTTAATTTAATTTAAAAACAAAAGTATGGAATCTACTTTTTTGCAACTAATAAAAACAAAATTTTATAAAAATATAAAGTAAGTAAAAAAAATATAAATAAGAATTTTATAATAATAATTATATTTTTAAAATTTATATTAAGCATTTTTATTAATAAAAATATAAAAGGAACTAATTTATTCTAAGAAACTAAATCATGATGTTCATTAGGAATAAGCTGTAAATTTCAAAAATATTCTTCTATATTTTAAAAAAAAAATATTATTTAAAAATTATTAAAGATTGCTAATTTAGATACTCTAAGATGTAAATTAATTGATTCACATTCGGAATGGAAAACATTTTAAAGATCTTTATAATTTTCAATTGAATAATTTAATCAGAATATTGAAAAAGCAAGAATAAAAAAATAAGAAATGCTAATTGATAAATAAAAAAAAAAAAAAAGTGCATAAATAATTGAAAAAATAAAATAAAAAACTCTCTTTTTTAAAAAAAAATAAGGTTTTTTTTCATTTTTCAGTTCAGATGAATAACCGATTTTCGAATCTGCATACACGAAATGTACATAATATCATGAAGATAAGGTCATAGACGTAGAAGAGTCTTAAACTTATAAAATGAATTAATTTGTAAATGGAGTTTATTTATATGGTACTCCAGGGTGTGGTAAAACATTTATAATGGATATGTTTTATGAATAAGTGCCTATAGAGGAAAAGCTAAGAATTCATTATAAAGAATTTATGATTTTAGTGAATTCAGATTTCCACAAAATAAGAACATATGATTATAGAAACCCACTTAGAATTCTTGGAAAATAGAAAGCTTCAGGACTAAGGTTATTATGCTTAGATGAATTCTAAGTTACTGATATTGGAGATGCTATGATAATGAAAAACTTCTTTGAAAGCTTATTTGAAAATAATGTTGTCCTTGTTGTATGTTTTTTTGTTTTTTAATATATGCATATTTATATATAATATCTATTATTTTTAAAAAATAGACTACCTCTAATAGATAACCTGATGATTTATATAAAAATGGATTACAAAGAGAATCATTTGTGCCATTTATTCCTATTTTAAAATCAAATTGTTAAGTTGTTAAGTATCTATTTGTTTTTATTTATAAAATAAAAACATTAATAATATAATTAAAAAAATATAAAGCTTATTAAGTGAAACTGATTATAGATTTAGTTCTGATAAAGGAACAGCCGCAGTAAAAACATTCTATTTCCCAAACAGTTAAGAAAATAATAAATTAATAGAAAAAACATATTCTCTTTTTAACAATGATAATATAGAAAATTTCAAATCTTTATAATTAGAAGTTTATTAAGCAGGTAGAATTATTAATATAAAAAGATGTAATGAAAGGGTTGTTGAGTTCGAATTTAATGATATTTGTTAAGGAAATTACGCCCCAGCTGATTATATTACTATTTGTAGATATTTTAATGCTATTATTTTGAAAAATGTGTAAAAGTTTTGTTAGGATGATAGGAATACAATGAAGAGATTTATTTCTTTAATTGATGAAGTTTATAATCATAAAGTTAAATTATATATGAGTTGTGAGGTTACTTTGCAAGATTTATTTGATTTACATGGAAGTGGTAGCAGTGATGATGAAAGGAAAAAGATATCTTCGTTTGTGGAATAAGGAGATGAAGATGAGTCTTCTGATATAGATTATTTTGTTTCTGAAGTTGATTTTGCGTTAGATAGATGTAAAAGTAGAGTTGTAGAAATGTAGACTAAAACTTATTAGGAGGAATTAACTTATTATTAAATGTAATAAAATCAAAATTGTATGAATATATTTTAGTAAGAGTATTTGTAGAAAATTTAGAATGATAAATAAGATTTGGTTTAAAAAGTTTAAGATAAGAAAGACATACTATTATAATAAAAAAAGGAAATTAGATAATAAAAAGTTTAGATGAATAAGAATGTTGATTGATATAATATTATTTTTTTCTTTTTTCCTTTTTTCTTTTCTTTTTTATTTAAAATAAAAAAAAAAAAATAATATAAAGTATATTTTTTATTATTTTTTTATTTATTTTTAAATAAAAACTATTTTGTTTTATTATTTCCAAATATTTCTATGAATTATATTTATTTTATAAATATATGTATCTCAGTGTATATTTTTTTTTAAAAAAAAAAAAATTAAATATCTTTAAAATCAATAATAAATTATTTAAAAAAAAAAAAAATTTTAAAATATACAAAAAATATAATATCATAAAAAAATGTTAAAACAAATTATTATACTAAAAGTATTTTTATAAATAGTCTTTAATTAAAAAATATTTCTTCCTTCAATATTTAATCCAGATTTGTCATTAGATGTTAAATTGTAAATATATAATACAACAAGTAGTATAAATTGTACAAATTATTCTCCTATAAACTAAATAAAATATTCACATTAAAACCCTTAAGAATCTAAAAATGCACTTTTTTGTACAAAATATAGTGGACGTTCTTGTTGTTCAAGTGAAAATTTCGATTAACTAAAAATTATGTAAAAAAAAAAAAAAAACCAATAAATTATTTTTTTTTAAATATAATAAAATAGATTTTACAGAAGAAATCAATAAAATGCAAATATAAGTTAATAATGTTATTAAATATTAAAAGATTTAATTTGTTATGACTGTGATGCTGACATTGGTTAAGGACTAAGAAAAGGTCTTTGTGGATAAATATGCGAATATATATATAATGTATGTAAAGATGATTATTTTACACTAGATCCGAATAACTAGATAGGTTCTTGTTAAAAAAATGATGTTATATGTTCAAAGCTAAGCGATATTACAAAAAAACCGCAAGATTTTTGTAATTATTTAGGTTATGAAATTAATACAAATAATGATTATGATGAATGGTTTTATCAGTTTTTTGGAAATGATTAAAAAAATGTCTAATAAAATTTATCTTAAGTTTGTTGGAATTTCATTCCTAGTGCAAATATTTTCGGACAATCAATTAACACTCCTGAAATTAGTGATTTGAATAAAAATAAAGGAAAAAGTAATGATCCGATGTTTTAATAAGCAAATGATATTAAAAGTAACTTTTAAAAAATTAAAGAAAAATATGATTTCATGTTAAAAATTTTATATTGGAGTATTGGAATAATAGTTTTTATTATTTTTGTTGCTATTAGTTATTATTTTTGTATTAGTTCTAAATAAAAATATGATATGTCGAAATTTGATTGAGGAAATTTCTTTTTTTTTTTTTTTTTGTTATGTTTATATTTGATTTTATTTTCTCACTTTTTTTATATATGAAAAAATTTGAATATTTTAAAACATTTTATTGATTTTTTTTATTTTTAAAATATATTTTTATTTATTTATTAATTATCTTTTAATATTTTTTTTATTTTAAAAAATCTAATTTACATTTAAAAATAATTTTTGTATTTAGAATTTATTTTATTTGATATAATTCCTATTTTCGTATAATCAAAATAAAGTAAAATTTAATTTTTTATATTATAAGTTTATGTTATACTTATTTTTATTATATGTTTTTGCTTTTTTTTTATTTTTATTTTTTAGGAATTAAATACTAAAATAATTTAGTGTTTACAATTTTTTTTTTTAATTAAAATATTTTATCTCAATCCTAATTATAATATAACAAACATATTTAAGTATAATTTATAAAAATATTCTTTTTCATTTCAATTTTAATATTTTGTTCTTTTATTATTATTTTTTTTTGTTATTTATTATCTATTTGTATGAAAATCTTTTTTAGTTTCTTAAATTCTGTTTTTTATTATTAATTTTTTCTTTTCTTTTAAAAAATATATTTTGAGAAAAAAATTTATAAAAAAGATCATTTTCAACTCAAATAAGCCATTTTTTTTTAATTAAATTTTTATCGTTTAAAAGTCTTTTTTAAGTTATTTTTTTACAAATGTAAAATTTTGTTTTTTTTAGTTAATGTAGAAAATTATTTTAGCTAAATAAAAAATAACTTTTTTAAGTTTTTTCTTTTTTCTAAATTCAAAATAAATATTTTTAAGAATGAAACAAAATAAAATATTCAAATGAATATTTATTTATTTAAAAACAGAATTCAAGAATTTCTTTCAGTTTTTTCAACATTTTTATGTAGATTTATTTTTTCACTTATTTTCTATTATATTTCTCTTATTATTTCAAACAATCATTTTTTTTTTTTTAAAAAAAAAGTAATAAAAGATTAAATTATTAAATATTGAAATAAATTTTTTAAAAAGTATTCCTTATTTTTCAAGTATTCTTATATTATTATTAGTAGTAAATTTATTAAAAGTAATTAAAAAATATCTTATTTTATTCAAAATCCGTATTTTTTAACATAGTCAAGGAATGTTTCTTCACTTACATAAAGCTTAAAATTGATTAATTCACAGAAAATTTTCTCAAGTTTAGCAAGTTCAGGTTTTTTAACACCCCCAATTCTAGCATAATATTCATTATTAAGGATTTAGTCATTATTATATTTCATAGCGATTATGCATGCAGATAAAACTAATCTATATTTTATAAAAAAATAAATTATTTAGAATAAAAAATATTTATTTTTTATTACCTTAAAAGAGTATATGAATTCAATAATTAATCCCCAACTTCCTCCTTAAGTCTCTAAACATAAATAAGTGCGAGTAAGAAATTCACGTTAGAGCAATCAGTAAATTTTTGGATTCTTTTTAAATAATCAAGGGTTGAAATTGAAGGAAGTTTTTATGAAGAAAAAGTGGGATGGGGAGTTAATTATTAAAGATCTTATTATTGAGCAGTTTACTCAAAATAATTAACTATTTTTTGAAGATTTATTTGTTTTTCAATTTCAAAGTCAAAGGAAAGAGAAGAGTTGTTATGTTGGTTTTCACTTTCATTATTATAAGAGTGTGAAGGAGCTTTATTATTTTAAGCAATAATGGGGATAAATGCTTATTCCTCATTATTGTTATTATTTGTTTATTTGTTATTAATTTGACTTTAATTTAATTATAATTAATTTTTATCTTTTTAAATAGATAAAAATTAATTAAAATTAGTATGTAAAGTCACTCCGTACACCTCTTTTTTAATTTACATTTTATATTTTTTTTTTTTTTTTTTTATAAAAATTAATTATATTATAAAAAAATTTTGGGGGGGTCTGGCTTTACTATATATTTTTAAATAATTTTAACCTGTTATTAATTTAGCATTTATGATATTATTTTAATAATTATAAATATATTATAAAAAATTATTTATGCAAAATACCTACAACTTTTAATTTGAAAAATATTTACCCACGTATATAAAGTATTATTTATTTAGAAATTTAATATTTATTAATTTATTTAATTATGATTTTTAAACAAAAAAAAAATTTGATAAAAAATATATATATAATATAAGAAATAATAATTTTTTTTTATTAAAAATAAATGTATATATTTGATAATAAATTAACATTTATTAAAAATAATATATACATACTATTTTTATTTACGAAATAATTTCTGTTTTAAAATTTAAGAATTATTTACATAACTATTTTTACCATTAAAATAAAATAATAAAATAAAATATAAAATATATATTACTATACAAATGATTATATTTTAATAATAATATTTTAAAGATATTATCTTTATAATTTATTTTTATATATATTTATTAAAATAATCATAAAGCAAAAGTATTTTATTTAAATACGCATTATTATTTTTTTCATTTACTTTAAATTTAAATATTTTTTTATATATATTATTTACTAAAACTTTATATAAACAGATCATATGTATTTAAATAATATTTAATGATGAATTAATATTTAATTTTTATATATAATATATATAAATTTTATAATATATTATTTTAATTAATATAATTTATATTTTGTAACACGACAAAATATTAAAAATAAAATAAAAAAATATTTCAATATCTTATTATTTTTAGCGAATTTAAATAATAAGAAAAATATTTAAAATATTATTTTATACAATTTTTAAAATATATAGAAAAAAAAAATATGTATTTTTTACTATATTAAAAATATTTTTAAATTTAATAAATTGTAAATTAATAAAATTATTTTAGATAATTTATTATTTAAAAATAATAATTTTAGATATATATATTTTTTTATTATATAATGATTCTATTCATTTATATATAAAAAAGAATATATATAAAATTAAAAAAATTTGTTATTAATAAGTAATTATTAAATAAAAATATAAATATTAAATATAATTAAATAAAATATTTCAAAAATATTATTAAAATAAATATTTATCTTTATTTAATTTTAAAAATAAAAATAAGATATAAAATATAAGATAAAAAATAAAAAAAAAATTGTAATTTTTGTAAAAGATACTTCTTAATAATTATATTTTATTATACAAAAAAAATATAAAATAAAATAAGAAATATTATATTTAAATAAAAAAATTATTTAATTTATTTAAATAAAATGTATTTAAAATTTATATGCGTGAAACAAAAAATTGATATATATATAAATATCAAATAAATATAATAATTATAATATTAATGAAAATATTAATTAAATAAAATTTAAAATAATTTATTAAAAATATTTTTCTAATAAAATATATATTGAATTTCTTAATAATTTAAATTTAATTAAATATATCATTAATATATATTTAAATATATATAAATATAAATATATATATGTATATATATAAATATATATTTATTTATATATATTTTTATTTATAACATATTTATTCAAAATAATAATTTTAATAATATATAAAATGGCAACTTATTAATTAAATAACTTTTTAAAACATAAACAATACTTTATGTTTTAATTAAATTTTCATAAATTAAATATAAATATAAATTTTTAATCATAAAAGCTATTGCTTTCATTAAAATCAGGTATTTTATTTATAATAATAATAAAAAACCTGATTTAAAGTAAATAAAATTTTTCTTAATAATTTTTTAAGATAAAATATGCTAATAAAAAGAAGTATAAATATTAGATAATAATAGTAAAACAATTACTTTAAATTAAATATTTTAATTTACATGTAAATTAAAATATTGTGTATAAAGTTGTACATATTAAAATAAATAAGTAATTTATTTTATATTAATTACTATGTATATAATTACATCTATTTTTATAAATGAAAATAAAAGATTGAATTAATAATATATAAACAATAAGATTAAACAATTTTAGGAATTGTAAATATAAAAATATCAGATTATGTAAACCATAAAATATCAATATAAAATGAAAACGGATTTCTTTTAGAAAACTGTGCGGATCTTAATGCTAAAATATATTTTGATATTTAATTTAAAAAATATGCAAATAAAGAATAACCTTAAAATGATAAAGCTAATATATAAAAAAATATAGATACAAGTGAATATAAGAAAGTCGTTTCTTAAAAAAAGTAAAATATTATTTAATTTATATTTTTTAATAAAAATAAATAAATAACAGACCTATAAGATAATCTTAAACTCCTTCAAATTTATCAAGAGGAATATCACATTTTGATAGAAATGATTAAAATCCTTAATAATTTTTATAAAATAAATAACTATTATTTATAAAATAACTAGAATAAAATAAATTAACAAAATAAATGTTTAACAACAGTTAAGAATTTGTAAAAAATTATTATATATAGAAACTTAATTATTTATTTTACATATATAAAGATTCCGAATTTCTAATAATTTAAAGATTAAAAATCTAGATATAATTAAAATGAAAGTAATTTTTAAATAGAAGAGAAAAGACATAATAAATCAAATAATTAGCTTCCTTTATATAATTAAACTAATGATAATATTGAATATGGAGAAGAATGCTAACAAAGAGTAATATCAATATAACCAGAAAGAAATAATTTGAATTATAAAGCAGTAATTAAAGAATAAAATTCAGACAAAAAAAATGAAAATTTACTTAAATAAATTGGAGATTTAAAAATTGAGAATGCTACAATTAAAAATGATTATAAAAATTTGAAAAACTTATATAAAAATGCAATTTTTGAGAAAAAATAAACTGAATAAGATATTAATCTGTTATAATAAACTTTAGATTAAATTCAAAATAATATTTTTTAAAGCGAGTTTTATAAAAATATGTAAAGTTAATTTTTAATTTAATAATAAGAATTATAAGAATAAAAAGTAAAAAAAATATATTTAATATATTCTTTCTTATTTATATATTTTTTGTTTTATTTTTAGAATTTAAAAAATGAATTGGTTATTTTAAATGAAAAATTAATAAATTAATTATAATTACTTAAAAATAAATGCGAGGGATTAGAAAGTAAAAATAATGATTTGGAAACGAATCTTTTGAGAACAAAATAAGATTTGTGTGAAACACTTAATGCAGTTTTTTTGGTAGGAGGAAATGGTTTTATTGATTTTATCGAAAAAAAAATGACTTTTAAAGAAAAAAAATGATAATATTTAATAACTTTATATATTTCAATTATAATATAAATATCATTCATTTTATATTAAATAAAAAAAAAAAATATTTATATAGTAATATTTTATTATTATTCAATATATTAATTTAGTTTATTTATTTTTTATAGTAAGTAAAATGTTTATTTTTATTTAATTTTTAAATATTAAATATGAAAAAAATATTAAATTTAAATAATTTTTATTTTATATGATTTTTTTAAAAAAGATATTAAAAATATTTAAAATTATTAAATATTAGATAATTATTATTATATAATAAACTTTTTAACTAGATTAACCAAAATATAAAAAAAAAAAAGGTTATTAATCTTAATTTATTTAAAACTCATGAAAATAAAAATAATTAAATTTTAAAAAATATAAAAAAATAAAATAAATATAAATAAATATAAATAAATATAAATAAATATATATATATATATATATATATTATAAAATAAAATTATATTTTAAAAATATAAATTAATTATTAATCTATTTATATCACATAAACTTTATTTTTATCATACAGAAATATTTTTATTTTATTATAATTATTATTATAAATTTAAATTCTCTTATTATAATCTTATGAATTCGTTACTTTATGTAAATTATATATTTTATAATTTGTTATAATTCATTTGAATTTCTTTATTCTATAAATTTTTTTTTAAAGTAATAAAAACATATTATTTTAAATTTTTTTTATATACTTTAGAAAATAAATTATCCATATCTAGACTTTTTTAATTTAATAAAGAATATATTTATTTTAATTCTTATTATTGTATTTCATTATTTTCTTTTGTTTAATTTAATTTTATTTAAAATTCATTATTGAGGCTTTTTAATTTTATATTTTCTTATTATATCTCAATCATTTACTTATAAAATTATTTTGTTAATAAATAATATAGTTTTTTTGTTAATTACTTCTATTTATTACTTAAAATTTTATATTATTAATTAATTTTATTTCAGTTAAATTTTTAAATATACATTTTTATCTTATAATTAGAAAACTTAATTTTGTAAAAAAAATATTTATTCATTTAATTTATTTTGATATTGTTCTTAATTATGATCTTTACATTCAATTCTTTAATCGAAATTTTATTTATCTAATTAATTTAAATCATGAAAAATAATATTTTTTTAAGTATTATTAATTTATGTTTTTTTATTTTATTCAATTAGATTTTGAGATTCAACTGAATTAATATCATTTGAAAATGAATATTCTGTATTATTTTTGTTTATTTTGCTACTAAGCATAACATTGTTTTAGGTTTATAAGTTTTCTTAAAAAGAGGATATTATTTCATTTTATTCTTATATTTTTTTGTTTAACTATTTAATTTCATATTTAAATTTTTCCTTCATTATTTTTATTTATTCGTTTTTTATATATATTTCTTTTTAAAAGTTTATATTATTAAGGTTTTATATATTGTCCATTGATTTATTTTTTATTAATTAATAAATGTTTTTTTTGACTAAAGATTATGTATTATTTCTTTTAGAAGGCGATTATGTTAATGCTATGGTAAAGTCTATATTTTAATAAGGATGGTATTTTTAAAAAGGTTTTTCCTATAATTTTTGAATTGTGTTTTATTAATTATTTTTTATTGATTGAAATTATTTCGTTTGTTTTTTTTAATTTAGTTAATACTGGTAACTTTTATTAAGCATTTATAATAAATCTGGTACTTATAATTAATTATTTATTTAATTTGTTTCTTAACAAAATTATCTTTAATATTTATATATATAAATGTATATATATATATATAAATAATATATTCTTCATATTTTTACTTTATTAATTAATAGGTTTTCTTTTTATTATTTTAGGTTGAATTGGAGTATATGTGATTTATATTTTTTATATCTGTAAAACAGTTACGTTCTTAATATTCAGAAAGATGAATTTAATTTTCTTAGTCATTTATTTTTAATTATTTATATTGTTATTACATTTTTTAATTTATTTTTTAACTAAATAATTCAAATATTAATTTATTTATTTTTAAAGATTTTAATTATTTATTATTTTTTTCTTTTTAATTCATAATTAAAAATAAAGGAATTCTATTAAAATTAGAACATTTATAATTAAAGTAAAATACAGTTTAATTAAAAAACTTTTAAAATATATATTTTTTTTAGAATAAGTATATCATATTTATAAAATTTCTTTTAATAATATATTTTATATAAATAGTATATTATCAAAAAATATAATAAAGAAAAGTAAAAATAAATATATATTTTATATAAAAAATAAAAAATAAAATATAAATATAAAAAAAATATATATTTATATACTTATATAATATTTATTTTCTTTAATATTCATTTAGAAAGCATAAATTCTAAACTAGAGTTTCTTTTATTACCAAGCCTATTAGAGCTTTTTTTCCTTATCATAGAAGTGAAAGATTTATCAAGATCTTTAATATCCATTTCTTCTTCTCTAAATAATTAAATTTTATTAAATAATGCATTAGGAAGTAATTTAATAAACAAGCCAATAATAATTGAACCAGCCCCGATTCCGAAACAAATAAGATGCTAAAATACACTTAATTAAGATACTCCAATATATCTTCCTCCAATTTCAATCATAAGAGTCTAAACAACAAAAGTAGTGACAATAATGAACCAGAAAAGTTGATTATTAAATAATCCCTTAAAAATATTCAAATCAGATCTTTCTAATTTTCTAGCATTAAACTCATTAAAAACCTACATTAAAACAAAAGATTGGAAAAATATAGTAAAATGCACAGCTAGAATAGGATTATATTTTTGCATTAAAAATGATGAAGGAATATCTAACCATTAAGGAGCCTTAAATAATAAAAGAGATAAAATTACTATTTAATATACGCTTTAACCGAATATGTTTCTCCACATATTTGGGGTTACTATTGAATCCTCTTTATTATAAGGCTTTCTTTATAATAGCTTTTCTGTAGGAGGTTCAGTAGATAAGGCTAATGAGGCAAATGTATCCATGATAATATTAACCCTTTAATATTATAATATTTTTTTATTTTATTTTTATTTTATTATACCATAACATTTAAATTGAATTTAAAGGACTTTTTTTTAACACTACAGCTCCTAGAAAGGACATAAATAGTGCAACAATATTAACTGTTAATTAAAATTAAATAAATTTTCTTATAGAATCGTATATGTTTCTTCCCCATTTACATGCAGTAACTATACTTGCAAAATTATCATCTAATAAAATTATATCAGCGGCATCTTTTGAAACTTCAGTTCCTGCTATACCCATTGCGAAACCAACATCAGCTTTTTTTAATGCAGGTGCGTCGTTTGTACCGTCTCCTGTTACAGCAACTACATGTCCTAATTATTTTAAGCCAGTTACAAGAATATATTTATCTTCAGGTGAACTTCTGGCTAATACTTTAAGTTCTTTGGCTACTGCTTTGAACATTTCTAAATTTCCAACTTTCGATTCTCCTTTTTCAGCTGCTGTTTTTCCACTTGGGTTTTCATATTGGAGTCCTCCGACTATTTCTCGGAATTTTCTACCTTCCATAACTTCAAAACCTGTTGTATTTACATTATTTTGACTGTTAATTTATAATTAATTTGCTGAAGAATCATTTGTACCGTCTAAAATACCGGCGTCTTTTGATATAGCTACTGCTGTATTAATCTTTTTATTTTTATTTTATTTTATTTAATTTAATTTAATTTAATTTAATTTAATTTAATTTAATTTAATTTAATTTAATTTAATTTAATTTAATTTTTTTACATTATCTCCTGTACACATTCTTACTACTATTCCGGCAGTTTTGCATTTTTTAATAGCTTCAGGAATTTCGGGTCTTAAAGGGTCTTTAATACCTGCGATACAGATTAAAATAAGGTCGTTTTCTAGTTTATCTTCCGGCATAGTTTCATAATCATTACTGAAGGGAATATCTTTATATGACAAAGCTAGTGTTCTTAAAGACTTATTTGCATATCTTAAAATAATATCGTTTTTAACAAGATCTTTTTTTTTTACGTCCATATTTTCGACTCCTGTATTTTTCTAAATTCTATTACATTTATCTAAAATAACTTCGGAAGCTCCTTTGACAAAAACTCTTAAAGTTTAATTATTTAATTTTATTACTGAAGTCATTTTTTTTCTAGAAGAAGAAAAAGGTAAATTCCTTACAATTTAATATTTTTCTCTCTCTTATACATAGTTAAAGCTGAAAATATCAGCCAGTTCCAACAAAGCGCATTCTGTTTTATTCCCTATTTATTCAAATTTTCCATCTGCTTTTTTAGTGGGATTCGCCGAGGAGTTCAAACAGGCACATTAAGAGAATATTTCCCTCAAATTCTCCTTGATGTTTTTCGGTAAAATATGTTCAGGGTTATAATGTTAGTCGTCTATGTATATATTATATACAGTCATTATATTTTAAGTTAGGGTTCCAGTCTTATCAGAACATACAGTAGTGGCATTTCCCATAATTTCACATGAAGCTAATTATTTAACTAAATTATTCTCATCTTTCATTTTATTGACACTGAAAGCTAAAGATATTGTAACTGCTAAAGGCAATCCTTCAGGTACGGCAACTACGATAATAGTAACTGCAGTCATAAATGCTTTTACGATATATTGAAGAGTTTTAACACATAAAAAACAATGATTCCCTTAATAAATATCGATTCCTAAATTTGTTAATAAAGCAACCATAGTCAATACTGCGGCTATAGTACCTACTAATCCGATTTAATTAGCGATATTTTCCAGTTTTAATTATAGAGGAGTAGGAGAAGTTTCCTCTTAAAGCTTTTCACGAAGTTAACCTAATTAAGTGTTTTTACCAACTGCCAAAATTAGTAATTTACCACTCCCATCCATAACTTTAGAACCACTAACCATAAAAGGTTATGCTTTAGAATTCTCTCCTTGTATTTATGAGAATGGTATTTTGGGAATAAGGTCTGATTCTCCAGTTACACTAGATTCGTCCATATAAATCTCTGAACCTTCGATTAGTATTCCGTCTATGGGTAAGAGATCTCCTATTTGAATTGATAAAATGTCGCCTACAACTAATCCTTTTACGTCTATGTATTTCGTTTAGCCATCTCGGGTTACATGGACATTCATTTCTTCACGTTTTGCATTCAGTTTTTAAAATTATTTTTCTTTTACGTAATTATTACCGGCACTTACAGTTACTATAAGAATAATTGCTATAAATATCGTTAATCCTTCAATCCAACCCTTTGCCCAGCCTTCATCTATTACTCCTATTATTGTACTTACTATGCTTGCTAATACTAATATTTATAACATTAGATCTTCGAAACATTCAGCTATCATCTGACATAGGGTTTCTGGATCACGTTAGGGAGGTAAGTTTATACCGAAATGATTCTGACGAGATTTTATTTCAGATTCAAGGTCTGATATACCCTTTTTTAAGTCAGTTTTTAGAGAAATGATAAGATTATTTAAACCGTTGAATTTGTTTCGGATTGTCTTTAAACTATTGTGGTCTCGGATGTTATCTGGTTAAAATATTATAGAAAGGTCTTCTGGTTTTATGTTAAACATTTAAATTTTTTTAAAGTAATTTGTTTTCTATACTTTTATTTGATGTTGTTGATTTTTTTTTTATATTACTTTTATTTATTCTTTTATTTTTAATTTTTATTTACAATTTTTTAATTTTTATTTATTTTTTATAAATATTTCATTTATAAAACAAAATAAACAAATAACTAAAATTAATTTAAATAAGAATTTTATAACTTTTTTATTTCATTAATTTAAAATTAAAAAATAAAGAAAAAGAATTTAAATTTATATAAATAATACAATATATATAATATATAAAATTTAATAAAAAAATATAAATAAAAATTAAAAAAAAAGAAAAAAAAATATAAATATATATATAAATATATATTTATTTTATATATTTTTAATATAATTTTAATTAATATTAATATATATTTTTTATAATATTTGTATTTTAAACGTAAATGTATAATTTTTAATTTTTTTATATATCCTTTTAATAATATATTATAAAAATTAATTTTTGTATTTAATACTCAATCCGTATTTAAATTATTTATTTTACTTTTTAATTCTTAAAATTTATTTCTCCAACTTAAAACCTCTTTTTCATGCTTTTTCATTATTTCAATAAAAATTTTATTTTAATTTTAATTTATAATTTCATTTTATTAAAAATATATACTTTTATTTTAATAATTTATTTTTAAATTTAATTCAGATTAACTTTTAGGTATTTTTTATATTTAATTTTATTATATATGTTATTATTAAACAATTTATTAATTATCATTTTATTCTTTTATATTTTATATTAATTTATTAGTACAACTAGAGTTTATATCAGAATTATTTTTATTATTGTTTGATTTTGATAAAAAATTAAAATTACTTTATTAATTAATATTATTTTATACAATTAAATTATTATTATTTTCTTTAAATTATTATGTTTAAATTGGTAATTAAAAATTTGTTTAGGATTATAGGAATGACTTTTATTAAAATAATTTATTGCTTTGCTATTTTAATAATGATTATTAATTATCATTTTAATTCTAATATTAGTGAAAGAATTATTATTAATAATCATTATATATACTATTGTCAATTTACTATAAATTATTATTATATTATAATAATTATTATTATTATTATTATTATTATTATTATTATTATTATTATTATTATTTTTTTATACTTATTATTTTTAATTTACACAATTATTATTTTTAATATTATTATTTTCTATTTATTTAAATCCTTCTTAATTTTTTTGTAATATTTAACTTTAATTCTATAATATAAAATATTAATTATTTTTTTATATATTATAATTATATTTTAATTCATATTTATTTTATTTATCTAATTTTAATTATTTTCTAATCATTTTACAATTAATATTTTCTTATTATTTCTATATTTACTATACTACTTATTATAGATGAATTTCTCTTTTTACCATAATTATGTTTCTTCTTTTTAGAATTATAATTCTTAATTAAGTTTAATATGTTCATTTTTTAATTATTATATTTAAAAATAAATATAAAAGTTATCCTTAAATTATTTATGTTGTGCATTTAATTGTATTTAATAATAATCATTTTCTTATTTTAAAACATTATTTTCTTAAATTAAACTTTAAAAAACTTTATCTAATATATTTGTATATTTGTTTTTGTATCTTTATACTAATTTGGTATATTTTTTGTAAATAATGATTATTTTATGTTCATTAAATTAGAGTTTTCATTTATATAATATTAGATTTAATTTTATGAAGGTAATTTAACTATCGTTTTATTGTTATTATTATTAATATAATTAATTGAACTTAAAACTTATAAATTTTAAGGGTTCATAAAAATATAAAGATAATTTAAAAAAAAATATATATATAAAAATTAAATATAATAATTACAAATTTTTAATTAAAATAATGTTTTTTAAAAAAATTTAAATTCTTTGAAAATGAAAAATAAATTAATATTTAATTAATAAATATAATAAAAATTATAAAATAAAAAAAAATGCTATTAAATATTAATAAAAGAAGTGAAAATTTATTATAAAAAAATATATTTTTTTTTATTAATATATAAAAAATAAAAATATTAATAATATAATTTAATATCTAATCTCAATATTGATATTAACTATTAGATTTACTAACAACTCTATCTAAAGCTTATTCATATTAACCTTTAAGAATACTAAGATCTTAATAATTATTAATTTAACAATAACAATCATATTAAATTTATTACTAATAAACATCTTATTTTAATTATTATTATTATTATTATTATTATTATTATTATTATTATTATTTTATTTATTATTACTATTTTTTTTATTCTTATTATTACTATTATTATTAATAATAATAATTATTTTATTCATCTTAAAATTTTTAAATATTATTATTTTATATCTCCTTTATGTTTTCATCTTATTATATTTAATTATCATTTTAATATTCTTCTTTTATATTTTAATCATATTAATTTTATTAATATTAATAATTTTCATCATCATCTTAATATATTTCATTACTATTATTATCATTATTTTATACATAAATTTCTTCTTCATCTTAGAAACTTTTATTGTTATTTTGTTTTATAGTATCAATTTTTTATTATATATCATTCATGAAAACATTATTTTATTATTAATTATTATTAATTTCTTAATTTATACCTACATTAAATGATTATTATTAATTATCTTAACTATTTTCCTGTCTATCTTACCAAATAATCATATCTTTAGCACTTGTAAGTGATGAATCTCCTTATTCTTCATATTTTTTTTTTATTGCTTATAGAACGTATTAGAAATTCGAAGATTTTTCAGTAAATTAAGCCTATATATCGCTTAAAACTTAAAATTTATAATTTTCGAATTATTTTTTTAATCCATTTATTTCTTTCTTAAGAGTTTTATATTTCTGTTTCCATGTTTCGATATCTTTATTTTAAACAGTAACGGTATATTTTAAATCCTCGTTTTATTTATTTAAATTAATATCTTCTCTTTAATACTTTGCATATTCATATTTAACTTAAATCAATTCTTGTCTAACCAAGTCTTTTTCCTAAAGAACTAATTCACTAAAGTTTTAAATTTTTTCTTTTTCTTTCATTAATTCTCTTATAGTTTATTATTTTTCTTCTTCAATATAATTAATTTAATACTCGAAATCTCCGCATTTTTTTTCAAGCATACATTTTTCGTTTTAAAGAATTTGTTTCTCTTTTATTAAAGGAGCTATAGAATTCTCATATTCCTATTTTACCAATTCTAATTCTCCTTTATGGAATTCGAAATTATCTTAAAGTTATTTTTAATATTAAATTAATTTTTATTATAATTCATTATCTTTATTTTAGTTTTATAAAAGGTGAATTTATTGTAAATTGTGTTCTATTTTTTTGCGCAATTCACTTATTTCTCTATTCTTATATATTAATAGATTTTTCATGTAACTTACTTTATTTAACATAGTATTTTATCCATAAATTATTCCTCTGTTCTATTTATTCTGGATTTCTTATAAAATTAATTAATTAATCTCATCTTGTGATATTGTTTGATATAATAAAGGAGTGTTATTAGATATTTGCTATTTAGAACTGATTTCTGAATTTTAAGCAATTTAATTTAAATTTTAGTTATTTAATAATTGAGAAGGGCTTTTTTATATATTTTTTGCTGTATTTTTAACTTTTTCAACCTCTTCTTTTTGCTCTTCTTCTATTTCTTCATGTAGTGTATAGTAGGGACTCTGAATAGATGTCGATACTTAATAAATTTGAGTTGTTTAGGCTTTACCTGAATTTATAGCCATATTTTGATTTTGTATTTATTAGATCTTTTCTTGAAGTCTCTCTTAATTGGTTTAAACTGTAATAGCACATAACGATTCTTGATCTTCATTATGAATATCTTCTACAAGTACATGTAAATGATTCTGGTTTTATTCTTATTAGTATTATTAGAGAAGTTCGGAACATTTTTTGGGTCTTACATCTTGTTCACATATTGATTTTGATGTTTATTAGGTTAATTATTGTTAAGAACCACTATTTTGGAGATAATTTTCCACTATTATTTATTGAGGTTTTTCATAGACTTAAAAAGTGCTTTATTGAGTTTGTAAATTTTAGGAAGGAGAAGATTATTCCCCTTAAGAAAAATGAGAGATAGGATAAGTCGGTAAATTCTATTAGTTTATTTAGACTTGTTATAATTAAGCTTTGCTATTTTATGTTTTTGTTGCTTTTTCGGTCAGTTATTGACTGTTTTAGATTGAAGGTGATTAACTTTCTTCTACATTCAGTGTTTAGTCTGTTTTTTAGGGAGTTTTTTACGAATAAATTTAGAATGGCTATTGAATAGATTTCGATTGATGTTTTTTGTATTCACTTTCGATATTTGCACTGTTGTATCCAGCTGCAGATATGGTCTTTTGTCTATTAATGTTTTATTAATTGGGCCCATTTATTTGTATTTCTTAAGTTTCGGTTTATCGAATTTATTAAGGTTGCATTTTTAAATATTAATTTGATTAAATGTTTTATTAAGATACGGATTGGGAGATTGATCTTATTTTTTATAGCTGGTTTCGAGGGGGCTATGCTTGTTGACTGGTTTAAGCTTTTTTTCTAAGTTATTATTATATTTATTCTGCTTCTTAGTTTTATTATTCTTAGACTGTGGGTCTTTTTACTTAAGATTAGATTGATTTGGATTATTCTTGTCTGGGCAATTATTATTATGCAGATGGTGATCTTTATTAGTAGTTTTCTTCCATCTCTTCTGTGTTTATGATTTAATCAGGTTCGTTTTAATTTCTATGTAAATAATATTGGAGTGAATTTTGAGAAATATTTTATTTATTTGTTTTGTTGGAATCTAATTAGTTTTGACTATTTTATATAATTTGCGCTGTTTAAGCTTTCATTCTTGTAACTTAATTTTATGGCTTTTGAATTTGTTATTATTATTGATCTTCTACTAATAATTATTAGTTTTAAGCTTGTTATGCATGCTATTAATACTGATTAAATTGTTAAGGGACTGATTTTACTGGTTGATATGCTGAAAGGGATTATTATTGTTGTGTTTTGGCTTTTATTCTAGGAATTTATTATTATTAAATTTAACAAGAAGTTTAATCAACTTATGATGTTGTTTTTGTTCTATTGTCTACTTCTTCTTGCTTTTATTATTATTAAGCATAAGTATTTAATATAGATGCATTTGAAGCAATTTCCTAATTTTGAATTGTTAATTAGCTTGATTTGGATGCTTATCTATTAATGACTTAATTTTGTTCTTAATAAAATTAAGCTTTTTGTATATTTTATTATTAAGAAGTAGGCGTTTGTCTTATTGAATGAGATGATGTACGTAAGTATTAATCTGTATTATTTTATATAATTGCATTTTTAGGTGTTATTGCTTAGTATTGAATTTATTAATTGCTAAAATTATCAATGTTTAATTCTGCTGCAGGAGGTCTTTGAGAACTAACTGACTAGGATATTTCACGAATAGATTATGTGGGTACACGGACTGATTATGAAGTATCTCGAATTTATTAAGACTCTTCTCTTATTGATTAAGCAGGATATCTTATTGATTAAGAAGTATCTCTTATTTATTAAGAAGAATCTCTTATTTAATATTAAGAATCATATTAGGAAGATTCGCGGATTGATTATGATTATTCTCTTATAGGTAAAGAATTTTCTCCAAATTAATATGGCTCTCTTATTGATTATGATTATTCTCTTACTTAACATTAAGAATTACGAACTGATTAAGGAGGATCTCTAACTTAATATTAAGAATCTCTTACAGATTATGAAGGATCTTTAACTTAATATTAAGAATCTCTTACAGATTATGAAGAATCTCTAACTTAATATTAAGAATCTCTTACAGATTATGAAGGATCTCTTATGGACTATTTTGATTCGCGAATAGATTATGATTATTCTCTAACAGAATTTGATGGTTCCCTTACATATTAAGAATAATCACTTATAGATTATTATGGATCTCTAACAGGTTAAGATGAATCTCTAACAGATTAAGAAGAATCTCTAACAGATTATGAAGACATTCTAAGAGATTAGGAAGGTTCGTGGCGAAAAGCCTAATCTTAACTTGGGTCAATAGATTTAACTTAAGATTTTATTTACTATGAAGAATTATTGATTTATTCAATATTATTTTATTAAATAGATTTAACTTATTAAGATCTTACAGATTATGAAGAATCTTTAATTTATTAATCTTCATTTAAACAATTATAATTTTCAGTAAACTAGCTCATCTATTAAGTATTACTAGATTATTATTTAGACCTAATAAATTATGAAGCATGTTTTGCTTCATCAAATTATTATACTAAATTATAAGGAGATGTACAATCTTATGATTTTATAGATTAAGAAGGTTCTTTGAAATAATCTACTTATTATTCATTTTATTAATAAGAACTTTAAGAGCGAATAGATTAAGTAGGTAAACGAATTTCTTCTTCGTTTTCTTCGTTTCGATTAGATTTAGAAGGAGAGCGAGTATTATCGTGTCTTATAGATTACGAAGATGTGCGAAATTATTATTGCTAATTTTTACTTTAAGAAGGAGGTCTTGTGGCACATTTTACTCTTTCAGTGTCTTAAGATTATTCCTTTTAAGGAATAATTTCTAACTAAGGAATTCCTTCAAATTAAGAAGCAGGAATTTAATTAGCTACAATTATAGCATCATCGATTTCATCATGTATTAGATCAACTTACTTTTTTTTTTTTGGTAAAATAAATTAATTGCTTATATATTTTATATTTATTAAAACTTTTTCGATATCTTGGTATTTTTTTCTTATTAAACCGTTTTCTTATTCTAGTTGTCCATTAAAATTTTTAAACGATTCGAATTGATTATTTATTTTATCTATTAAATCATTTTTTTCTTACACTTAATTTTAAAGATCTTGAATATCTTTCTAATATTACCCAATTAAATCATAAGTATTATATTATCTTTTCGTTCTTTTGCTATTCTCTTGTTATTCTATTTCATTATTCTAAACCTATTCCTTAAGCTAAGTAATTACTACTTCTAATTATTTTACTTTATATTCCTAGTCTTTTGCCAAAGCCTTCATTTAGTCATATTTTTATTCAAGTTAATTATAATCTTAACATTTTCTTTCCAAAAGTTTAGTTTTTTATTGACTAAATTCAAGCTTTAATTTAGAATCATCAATAATGCAGTTTAATTTTTCGATTTCTCTATTAGACTCATCAAGTTATTATTTTAACACTTTTAAAGCACTTTTATCATTTTGGCTTTACTTTTCGTAATTCAAAGTTAGATTCTGGCAACGTTCGCGCCACATTTAGAGCTCTTCTTGGATGTTTTCGAATGCCTTTATTGTTTATTCAAATTCGTTTCCTAATACAGCTACACTGTCTAAGGCTTTGTTATATACTTATTTAGGCTCTTTTAAATTTGGAGATATGGCTTGGATTACTTGTAAAGGTTTAGTGCTCATTGATTAAACATTTTTTTATAGAGATGTAGGTGTACATTATTTTAGACGAGCATTTTGCTGATTATTATTCTGATAAATACGAGGAGGGGTGCATGGAGATTGTATGTTTTCTTGCATAATAACTTTTTTTTTTTTTTTTTTTTTTAGATTTATATAATGATTATTGAATAAGTGTTTACTAAATTTATTGATTTCTTTTGATTTTGTTTAAATGGTAAAATGTCTGTCTTATTATTATCGTATAAATAATATTTTTTATTATTTTTATTAATATTTTTTAATATTATTTTTTTTATCTGTTTATTTTATTTTTTATTGTTTATTTATATATTTAATTTTTTTTTTTTTTTTTTCTAACAATAATAAATATTTTATTTAGGTTATTTTAAATGTTAAAAAAATGTATTTTCACGATAAAATATAATAAATATTAATATTAAAATAGATTTTTTTTTTTGTGATGAATTGAAATTATTAAAACAAAATAAAAGGAAATACTAAAATTAACAATATTTTTTTTTTTTATTTGATGAGAGAAATAATTAATTTAAAATATTTATAATTAATAAGTTTTTTCTTAAATAGGAAAATAATTAATTAATCCACTGTTAAAGTTTTTTATATAAAATATAATAACCATACTAACATTTATTAATTTATTTTTAATTAAATTAAATGTAATTAATTTAATTATTTTTATTTTAATTAAATAAAATATTAAATTATTATAAATAAATATTTATTTTATATACACTCGTTTTAAGTTAAAAAGTTTTTTTGAAAATAAAATAAATTTATTTCAATTAGTTTCAAATAAATGAAAGCAGAATTATTTTTAATTAAAAATATTTTTGTTTTAATTTGTTTATTAGTTTTTTGTTTAAGATTCTATGTGAAGATTTAATAAATTCCTTTTTTTTAAATATATATTTATAGGAAAAACTAAACTATATCTTTTTAAATAATATAACTTTTATTTACATAAACTATTAAAATATATATTATTTTATGATAAATGCAATTAGTTAAATTATTAATTATTTTAAAACTAACATTTTTATTACATATAATCGCAATTTATATATATTAAATAAATATGAATGAAATAATAAAAAAGAGATTTAATATTAACCAAAAATTGAAAGCATACATTCTTTTGTAATAATAAAAAATATTTTATTTTTAATTTATATTTTTTTTTTTTTTATCTTATAGAAAGTTAAAATATACTTTTTCTAATGTTAAAATATTAAATGTTTATATACATTTAATAAAATAAAATTATTCGAAAATATTTATTATGAATTATATAAATAATGTTAATAAAAACAAAAAATTAAATTAAGTATTTTCCTATAAATAATTTTCAATCAAATATAAATAAAACTAGTTTTATTTATAAAAATTATCATTAATAAATAAATGATAAGTTAAAATTATTTTATATTAAATAAATATATATATATTAAATAAAAAAAAGCAGATAAAAATAAAATATTAAAATTAAAATTATATTTATTTTTGAAAATAATCATTAATAATATAGGTTTATATTATTTTTACATAAAATAAAAATATATATAATAATAAAAAAAATAAAAATGTAATAAAATACTTAATTATACACTTCGCCTTATAATAAAGGGATTAAAAATAAATCCTTTAGAAATCCTTCATAATAAAGCTCTATAAAATTCAATGAAGAACCTAATTTACATACTTTCCAATAGTGGAATAACAAAGTTATATAAAAAGACAATAATTAAACATAAAATCTAATAAAATAAAAAAATAGTCACATTAATGATTACAAAACTTATTTAGAAAGTATATAAAATCCAAACTTTAATAATGAAGAAATCTCTATATCAGAAAAGTCTACTGTAAAAAACCGAAGTACATCTAGCTTTGATATTAATTTAATCCAAAAAAACATTAAAAATAAACAATATTCATAATAATTTAATAATAGATAAAATTGTCCTTCTTAAAAAAGCCAAATAAATTAAGAATATAGTTTAAAAAAATCATAAATGTAAGATGATTAGAATTCCTAAATAACCATTTCAGAAAGAAACCGTATTTAATAAAATTAAAAAATACATTAAATAAATAACAATAAATATTTACATAATAATAATAATAATTCATATTAAAATAGCCGACCTTAAGTTAAAAGTGATAAATTTACTGTTTAAAATGATAAAAATTCTATTATTTCAAATAATAAAAATTCTAGTGTTTATAATGATAAAAATTCTTGTGTTTAAAATGATAAACAATCTGTTTAAAGTAGTGGTTGTGCGAGTAATAATTGCTTATTGTGTGTTAGCTGTGTAAATAGATACCTTGCTTTATAAAAGGCTTAAAAATAATAAAATGAATAAATAAAGCAAGCTTAAGAAGAAAAAAACTATATGAAAATATAAATAACTAACTTCATAATATTTAAATGTATTAGGATGAAAAAAACAAAGGAAAAACTGATTAATTAAAGTATGAATTAATAAATTAAATAAAAGAAAGAGAAACTTAAAAAGAGGAATAAAAAATTAAATAAAGATAAAAAGAACTTGAAGAATAAAAAAATATAAAAGACGAATTAGAAAAAAATCAATATGAAAATTTCTAAGCAAGTTAGGCTTTCAAAAAATATTATAATTAGTAATTATAAGAGTAAATAGATTAAAAAAACAGAAAAGAAAATAATGAAAAGATGATATTTTAAAATTTAAAAGAAGTTCCTTTTATTGGAGAATTTGATTATGGATAAGTTGATAATGAGAAATAAATTTAGTTTTCTAAGTAATTAAAGGAACAAATTATGGAAAAAGAAAAAAGAAAATAAAACGAAAATAAAAAAGAATAATAGGAATATGAATAATTATAATAATATTATCGTAAACTAGAAAATGAAGTAATTTTTTATATTAAAAAAAATAAAAAAATATTATATATAAAAATTATTTTATTATTAGTAAAATGAGTATGCTAGAAAAATTTAAGAATAAGAAAAAAAATAGTAAAAAGAATAGTATATAGAGGCCGAAATTAAAAAATAGTAAAAGGCACAATTCGAAAAAGCCGATAATAACATTTATTTGAATTATTAAGAAAAAATGAAACAATTAGAAGAAGAAAAAAAAAGAAATACTTACTAAGGTTTAAGAAAGGCCAAATAAGAATATGCAAATATTTTAAAGAATTAAATAGCTTAAAAAGATAAAAAAAAGTCATTTGTTTAAGAAACTGGATTAATAATATAAACAAAATCACCTAATATAAAATAATGTTAAGGTTGTTTTAAAAATTATCCAGACACTTTATTAGAATATAGATAAAAGATATAAAATTAATGAAAAAGAATTATAAAATATTAAAAATATAATATATATATCTATATATATATATATATTAATATAAATATTAGCAACAAAAATTATAAAATTTATAAATAGCATAAAATTATTACAATATATTTTTAATATTATATTTTTTTTATTAATTTAATTATTTTTCAAATTATTTCCATACTTCCCCATTTTCCATCAGAAGTTCCATAGCTAGCACTATTTCTGTAATTTGCCCAATCAATAGAAAAAATCCCTTTGTTAATATTTTAGTGTAATACATCAACACATTTATTATTACATTCTCTATCAAATAATAAAATTAAATTAGTTCCAGAACTTCCTGCAATAATATAATTATCATCAGATTTAGAAAACTAACAACAATAAATAAATGATTTTTCAATATCTAAAATAATATCAATACATTTCTTAGTTTATCTAATATCCCATAATTATAATTACTTATCTTCTCTCCATGACCCTGTAAGAATATAATTATTTTTATAATCTAAGCTATCTCCACATATCATAGGACCATATATATAATTTTATGTTTTATTACTTCGTATATCCCACATTAATACACTTTAATCCCATCCAGCCTTTTTTTAAAAAAAATTATTAAATTATAAATAAAAATGATATGTATATATATAAATATTATGTATATATATATGAATATATATATTTTAATTTTACTTTATATTAAGTTTTTGTATTTTTTAAAACTCAATCAATTTAAAAAATACTGTTGATTCTTTCCTTTTTTTATTTGATTGAGTTTTATAAAAATTATGATCATATAATTTTATCAAAAATTATATAATATAGTTTTTTTTTTATATTATTTTATATTCTAAAAATTTATTTTATAAAAATATTAAAATTTATTTTTTATGTAATTTTTTTTTATTAAATTGCGTTTTTTTAAACAAAAATTTACAGCAAAAATAATAAATTAATATTATAAAATAATTTATATATATTTATTACTGTTAAAAGAATATTCTCTGTAGAAAATTTAGAAGCATATATCCTATTTTTATGGCCTGAACATATTCCAGCTTATAAAATTTAACATTATTGTGTTTCCAAATCATAAAGTCTTACTTTAGTATCCAATCCTCCTGTAATAAATTTACTTCCATCTAAATTAAAATCACAAGTATTTAAATCATTTCCTTTTTCCTCAAACATATGAACTATTTTTTAATTCTAAACATTCCAATATAATGTTTTTCCATCAGAATAAGTTGATAATAACATGTTTTTTATAAGTGAATCAGGATTCCATCTTACACATGTTACTGGAGCTTACTTTAAACTTGGATCTTATAAATTATATGCTATTTATCCCTTATATTCAAAAATAATTTGAATTGTTCCGTTTTCAGAAGCTATTGCAACTAGTATATCTTGAGGATCATATCGAACACTTAATATTTTTTAACTTTTTAATTAATAAGTATTTTTTTCATAAATTCTTTTGTTAATTTAATTAAATGTTTATTATTATGTCATTTATTATACACTGCTTTATATATAAAAATAATAAAAGTAAATATATATATATATATATATATATATATATATATATTTATATATTTATATATTTATATATATATTTATTTCTTTATTATATATTTTAATGTATATTTTTTTTTTTTTATTTTTTAAAAAGTAGTTATTATTTTTATATACTTTTTTTATTCTATTTTTTCATTTTGTTCTTCATTGTTTTTATTCAAATTTTCTTTTAATATTTACATTGAATGTTTTTTTTAAGGCAGTAATGGAAAACTTTATATTTTATTACTATTTTATAATTAGCTTTTTAATTCTTTATAGTCTTATTGTAATTCTATCGATTATTTTTTTTTTATTTTGCTAGTTATATCTTTTTATTTTTTATTATTTTAATGTTTAAATATATTCTATCAATTAATTTTAAATATTTATAATTACAATCTTTTACTTATTTTACATAAAATTATTATTTTTATGAGTTTCTATTTTCAGTATTAATATTATTTGATTTCATATTTTTTATTTTTTTATTAGACTAAAATTTTTATTATTTTTCTTAAAAAATTTATTATAAATAATATTAATATATCCTATTTAAAAAAAATTATTAAAATGATTTTTCTTATTTATAATTTTTTCTTTTTTCTCTTTTCTATTTTTAATATTTATTAGAAAAAAATAAAAATATAAAAATATTTTTTAAATAAATATTTCTTTAAATATTATAAATATATATATTATAATTATAATTATATTAATAATAAATCTATTATTTTTATTTAAAATTAAAAATTAACAAATTAACAAATATTATATATTTAAAAAACAATATTTTAAAATAAAATAAAAAATATAATAGATTTCATAAATTATAATTTAATTCTAATTAATTCAACAATAATTACGTTCTCTTCATTTCCTATTCCAACATCATTGCATAATTATTCCTATTTTCCTAAAATACATCACAAATTTACTGATTATGATAAGAAATAATTTCATCATAATCGCTAGTTTTATCATTCTAAGCTTCTTAAACCCACATCTAAATATCTTTAAGAATTTTATTCTTTTTAATCAAAAAGTGTTTTTTAATAACATCTGAAATTCCTTTGGGCTATTCTCTATCATATCATTAATAGTATGTTAGACATTATAATATCGAACAATATTACAATATCCTTTATTAAGATTATTTCCATATTCACTTTCTCTATATTATTCATAAGAAGGTTCATTAAAATAAACATCTTCATTCATAATAAGTGATTATATACTAACTAAAACTTAATAAATATTCGAATATTAAGGATTCCAGTTTTCATCAGAAGAACCATTCCAAGTTCCTAATAAACTCAAACAAACTAATCCGTCTGCATATAAATTTGGATTAAATCTTATTTATCCCCCTTTAGTCGATGTTATGGATATTATTGGAGGATTATTAGGGTATTCTTCTGGTATAAAAATATCAAAAATAAATGCTCCATGTGCATATGGGGTCCCTTCGGAGCCGAAAATAAGCGCTTTCATTACATCTAGTCTTTTTTCGTCATAAATGAGAAAAATACTATTAGTTTCGCTTAAAGGTAACTATCTGGAAAGTTATTTTAGTTCGTTTTTAAGTCTATTTTATTTTCTATTATTATCATCATTAAGATAATTTTAAGAATTCGTTATTTTACATTTGTAACTATATTCTATTGCATTTTCTGGATTTTCATATATTTTTGATACTATGGGATATGATTGGATTCTTAAAGGGGCTAAATGTTATGCATATGATTTATTTTCGTTTAATTATTTAATTGGAGTCATATTTTATTCCAATATTTCAATATTTGATTCTTCCATTATTAAAAGAGGATTTTCATTTAATATTTAAGTAGTATATGTACGATTCATATGTAAGTCTTCCCATTTTTTTAAATTATTATCTTATGTTAATATTAATATTTTGAATTCTATTTCAAGACCATCAGGAAGGCATATGGGTGTCTTGGAATACCATTTTGGATATTTTTCAGGGTCTGTTTGTAATTCGAAGGCTTTTTAAGGATCCCATTGACCAAGTTCTGGAATAGAACCACATATTTTAACTGTTTCTGTGAAATTAGTATAGGCTGTTACTTGAAAATTTAATTTAATCATTTATTTTTTGTTGATTTTTTTTTATGGTTTTTTTTTTTTTTTTTATAAAATTAATATTATTTTATTACATATAATTTTTTTATTAATGTTTATTTAATATCTTTATTATTATATTATTTAATATTTTTAAAAAACTTAATATAAAAATAATATTTTTGTTACTATATATATATATATATATATATATGCTTTTAATTTTTTATTTTTTTTTCTATATATATATATCAGAAAAAAGTAATGATTTGTTGATTATGTAATTTTTTTTTATTAAATATTTATTTTAATATATAATAACCTTATATATTCAAAAAAAAAAATATTAATAAAAAAAAAATATTTCTTGACATTTTTAAAATATTTAATTATTTAATGATTAAATATATTCAAAATTATAAATTTGAAAAAATATAATAATAATTTTATAAAAATAACATAAATTGATTATAAATATTTTATAATAATGATTTTTTATGTTATAAAAAAAAAATATAAATAAATAAATATATTTAATTTTTTTTATTTTTTCAAATAAATTAAAAGGAAAAATAATTTATCTATATTTTTTTCTATATACAAAACGTAAAGTTAAAAAAAAAATATTAAAAATAAATTAAAAAAATTATTTATATCGGATCTTTATTTTATATAAATTAAGGGTTTTTTAAATCTCTTATTTAATAATTAAAATCCTTATTTATATAAAAAACTTATATAAATTATTTATATTTATATATTTATACAAGTTAATAATATTATCTAAATTTGTTATTTTTGGTTTAACTGATTCATTTATCATTAGTAATTTCAATTTTAATTTAATAATATTATACAAATCTTCGGGCAGATTTTTAATCATATAATTACTAGTATAGATAACATTAAAATATTTATAAACATTACAATATCCTTAATTTAATTCTTTATATACTTTCTTTCCTTTTATATTTTTCATTAAGTATATATTTTAATACATAAAAGCTTTGTGTACTAATTAATACTTAATAGATATTTTAATGTTTTTTGATTCCATTTTTCATTAGAAAATCCATTCCAAGTGTTTAAGAAAACCTATTTATCTGAAAAAAAAAAAAAAAAGATTAAATCTATTTTTTTTCCAAAAGTGGAAAGTGTATAAATATTATGGAAACCTTGGACTTTTATGGTGTGAGGGTGCATTAGAAAATTTTTCATAAATAAAAATATATAAAAATAAACACTCAAAAATCAAGAGCTTTCATATTATCTATTCTTTTTAATCATAAGCAATATTAATACTATTTGAATTAACAGGATGCTATCTAGAAAGCTATTTAAACTACTTTTTAATCTATTTTATTTAACAATGTATGATCTTTTTTTTATAATTAATAATTTCCTTTTTAAATCCGCTTATGTTTATTATAATTATTCCTAAAATTAAACTTTTATTATTTTATAAGAGCGAATTTTACAATGAGTTAATTTTTAAGAATATATCACATTTATGTCTTTCTAATATATTTTTATTCACCATTTTAGATCTCTTGATATTTCAAAACACCTCTTTGAAGCTTATTATTATCTTACTTTATAATATACATGTGTCATATATATTTGCTTTTTCTTTAAGTTTTAAAAACTTATTATTTTGCCTATTTAATATTGAAAAATTAAGTCCGTCAGGAAATACTGTAGGCTCTATTAATTAAAATATTGGATATATTAATTCGCCATATAAATAGTTCTATATTGTTTTCTCATAATCCTAATTTCATAATTATCTCCTATTATTTTTACTTAAAAATTATTATAAGTTATTTATGTAATTTTTTATTTTAATAATATATTATTTGATTTAAACACTGTTCTTATGTAAAAGAAGATTTTTTGAAATTTGATTTTTATTTAATTAAAAAAATTAAAAAAGAGAATTTCTATAATTAATCTTTTTTATTTATTATTAGTCTTTTTAATGCGTTTATTAATATAATTGTTTTTCATTCTAAAAATTACTTATTAATAATTATGTATAGCAATGAAAGGTTAATATATATATAGTCTATTTGCATTCTAAGATCCAATGTAAACAAATATTATTGAACTCATTTAAATTTAAAATAAATTTAATAAATAGAGCAATAAATTATCAATAGAAAAATCACGATTTAAAAATAAATTTTTGCCATACACTAAAATAAGAAATTATATGTAAAGAACTTCAATAAGAGGAAAAAGTTTTTGCTTAAATATAATATGATGGAAAATGTGAAAACTTAGCTATTAAAGAATATCAATTTATTAATTAATAATTTCCTATGGAAGGAATATAAATTATTTTTTTAGGAAATAATTTAAAATTAACTGTTTAATTATATTGTGATCATACAGCAGAAAAAAAAAATAATTAAAAATTAACTATAGATAATAAAGATTTAACATATTAAGTAACTAATTAGCATGGTAAAAATAATATTTTTAAAATATATAAATAATATTAATTTATTTTATTATTTAAATAAGCATGTCCTTCTATTGATATAACTGAATCTTGGGATTTATTTAGAGAAAATAATGTTTTTTATTCTGTTTTATTTGGAGTATTAGGAGTATTTTGTTTAATTTAATTTAAAAATGTAGATTAATTTGTTAAAGCAATATTAAGCTTTATATTAGGAATAATACTCACAACAGTATATTATATTATTAATATTTAAAATAACATATAAAAAATAGATTATATATAGAGATAATTTAGTTGAAAATTTATGGATTGAATCAATTGAAATGTATAGAATTTCTTTGGTATTTGGATTTTGTGTAAGCTTAGTTATATTAAGTTTAGATGATTTCGGAAATTTTTTATTAGGAGGTTTTGTAGGATATTTATTAAATTTAATAGTAAATAACATTATTTTTGATAAATTTAAATTGGTAAATAATTAAAATTATATATATATATATTTAATATTTTAATAATTATAATAAGAAAGAATATTTTATTTTGTAAATCATTTTTGTTACTTGTTTTGGAATAATAACTATGATATATTCAAAGTATTTAAAAAAAAAAAAAAATTATATAAATATATATATATATATAAATATATTATTTTTATATATATATATATATATATAAATTTTTTTATTTATATTTTTTATAAATTTTTCTTTTAATTTTTTTTTTTAAAGAATTATGAATAATATTTGTATTTTATTTATTGGAGCAATTTGCATTTAAATATCAGCTGATTTAATTTTAAGTATATCATTTAAAATTATTTTTAATTTTTATATATATCTAAAAAAATAGGCTCATATCATTTTATTAGTATTCTTTAAAAAAATGACAAACATAAATAAGTTTTTATTTTTCATTTTATTTTTAATTTATCATAATAATTTTATTTAATATAAGTTTCATTTAGACTATTTTATTTTTATTCTTTCAACTTTGTTTATAATTACTATAGGATTATTTTTTAAGTTTAAAAAGTGAAAACATATTTTTAAATATTCTTTTATTTTTATTGTAATATTATTAAAAATATAAATTATATTTGATTTTATTAATAATCTTTATAAAATTAAACTTATTTTATATAAAAAAATTATTATTAATATAATTATATTAAATTAAAAAATTGAAATTTTAAATAAATAATTATAATAAAAAAAAAGTATATAAAATATATAAAGTTATAAAATAATTTTTTTATATAAAATTTTAAAAAAATATATAGTTTTGTAAAAATAAAAATATATGAAACTATTTAAAATATATATTAATTAATAATAATTAATGCAAAAAGTATTAAAAAAAATTAAATTATATTAAAAACAAGAATATTTAAATATATATATATATATATATAGATATAAATATATAAATATATATATAGATATTTATTTATATTTTAGTATATATTAATTAATATTTATATATATATATTTTTTTTTTATATATATAATTAAATATTTTTTTATATATGTTTATATATATAAACATATAATACTTTTATTTATTTTTTTTTAAATATATTTATTTTTATACCTATAAATTTTTATATTTTTTTTTTTTTTAATATAAAATTTTAATATTATTTTTTAATATTAAAATTTATAATTAATTTATTAATTTTTTTAAATATAACTTTTACATATATTTTCATTGTAATTTACAAAATAAATAAGCCTTTATATTTTTTTATATAAATTTATATTTTATTTCAAAATTTCTTATTAAAATTTTGTTATTTATATTTATTTCTAAATATATTTTATTCATTATTTTTCTTTTGTATTCATCATTTCTACAAATTCATAAAAATCAATCTTTTTTAAATAATATATAAATATAAACTATATTATAAAATTATTACTTCACCGTCTCCATTTTTATCAGCTTCTTGAATCATTTGATCCCAAATATTATCATCTTAATTCTTATATTCTTCTTAATCTCCTAGTACATTTTTCAATTCCTATTTTGAAATTTTACCACTTCCATCTTAATCAAACATTTTAAATGCTTAAAGTAATCTTTCTTCTTTTAAATATAAAGACTTCTCAATAGAAGCAGCCAAAAATTCTTAAAAAATAAAATAAGAAAAATAAATATATTTATAAAAAAATATACCAGTATAATTAATTGTTCCATTTCCATCGGAATCAAGAGAATTAATAACACTTTCTATTTCTTTTAATTATTAATTTTCTTATTTTGTCAAAGCATTCGAAATTTCTTCCAAAGTTAAAACTCCGTCATTATTTTTATCTATAGATTTAAATAATTAACCTAATTCAAGAATTTCAGATTCATTTAATTAAGAAGCTATATATGTCAATGTTACTTTTTTGATTTTTTAATGAGTATTGAAAGCCTTTAAAGAATTATAATTCAATTTTAAATTAGAAGCTAAATTT